GTTGGGACTCTCCGGCAGCCCCGCTAAGGCCCTGTGGCAGCGCCCTCAGGCAGTCGCCCCGGCCCCCTCGCCCTGAGGCAGGCGCTGATCCCCGGCCCGACGCGGCGCCGCCACAGCCAGAGTTCGCGCGGCCGCCGCGGCCCTGGCGACTTGATCGCGGAGCCGATCTCTTTCCGAGGCTCTGACAGCTGCCCCGGCACGTCCTGAAGGAAGGACCCCATTTGTTCCTCAGAATGGGAAAACTCCCGTTCATAACTTTACCAGAACTGTATTGCTGATATTTCCGGGGGTGGGGGAAGGGGGAACTACCATTCAAAATCATTGCTTTCTGGATTCTCGTTATGGTTCTTTGGTAATTTTTCTTTTTAAAACGAAGCGGGTCTAAAATGTGTCCCCCCAGTTTGAAAAGAAAAAAGTTGTTCAGTAATTTTTCTTGTATTTCCTGTCGCAAGCAGTTGGGTCTTTTTTTCCCAACACGTAGTAACCACACAAGACTTAGTGAAAATACAGAACAATCTGATTTCTATATATTAGTCTTGTGACTAGACGTTTTACGAACATGTTCTTAATAAGAGTAGAATGTAATGGGCCGTTTAAAAACTTGAGACACGTTTTAGTTGTGTCTGGACATGTTTTAAAAAGAAACATTGGCCTTTTTTCCCCCCAGTATACACAATCTTTTAAGGATACTTTGCAGAATTTAATTGGGGTTTGGGGTTGCTAAAAAAAAAAGAGAGAGAGAGCAAAAGCATTTGTTCATAGGCTAACACCTGCAGAAGGGAGTTGCTTGATTGATATTTGGTTTGTAGTTCTACAATCAAAGGTCACCCAAATAAGGCACTGAAACGTTGATTCTAGTTCAGGTCTTCAAACACGGACAGCCATTGATGTCCCTTTGGGCAACAGGTTCCACTGAGATCAGTAGGACCCCATGGGGATAAGATGAAGGAGAATTTGGAAAGCTGTGTTGCAAGGAATCTTTATGTTAATGGTTTGGGTTTGGGGTGTGTGTGTGTGTGTGTGTGTGTGTGTGTGTGTGTGTTAGGTACATGAGTGAGTCATGGAGAAAACTAAGAAATATGTGCCAGAACAATTCAGGAAATTGTGCTGTGCTACAAACCAGACAGAAAAAAAAAAAAAGATTCAGGGTTAGGACCTCTCCTGAAATGTTCCTTATATCTCCAACCTCTCTCTAGATGATACTTCTTGACAATTTAATGGAGGTCAAACTTGGGTGCAGGCAACTTGTCTTTCATTTACTCTTCCCTAGCCTAGGTTTAAAACCAAAACAAATATATATGCGTGTGTTGAATTTTACCTGCTTTCTCGATCTCTTTTTATATTTTAAGAACATATGTCAAAGAAGAAAGAAAAAGGACATGTGTCTTTAAAGGCAAATAGCCCAACATTTTATTATTCAAATAAGATAGCAGAAACATTCAACTTGGATGTTGTTTCATAAATTCAGTAGTCTTAATGGTCTCAAGGACTTGACTGAATGGCCAGCAAAACAGAAGTGGGAAAAATAAATGATATCTAGCCTGAAAGAAATCATATAGAGTAAACGGGGAGGGGGAAATCAAATCAGGATTTTAAAATCAAAAGTGTACTGGACTCAGATTCTAAGCTACCTGTTTCCTGATGCATAAAATGAGAAGTTGGGTAGATGGGTCCCTTTCAATTCTGGTCATTTAGACACAAGGAATCCAAAAGCAGAACTTTTGGGTGCTCTCAGAAATGAAGGCACAAAGTACACTTATCTATGGCAGAGGGTCACCAATGTTAGCCATTTAGTGAGCAGTATCTGATGGGGCATGCTAACTTGTGTTCTTGTTTGTATGGAAAAAGCCATAGCACTTCTAAGAGTGAGAGACATATTTTACAGTCCCATCCAATATAGAGAAAGGATGCTGTCCATGCACTGATTTCAAAATTTTAAAGCAGAAGCCTTGCTTATCTCTCAAAATACTAAATGAAAGACTCAAATGTCTAGAGATTCTACTTCAAGAACGATTATTCTCAAGGAAAAAACACAAACAGCAGTGACCATTTTCACAGACATGCTGAGCCATCAGGAAAGCTTAATAAATCCCTATTTAGTATGCATTTATGCAGTGATTACATGAACTTTGACCTCTGAAGAGCTGTAGCAATTAGCTTCAGTGTCCAGCATCTTCTACCCGCCATTCCCCACTGGCCTTCTACCCGCCATTCCCCACTGGCTTCCTTGGGTCTTCCTTTTTCGTTTCTTGGTAGTTCATACACTAGGAGGGCATAAAATTGTAAAGTTGACTTTCCATCTGAAGTATTTGCTTCTGTACAAGCCAATTCCCTCTCTTCTGGCCACTCCTGCCTGAACAGCCATCTCTGATGGATATTGGGGCTCTGATTGTCGATATAACTCAAACGCAAATGGATTTCAATTCAATCTTGCCCTGTACTTTCGCAAAGATAAACTCTAATGGCCCAAAGAGCTTCATTTCATAGCTCATGGCATCTGAAATAAATCAGATCTCTTCTGTCAGATTAATTTAACATTTTTTAAATATTCGGTGTAATTTATTTAAAGTCAAATGAAACCTAGTGGATTGGTAGAAAACTAGAGGAGGGGGCAGGAGAAGGGCAGCTGGAAGCTTCAAAAAAGAAGAACCAGGAGGGGAGAGGAAAGTGTTTTAAGTTTCTAGTAAACATTGTTTAGCAAAAGAATAATAGGAAAGTTGCCCCTTTCCCAAAGAGGGATGGAACTATAATTGTTGCCTTTAGCTGAGAGCTCAGATAAACCGCTGGGACTCATTCTAAAGTGACCCATCACTGCATTCATCTCTTCTTGAACTTTCGGTGAACCTGAGATTAAACAGGGGTGAGCAGCTAAGCAGTTTGTTGTTAGCAGCCTTTTCAACAACCCTTTCAGACTGAGTAAATATTGATCGGTTTGAATCTGATTGCCCCAGAGGAAAACACCACAGCATCTGAATAGGCTCCAAAAGTAAACTTTCAAAGGTGAAACCCTGAGCAGACTTCAGAGCCACAGCAAGACCTCAACTCAGCCTGGTTTTGGAACACCCTGTATTTTGGGAGTACTTTTAATGAATGTAGAGGACGTGAGGAAAAAGCATTTGAAAACTGGAATTTTGTATTGCAGTTATACCAGGTTCCTAATTGAGACCCTTGTTTTCTTTTTAATTTATCAATGAATTGTTATTTTCTGTTTTCCCTCTTTATGTTGTTTCAGTTACGATCACTGTCATTTTTCAAGTAGCTAACTGTGCTCTTCAGAGACCAAAACCGAAAAGAGAGACCTTGAAATAGGATGTGTTAAGCGCCTTTGATTTAATCGATTGGGACAGCTAAAAAGATACAAATGTTTTCCTTGTTGAAAGGTATATTAATGTTTCCTAAATGCATTGCTTGTTAACTGATTTATTCCACGACCTAGAGAAGGCTAGGGATGTTTAGCCATAATTTATTGTTCTCTTCTCTGAGCTACATTAAAACCAGCACCTTGAAGATTGGAATCTCTGTGATTCCAGCAGGTCGGGTTCTGCTTTTAGATATTGAAAGCAAGGTAATGGCATGCAAATGACACTTTAACACATTAAAGAATTTGGAAACCAGCCATCTGTTTTGCTGTGTGGCCTTACACTAATAAACAAAAGATACAGTATAAGGCCAAGCAGGAAATGAAAGAAAGGGTTGGCTGTCTTTGAAGTTCTCCTTCATCCACTTGAGTCTTTTAGAGGCAACCTCGGAACCCAGCAGCTGAGGGGAGGGCACCCCATGTCCTTGATATGGCCGCAGCAATTGCTCCTGCAAAGTTCAGGCTTTTCCCCTTTGACAGGGAAGTGCAGGAATTCTCACCGGGCACTGTAGAAGGCCTACAAATTCAAAGTTTCTGTAGGGTTTTCTCCCCCAGCCCACCCTTTGTAAAATACCCTTTGGGGAGGAAGGAAGTCATATGTCTGTATTTGTTTGTGATGCTGTAAATTTTCTGCTCTACTTTTGGGGCTAAATAAAAGCCTCCAAAAATGTGTGAAAGTAAAGGAAATGTGTAGTAAAGAGGTCTGGGAGCAGAGCCACTTTGAACTCTATCACTTGCTGGTTTCCTCTGAGAGCAGACATATGCTTTGGTCAGAAACAGCATGGATATTGAAAGACTTCAGGGTGGCTTTCACAAGTTCACTTGGAATCTGTTGAACACAGAGAAGAAAATAAAAAACTTTTTTTCTGGGTTGTGTGGCATGGAATTAGAACTGTGGCCCCATTACAGCTATGATGGCTATGAAATCAAAGCTAAGCCTGAGGGGAATGAGATGTGCAACCCAGAGATGGGGATGAGGAGGTGAGGAGCAGCAGGAAAGGATGGATGATGACAGGAAGAATAGGGGGAAGGATGAAAAGGTCTACTAAAAACAGACCACATTCAATTCAAAGGGTGAACTATATTGAAACACTGTTTTCCTAAACAGTGTTTACTGACAATCTAAAAAGAAGGAAGAGGGGTAGAGTGGGGGCCCTCACAACAGCTTTATACTGGAGCTAATTAAATGTGGATCTCTGAGCTTCTGGTTCACTGATGTGAAGAAAGACTGACTGAAGACAGTTTTGACTTTTGAAGGGGGTTCTGTTTATATATATGTCAACATTTAGCTGAAGGTGAAAAGGTTAGTACTTGACCCAGGAAGTATCCATGTTTGTTTCAAAAATAGATCTGCTTCATAAATTTCTTCACCAGCCTTTTTTCCCCTCATTATGAACTTTGATTATAATAGAGGAGCTGTTATTTTAAATGGAATCAATGTATTAAATAGACATTGGTTAGGTAAAATTACACTCGTGGGAGAAACCAGCTACATGATAATAGAAAGCATTCACTTTTAGTCAAGAAAAGGCCCACCTTTTTGAAAATACACAGCGCCCTTCTTTTCCCCACACAAAATGAGCTAACTTTGCAGGAATCAACAAATTATAGACCAGCCAAATACATGGATGCTTAAGCATACTTGAAACTTGAATATATTTATTACAGACATCCTAAGACCCGTAAACTCTGCTCTGGATCACCTTACTCCAGGATCTCAGAGCTGTTCATGATTGTACAGGAAATGGGGAATATCATAGGCTCACAAAGGACAACTGATAAAACTCAGTGTAGTACTTCAGGGACATTAAAACATTGTGCGACATGCAAAAGACTATTCACGAATCACACAAAATATACATTCATTGTGCCATCCATCACATTAACAAATGAGCTGAAAATACATCATATCCAGCTAAGATAATTGTTGAAGGAAAAAGTTGGTTTAAATAATACCTTTACATTTAGAATAATCCAGCACAAATTTTAAAGGGAAGCTGGCCTCAGAAGAAAGGGGTAGGGATGGGGAGAGACTTAGCACAGGAAATCAGGTTTCTGAACCTTGTGCTTTGTAGGTCTTAACTAATTGAAAGAACATATTGAGGCTACTCTCTGAGGCATCTGATTGGGTTTAAATGAGGGAATGTATTATTTCACCTATAATCACATATAAAATTGTACCAGTTTTAAGAGTTTGCCAACCCTGTTTCAATTACCTAATCTAAACATTTCTAGAAAATCTGTATAAAGATAAATCTCTCAGGACAAAGTATTTACAACCAGCAAACTCACACACGAAATTGCATTAAATTAAGGGAAGAATTAATTGGGTAAACACATAGTGCATCTCTTCTTCATGAGCTTCTGGACTTTCTCCTTTCTCATCTCCTACTTTTAAGGGCAAGGTAGGGGTGAACTGTAAATATACAGTTAGATAAAAGAAGAGAGAGGCTTTCCTCTGGCATGTTTCTGCTGGCAAAGGGAACTATTTTCCAAAGGACATCTGAAGGAAACAGTAGGTTCTTTGAAAATTTCCTAAAAGTGGGAAAGATGTTAAGGCCCACCAGAAAATTGATGCTGGCACCCAATCTGGATTAAGAAGCTAACCCCTCACCAAGTCTCTGGTCCAGAATTCTCGGAAACACATTATCCTGACCAGAAGTTCCGCAGATAGGATCAGAAAGGAAGAAAGAGACTGTAAATGAAGGAAAGATAAGCTAAGAATGTGCTTTGAGTAAGAAGTCCGAGCCCAAGAAGCCTGGACTGGGAATTCCGGGGCTGGGGCGGCCTCAGTGGGAGGTAGTCAGAGTGTCTGAGGTAGAAGACCCCGGGGAAGGAACGCAGGGCGATGAGCTGGACTTCTCTGAGGATTCCTCGGCCTTATCGTCGCTTCCAGGCGGGGTGGCAGGAGAGATGGGCAAGAGCCCCTCCTTCTCGCGTTTCTTCTGCTTCATTCGGCGGTTCTGGAACCAGATCTTCACCTGGGTCTCGTTGAGCTGCAAGGATGCGGCGATCTCCACCCTGCGCGCGCGCGTCAGGTACTTGTTAAAGTGGAACTCCTTTTCCAGCTCCGTGAGCTGCTTGGTAGTGAAGTTGGTGCGCACCGCGTTGGGTTGACCCACGTAACCATACTCTCCAACTTTCCCTAGTGCAGGGTAGGAAGCGATGAGATGAAAAGGTAAAAAATTTTAAAATCGATATGAGATCCCTTAACACGCTTCAGAGCAACATTTAGGTAGAGGAGAAATCAAGAACATCTCAACAGAAACCGGGCTGGGGAGGGTGAGTGATGAGGTGTAAAGTGTTAACCTGAAGTCAACCATTAGCGTGACCAGACCAGTGATTAATGGAGCCTGGAGATATTAACAGAACACTACCACCACGACCACCACCCCACACACTTCCTACTTCCCGAACATCTAAAATCCTTTGAAAACACACCAGTCCCTTAGGCTTCTTTGCCCCAGCACACCTTGGCACTCTCCCCACGACCTACAACACTAATCGGAAGCAAGAACCTTCTTTAAAAAATCATTATTAATTTTCCTTAGAAGCTAAGCATACCAGCTCCTTCCAAATTCATCAAGGAGCATCTACCGGCAGGCAGGACTGACCTGTTTTGGGAGGATTTCTTTTGACTTTCATCCAGTCAAAGGTCTGCGCTGGAGAAGACGTCTCAGACGCAGGCGAGCGACAGGCTTCTTGGTGGCTGGCGTGGAGAGGGGACAAGGAGTTATTATACGTGGCCAGGGCCAGGCTCTGATGCTCTTGTCCATATGAGTGGTGAATGTACTGGGGCGAGCCCACCGCGCCCCCAGCATAACCCTGGTGGTGGTGGTGATGCTGGACCATGGGAGATGAGAGATTTCCAGTGTAAACAGCGGGAGCGCATGGGGGGTACCCACCACTTACGTCTGTTTCCTGATTTAACGCATAGGGGCTATAAGGCGCACCAAAGTTCTGCGCGCCATAGCTTGGACCACAACTCGAGTGGGAGTAGGACACCCCCAGGTTCCCGGAAGTCTGGTAGGTGGCCGGCTGGGTATGGTGAGGGTGGTGGTGGTGGTGGTGGTGGTGGGGCGAGTTGATCTGCATCCCCCTGCCCACTAGGAAGCGGTCGTCGCCGCCGCAGCTGTTGGCACTGACCGCGCACGACTGGAAAGTTGTAATCCCATGGTCGGATGGGTAGGCTCGCGCTGAGCAGGTCCCGGAGTCGCCACTGCTGAGGATGGGGTATTCCAGGAAGGAGCTCATTCTTGCATTGTCCATCTGTCACTGAGTGACCGGGTCCTGCGAAGCCCTGGGTGACCGTGCCAACTTTCTCACTTCCTCCATGGGGCCGGAGAAGAAAAATGATATGAATGTACAGTGCGCAAGAGGGGGGGCGGGAGGGCGGAGGGCGCTAGGGGAGGGGCACGTGACTTTGTCAGCCAATGGCTGAGCCTCCTGCGAAAGTTTGCCGGCTTCAGCGGTGATGGATCACCGTTTCAGTGGCATTTAAATCCCCGGCGCTCCTCCGTCTAGGTGACGCGCAGTCGCCCCCCCAGGCAGCTGCGGCGGCGGCAGCTGCTGCGGCTGCAACGGCAGATTCGGAGTGCTGGGGCAAAGGAGAGCAGAAGCTGCCCTGCGCGCGCGCCCGACTCCGCTCGCCCCCCCCCTCCGGGAGGTGGGGGCTGAGAGGCATCTCCCGCTCCTGATCCTCTCCCCACCATGCACAGAAAGATGAACTGGCAAGAGGTGAGAAGGGAAGAGGGCTCCTGGCTTTCTCGGGGCGGAAATCAATGGGCCACAGCTCGCTGGGTGGCCACAAGGACACCGGCCGAGGCTGGAGCGCGCCGAGCAGGGAGGGTGGGAATCCGGCCGACACTGCGCCCCAGGCTCCCAAGGTGCTTCCACTGTTGTGAGGCCCTGCTGTGAGGCCGTGCTGTGAGGCCTTGAGGCTCTGAGATGCACAGAGAACGATGGCGGAGGGCGAGGCTGGGCCACCGGCTCTGCAAGCTCCGAATGGAGAGGGAAGTGCGCAAAGGGCTGGCTGGGAGGAACCCGGGTGGGCGTGGAGGAGAAGAGGGCAAGAAACGAAACTTCCCTCCTCCATGGTGGGTCTCTTAAGCCTTCTCCCCACAATCCCGGCTCACTATTAGCATGGCAATGAGGAGCTTCTGTAATTCGACCCTCGGGGACGGAAGGGCCCAGAAACAGAGCTGCCTGGAAAAGGCCGGTGGTGGCCCGGCTCTTCTCCGCCCCCCTCTCCCCTAGCTCTCCGCCCCTTCCCCCCCCACCCCACCCCCGCTCAGCTTTGCACCCGGAGTCCTCAGGGACCTGGAGCTACTCGGCTGCTGGATTTTGAGGGGTAAGAGGCGGGGAGAGAGATGACGCTAGCAGACGTGGCCAGCGTGGGGGCCGAGCTGTGCGCTGCAGGCCATCTGCTGGCTCCCCAAGCCCCTGGAGCCTGCGCGCTCCCGCGCGGGCCTCAAAGGCCCGAACCGCAGCTCCGACAAAGTGCGCTGAATTACCCCCTCCACTTTTCTCTTCTTCTGGAGGGAGATATTAGGAATGGGAGAGCATCCTCTTGCCACCACCCCCAGTTCTACTGCACGTCTGGAGTGGGGGGTAGGGACTGGCGGGGGGAGGGGGGCAGTGGACAGATGGCTAATGGTGAACAGGACACTTTCCTCTTCCCCAACGACACCTCCTCCCCTTTGCAACTGGCTGTGTAGTTGCTTGTGTGAACCTTTAACTCCCCAGGGAGACATGTGCAAGTCTGAGCGTCATCCCAGGCCAGGGGTCCTGTTCTCCATCACCCTTTTTCTACCTGATGCTGATGGGGTCATTAATTGCTGTTTACTGTTAGGTTTCATGTCAACCCTGGGCTTGTAGAGAGAAAAGGCCGAACAGACACCAAGAATCGATGCAGTCCTAGGTAGGAGAAATCCAGAGATCATCCAAGAAACTTTGCAGCCAATGCTGTATAAATTTTACTCCAACCATGTGTACAACACTGGAATCACAGAGATGAAATTTATAGTGAGGATTGTATGGGGTTTAGGGTTCCCACTCCTCTCCAGCCTTCCCTCCCCTGTTAGAAAAAGGAAGTTTTGCTGGAGGCAGGCACATTTCAAATGCGTTAGTCACCCCTTCAGGCGTCTGTGTTCTGTTCTCTACCTGTAGAAGTTCCCCTCAAACCTGTTCCCTTAAGAGGGAAAACCCATGCAGACCTTTGACTTTGGACTCCCTCAGTAGTAATCAAACATTTTCCCCAAACATTTCCTTTTGGAATGGTATTTCTCTGTGACCTTTGACCCATCCCTAAACATGATGAAGAAGGAGCACGGGCAGGAAAGTTCCCCCCTACCCCAAATTCAGCTCCTGGGAATCCTCACCCAGGAGAAGGGAAGGCAAGGCCGCCCTCCTGGAGGCGGCTTCCTTGGGAGCGCCAGGCCGCCAGCGTCCGGGAGAGAAGAGGCTCCTGTGGGGGAGGGGGCAGGATGTGTGCCGGCAGGGCAGGGACTGTGCTGGCAGTGCGGGCGATCCTCTGTCCAGGCCGAAGCCACTCGGTACATTCTCCACCCTCCGCCCCCCTTGCTTCATTCCTGTACCTTTGTTGGCCTTCTCTGCCGGAGTTTGCGCGGCCCCCTCGGCTGCCCGGAGCCTGCCACAAAGCCGGCCCCGGGCCTTAGCGGCTCTCTCTCCGCTGTTAGTTCGCAGCCTCCCTGCACCTTTCCTGCCACCTCGTTCTCTCCCAGCCTCTTTTCCGGGACAGCCTGGGCGGGGTGTTTTTCTTGGGATCTTAAGCGTGCACTCACACACAGGACCGCAGGCATACAAGCCGGCGACTGTCCCGCCTCCGCGCACTGCTCCCGGCTCCCGCAGGCCAGGAACTCGCGGCCGAGCCGGCTCTGCCTGGGCTGGCCGCCCAGAGCGCCGCTCTCCGGGAGCCGCTCACAAAGGCAGCCTCCCCTGGCCTCGAGCCCGCAGGCTTCCGTAGCTTGGTTCCTTCCCCACCCCCCACTCCCCCACCCCCAAGAAATCCTGGGGGCCATTCCGCGGTGTAGGAGACCCTTGGTCCTCTGGGCAAGTAGGCCAGCGCTCCAGGACTCGAGCTAGTCTCTTTAAATGCCCTGGCAGAGTGGGTGAAAGGGGAGCTTGGTCACGATTATAATGATCATCTGCAGGCAGCTCGCTTGGCTCAAAGCGCCTCTTTGAGGTCTCTTCTACTAGAAAGAAAAGGAGCGAGGAGGAAACAAAACGCCACCGAGGCCGGGAGGCTGTTCATGGCATCCGCGGCTCAGCCAAGCTGTTGTTTTAAAAGAGCAATAAAAATGAATTATGACTAAACGCCTTCTAACTTAATGCTTTCGGACGGGGATCCCCGGCAAATACGTAAGAGGATTTTTATTTGTGCATGTGTTCCTGCAATTGATCTCTTTGATGACATTCTCATTCATAGAAAGCGTTTGATTTATGAGCGTAGGACAAATCGCATCCAGGAGCGGCGCAGCCCTGGCAGGGCCCGGACGCCCTGCTCGGGCGCTGAGCCTGTGGCCGGAAACCGACCGCAGTCCCCACACCCTTCAGCGGGTGCTGGGATTTAGCTGGTGAAGGGGTGAAGGAAGATAGGGAGCAAACAAGAAAGATTGCAATTTCATTGTAACCTCCAAGCCTTTGCCGTTAAGAGCTGGCTTCTTAAACCAACCCGCCCTACACACATGTTGCTTACATGCTTCGTTTTCTCACGGTAAGTAGCGATCAGAACAGAGCTCAGAAATGGAAAGATAAATATGGGGAGACGTTAAGAAAGGGGGAAAAAACAGAACAACCCAGTAACACACCCTAGATCACATTTTATTGATATTTCATTTAAAGTGCTTTTACTCTTTCTCTCTCTAGAAACTGGGTTAATTTATAACCTGGGGTGAAGAAACACTCTTTTTAAAATTTCAACTTCCTAACCTGACAAAGCTTTAATGAACCATTATTAGCAATGTAAACAGATTTAAGAATGAAATATTGATTTTTCTGACCCTGAAAAAAGAATCTTAGAATGACTGAACCAGAGGATTGGACAGAACCTTTTCTGAAATGCATTTTCCAGCCTAGTAACCATTGTTTTGTTTTATTTTTGTTTTTTTTCTATCTTTTAGGTCTGTTTTGCCTGAACCCATCAACAGCTGGGAGATTAATCATCCACACTGAGAATGTGCAGGGATTTGTGGGGAAGGGAGTTGAAATGTAGATGTTTGAAACAAACGTGTATAAAAGTGTATAAATAAATGAGTTGTTGATAACTTAGTTATTGACCTGGACACTGGTAGCTTGTTAAAGAAACTCCATGTTACTCATTCCTGAAGTTGGGGGTTTCTGTAGGCACTTTATTTCTCTACTTTCAAGAGCTTGGGCTTGGCCCAAATCTTAGGCTGCCCAATCTTGTTTCTATTACCAATTTTAATCTATGGCTTGAACCTGTACACTGAAAACCAAATCCATTCCTTTAAAAAATAAATAAATAAAATAAAAACAAAACAAAACAAAAACATTTGTCAGAAGCCCTAGCCATTTTCTGGCTTTTTTTTTTTTTTTTTTTTTGCTGTCTATTGAAGACTTTCAACATGCCGCCTTAATAAATATACTAAAATTGAAAAAGAAGATAAATTATGACCAGAATTTTATTTACCAAGTTAGCCTAAAAGAAGAAAAAGAAACCGTTAAGAGCCTTGAGAAAGAGGGGGAGAAAAATAAGAAAGCTACTTATAGCAAAGGAGAATTTATTCTACCAAAAATACGCATGACAATGCATCCTAGTGTAATACAAAAATAAAAAGAAAGTGAAGATACAATTATATGATCACTTTCTTGCAGGCCTCATATATTGCTCTTAGGAAATCACATAGAGGGTTCTTGGATTAAGTTTAAAACAACTGAAACTCTCAAATAATCTGTAAGAGATGGCTCTGAAACCGGATCAGGGGAATCACTAAACAAAATCCTCAGCGTTTTAAGGAGGGAGGGGGTAGGTCAGGAAGAAAATAAAATAAAAATCAACTCTCAGAATAAAAGAAGGCAAAACCACCTGGTCAAGGGGGGTTTATGTTTTGTGATGCTTTGTTTTGCTTTAATGTTTTTAGTAATTCAGATGCTGCAAGTCGATTGTGGTGAGTGTGTCTGTAAAAAAGTCAAAGCTGTCAGCTGAAATATCTACGGGACTGTCGAGGGAACCGGGCAAACTGGGCGAGACTGCATCTGAAAGCTGCAGGCAGGAATCTGTGGAGAAAACGTTAAAGTCCTGCAAAGAGGGGACCTCGAGGGCCTCGGGACTGTCATTGTTTAGGCCAGCTCCACAGTTCTGGCCCATTGTTGACAAGCAGTTAGGAACAGTGGGTGACTGGTGCTGAAAATGTTTCAGATTTTTCTCATTGCTGGTTAAAGGCGAAACTGGGAAACTTTGGGAGTCGCCATTGTGTCCATTGGGAGCCTGCTGCTGAGAGAGGGCATTTTGCTGAAAAGTGTAACCTTCCCTCTCCAGAAGGGCCCCGGAGACGCCAAGGGCTTGCTCAAACAGCGACTTCTCTTCCTCGTCCTCCTCTACTTTCTCGGAGTCCTCGAGGCTTTTAAATTTCCCTTCGCTGTTTTGGTTCTCCTTGCACTGGGTCTGCCTCTTGTGCTTCATCCTCCGGTTCTGAAACCACACTTTCACTTGTCTCTCAGTCAAATCCAGCAGCGCTGCAATCTCCACCCTTCGGGGTCTGCAAAGGTACTTGTTGAAATGAAATTCTTTCTCCAGCTCTAAAAGCTGCGTGTTGGTGTAAGCAGTTCTCAGGCGCCGCGATCCCCCGCCGCTGCCATCGGCGATTTCCAGGGATTCTGCGGAAAGGGAAACCAACGAGAGACACACGCACAGTTGGAGGTGGTGGGGTCTGAGCGGGGTTATTCCACTGGAGAATAAATATAGCAGAAAAGATCAACTGCAACAAAATGGCCGCCCCTGGATGCACTGGAGCTATTGTGCTGCCTTTCCTGGGAGCCCAGCCTGGGGAGACCCCATCTCCTCCACCTCTATCAGATTCATGCCTGTAGCTCCCCCCAACCTCTTCATCCGGGAGCAAACTTTATATTAGCCACAACACAATTTATAATTAATGCATCAGCTGCTTAGCTGAGCAAGAGCGATCTATCACTCTTCATTACTGTCAAAAAGCCAAACTCTAGGACAACTAGACAAGAGGAGGTCAGTTCCAACTCAAATAAATCATCCCACATTACACAAGTTAGGGAAAGTTCCCCCCCCCCCACTTCTTAAAAATATATATCTCATTGTGGAGCATAGGATCCCCTTTCCTCTCCATCAAACCCACTCCTGAGCCCACAGGGGCAGGGAAAAGGCAACCAAGCACCTCTCACTCTCCCCCTTCTCTCCCAAGCCACGCTCCCCTCCCCCAACCACCGCTCTCGGGGCAGCCCAGAGAGGGAACAGGGTCCTGGGGACCTGGGGCCAAGTCTTTGGACTGACCTTTGTGGCTGAGGCAAGCAGGGCCGGTGGTGGCGGTGGCTGCTGTGGCAGCAGCCGGCGGCAGCGCGGTTTTCTTGGCCGCCTTCTTCTCCTTCATCCAGGGGTACTCCGGTGGCTGCAGGGCGCCGGCGGGCACCGGGCTGCCGCGGCTGCCCGCGGGGCTCGGCTTGGGGCGGCCGCCAGCGCCGTGGCGAGGGTGACTGCCCGGGTTCAGGCTGGGAATGGTCTGCTCAAAAGGAGGAGGAATCAGTGTCGAGTGTGAAAGCGTCGAGGTCTTGATTGATGAACTTTGAAATGTATCAGCGACAGGGGGAAAAGATGTCAGGCACTCAGCGAGCGACGGCTGGCTATTGATAAAACCAATCTCTCGCTCAAATTCGTAATTCATGGCCTTCTCCTTGGAGCCCCCTCGGAGAAAAAGTTCCCTCTTTTGGAGGGGCTTTGGGGGGGCAAGACCCAGGAAAAAGGCGAGCGCGGTGGAAAAAAAAATCTATCATAGAAGATCGCTGCTGGGGTGTTTTTTTTCTAATTCACTGATTACAGCCGTATGGGGACCGCGCTACTATTAAACTATTGAATTCATGGAGACAAGGTTGAAATTGGACCGAATTGGCTGTCACATGATTGCTTCTGCCCAATGACAATTTGGGCTTTAATCAAAAGAAGCCACTGTCTGTTTGATTGATCCAAAAAAGTCGGGAAGGAACGCCTCATTGGGGGCCAGCGAGGCTTTATTTACACTTTTTTTTTCATGGCAAAAATACATATAGTGGGTGTGGGTGGGGATGCCCCGGAGTGCGTGGGGGCGAGGGTGCCTGCCCACCTCCTGATCAGCGAGGATCTGGCGTGTCGGGAGTGGATGCGAGCGTGAGCCCTGCCGCCGGTCCCGCCGCCGGCTGCCCTCTGCCTCCCCCGCACACCCCGCGCATTGTTTGGGACTGTCGGGAAGACGCCTCGCACCTCACAAATCATTTAAGCACCTCAGTCTGACGCCTGCAGTCATTAACAAAGTAATCCATTAATCTTCAAAGTTTTGACACCGGAGGGCCCAGCATCCCAGCCACATAAGTTCTGTTAAGGCAGGAGGAAGGAGCAGAGGGAGAGAGGATATGAGAGAAGGAGGGAGAGATGGAGAGATGGAGAGAGAAGAGAAGAAAGATTTGGGGGGGCATTTCCGTTTTCTTTTCCTTTTCCTCCTTCACTTTCTCTAAAACCAGTTCCTGGATCTCAGTCTTTCCCTCTGTCTTTCCCTCTTTTTCCTCTTCTCTCCTTTCCCCCTCCCTCTCTCCCTTCTGTCCGCCTCTCCTTCTCCCCACAGCCCCTCGCCCCCCTCCTAATGTCCAGCCTGGAGTCTGCGCCCCCCGGGCCATTGTTAGCCAGCTATTCCCCGGCAGCTTTGCATCTGCCTCCGGCGGGAAGCGGAAAACGGGAGGAGGCTCTCGAAGCTTCCCGACCTTCCTGCGCCATCAACTTCTCAGGAGTGGCTCGAGAAAGATAGATGCATGAGCCAAGAGAGACAGCAACCCCAGGTCCATGTGTCCAAATCCCCGTAGCCAGGGCGGCGGCCAGCCAAAGAAATGCTGCCCCGAGCGGGCGAGTGCGGCTCCTGGCATTCTGGGTTTCATACCCGTAGGGCTCGGGTGCGGTGAGTATTTCCGTGTTCCAGGAAGTCTGTTGGAAGTTACCAGCAGGGAAGAAGAGGCTTCCTTCTCTCTCTCTCTCTCTTTCTCCCCTCTCTCCTCCGTCTGCTCTCACTCTCTCTCTCTCTCTCTCTCTCTCTCTCCCTCTCTCCCTCTTTCCTCTACCTTTCTTCTGCTTGTCCTTGTCGATCTGGTTGGGGGCTGGTTGGTTCAGATACAGCAAGCAGCAAGTGCTCCCTGGCAGCCCAAATCCTTGGGCTCCCACACCTTCCGGATCCTTGGGCTGCAGGGATGTTTGCACCCAGGTTTTGTTTCGGGAAATAGCACTGCAGGGGAGAGGAGGTGACACAAGGAGGAATTATAAAGGTTCTTGTTCTCCTTCATTCTCTCTTTTTTTCTCTCCAATTCGGAGACTTGAGACTGAGTGCATCTTGGATGGTGCTGGAGGGTTCAAAAGATAACACATTTAGGTACCAAGCAATAACTTTTTAAAAAATCCACCAAGCCAGAAAGGGGGGAGAAGGCTGAGAGAGATAGACCTTAACCTATCTCTTTTGCCCCCCAAACCCTGAGGATGGTGATTCGCTTTTGCTTCCTTTGAAATGGACCAAGTGATCAGACTCCCCCAGGCCAGCAGGCATCAGTGGCAGGAAAATAAATCATTCTGATGGCCAGGGAGAGAGGTTGGCAGGGGAGAAAAATCTATGTAGAAAACAAGAAAGACTGACTCCATCTCTGAGGCTGGTATCAAAGGAGGTTTGGGGTTGGAAATTAGATATAAAGTGGCCTACATCGATGACTAGCCCAGAGCATTGCCTTACAGATAGGGATGCTATTTTGGAAAATGTGAGGTTTTTCAGTTTTCTTGCTTTTATTCCAAACAAAGCTCTGAAGGAAGTCTGGGCGCGATCAATCTTGCTCACCAAAAGCCTTGACAGCTTCTGGCCCTTAAGAACACATTTCAGCTTCGAGCTCTTTCCAAGATCAAATGTGGCTGAGCAAAGAGGAGAGCAGGAAACGCAAGTAAACAAGGAAAACTAGGCTTTTAAAAAATATTTTTTGGCAGTGGAAAGGGTTATAGGGCTGCTTTTAGGAAAGGCGTTGTGTGGACTCTGGGATGGTGGCTTTTGGCATTGTTTTTAGCAGAAAATATTGAGGGGTTAAGGGAAGGGGGAGTTGCAGAGCAAGCAGCACTGCCCCATATCTCTGAGGCTTTGTCAGGGGCTGCGTGGGTGAGAGCTTTCTGCCTGCCTCAGCCGCCTTAATTCAAATACCATCTGGAAGAAAATGCTTTTCTCTGACCACTCAACACTAAAATCTTCCCCAAATCTATTACTTTAACTCAGGAAATATTTTAATAAGGATTTCTTTTTAATATCTAGGAAGCTGGGGGTGAGATCAATATTTTTTCTTTGAAAGCCAAAATGAATGTCTTGACTGGCAAGATCTGGGAAATCATATTAGAATCTCATTTAAAAATCTCTGCCCTGAGGGAAGGAGAAAGCCTCCAAACCATTCTTCCCTCAGCTAAAGAGTAGATTTCAGAAATGGGTTCCAATAGTGGTATTCCTGAAAGGTTTTCATCCTTGGGTGGAGATCTCTCTCTCTCTCCTCCTCCCCTCCACTCCACCCTACTGTTCCTTATTTTCCCAGGTAATGTTATACTCTTCTTTAAAATGATTACTTAAAAAGAAGACTCCTGTATCTGCTCAGCGTGAACAACCAAAAGGCGGAAGCTCCAGTCCTCACAAAGACTGGCTGTCCAGCCTCTGCATTTATGAGGTGCGCGCCATATTTCAGAAGGGAGGTTGGGGTGGTGGTGGGGGGAACAAATCCACCTTTTTCATAGTCCAAATTCTTTAAAAAGAAAGAAAATATATATATCAGGGGACTCAGGACAAATGCGGGGAAAGCACTTCTGGGTGTGAGAGAAACACTCAGCTCTCCAGAGCGCCTGGCTTTGCATCCTTTTTCTTAAAATATGAGGAGGTTCCCTAAAAGCAGCTCGTGGGAACCCAGTAGATACCCAGCTATGGCTTCAGTGCCTGCTTCTAGGGACCATTTGAGGGAGCTTCTCAGGGGGAAGACAGAGGCCGTGATGATGGATATTTTGAATTGCGAACAAAATGGCGACATTTTCCACTTCTGCCTCTGAAAGATACAATCCAGGGAGAGTGGGGTTTATTTCTCACGTCAGATGCTCCCGATCCCCGGACGAAGGCAGTTCCTCACTTCCATCTCTGAGCGGGGTGATGATGGGGATGCAGGTCTGAGGTTTGCATTTTCTGAGTGCGGTTCCTTCTCCGAGCCATTCTTCAATCTTAAAATGAGAATATTTCGCTTTACTGTGCCTGCCTTTGCCTCTACCAGCCAGTCAGTAGCAGGCAGCCCCATCTTAAATCCAGGGGTGGAAATGTAATATTTAGCTCCTGTAGCATCAAATGAAAGAAGTACTTATAAAACTACATTTTTATTAGAAAGATACCAATCTCCTCACTCTCCCCCCCTCCCCCTGGGGTCATAAAAAGAAAGCAGGGAGGGAAGGAGGAGAGGAAATAAATCCAGAGAATGCCAAATACTAAATTCAGGAGGAAGCTGATGCTGGGATTCGGGCAGCACAGGGAAGGGCTCACAGCCCTCCTCTTGCTGGAGACCTGAGCGAGCCTCAGTCCGGTTCAAACTGCTTCTCTCCGCGTACGGATCTTAGGAGCCTTTCTTTCCTCCTGGCGCGATACTGGACTGCGAAGCATCCCCGGAGGAGACCAGACGTCCGACTGCTCCTGGAAAGTGCTCGGCATCCTCCGCGCGGACAGCTATTTCCCGAGTTAAGGCGCTGGCCGGTCCACTTGGACCCGAGGAAGAGCGTGGAGGAGAAGACCGCCCCGCGTTATTTCCCGGCGGTGCTGCTCGGCACCTGTGAGCTCCCCGCTGCGCCTGGGGCCCGGCTGCCTTTGTTTCTTCGGCCTACAGCTCCGGGCAGCCCCTCAGCCCTCGGCCTGCCTCCGCAGCAGCTGGGAACCAGGCAGCCCAGCGGGGCCGGCGGCAAGACGTTCCCAGAGCTGCCGCCGCCAGGAGCCCCAGCCGCCGTCCGGAGAGTTCCAACTTCCAGGAGAGCCGCCTGGCCAGGCCCCAACGCCGGCCGGACCCGGTGGGCTGCCGCGCACAGCCTGCTCCGCCAGCGCGCCTCTGCCTAAATTCCACGCAGACCCTCATCTGGGGCCAAAGAACCCCTTCTAAACACGGATATTATTCAGAATAAAAACTTTATTTTTTGTTTTGTTTCTCAGAATGTGAGCAGCAAGGATTGTAGAACTCTCAAAACAAATCTAGCATTTTTCACGTTTACAGACTGTTTTTTCATTTTTGCCGGATGTTACAAACCTAAACCACTGTTTTCAAAAGCTGGATCCTATCTGGTTTTATTGCATCATTACCGTTTTTATAAAGGAATTATATTTCCCTTTCAAATAAAAAAATTTCTATGTACGCCAACACACCATTGAACAAAAGGCCCAAGAACCCTTCTGAACAATCAGGGTACAGAATTTCTTTAATATAAATACAAACGGATGGGGATAAATAATATTTAAAACTTAGATTATTCAATGCTTGCAAAAAAATATAAATAAATCTGACTGTTCACCAGCATACACACACGGAAAGACGTACACTTAATCATCCTTGCACAGGGAGCCCCTGTTTCAAAGCGCCTTTGATTTTTTTTTTTTCTCGCTCTTTACAAGAAGTGCAATTTAAAAAAACTAACAATTAAAAAAAAAGTAATCGCTTCCCCTCGGGAGCCATAATGTACGAACAAATTCACATTGAAAACTCGACTAGAAAATTTGTTCATATACCCTGTTTCTGATCAAAGAGTGGAGAAGGTAAAGGGTGCAGGGCCAGCGGCCAAGCTAGGAGCGGGAAGAGATAAATATCGCTACTGATACTGACAGCCATTCCAGCAACCAAGATTGCTACGTCACATAAACTATAAAAACGCGTTACCAAAGTGGGGGGAGGACGGGGAAGGGAGTTGGGGGGAGCAGAGAGGAGAGAGAAAACGGAAGGGCAGGAAGAACCTTAAAAAAAAAAAAAAAGCAACCAAAGAAGAAAGGTGGAGGGGTAGGGGGAGACTCTCCTGGCGCGTAGCCCCGAGCCCACCATCACAGGTGGGTGAGCTTGGGCGCTTCCTGAATTCTTCCCTGAGAAGGATGGTGGGCGGTAAGGTCCGTGTAGGTGGGGTGCGGCTCCCCCGGCCCTGGCCCATGGTGGTGGCCGCTTCCCAGCGGCCCAGCGCTCGCGTAGTCCATGGCGCCGGAAGCAGCGTGGGGGAGGTGAGTTAGGCCAAAGAGGGCAGGCCCAGAGTTGCTCATGGGTTCCACGTAGCTGCCCCCCACGAAGACGGGGCTTCCCTGTAAGTGTGGGGTCCCATAGCTGCTGTTGCCCTGCAGGCCATGAGCGTGTGGGTCATAGTCAGGGGTGCCCCCTGCACCGCCCCCCGCCGCTGTGTTATAGCGCTTCTGTGGAGGTGGCGGGGGCGCGCAGCTGGGCAGAGGCGCAGGGTAGGAGGCAGGGGGCAGCCCGTAGGCGCCCTGGGGAGGCTTAGAGAAGGGCGGGGGCGACTGGGGTTCATATGGGACGCTGTTGACCAGCGAATGCATAGAGTTCAGATAGCCGCCTGCGCCAGGAGGCACGGGACTGCGACTTGGGGACTGGCCCCCTGACGACGTTAGCATGCCCTTGCCCTTCTGATCCTTTTTGTACTTCATGCGGCGATTCTGGAACCAGATCTTGATTTGGCGTTCGGTGAGGTTCAGCAGGTTGGCCATCTCCACCCGGCGCGGCCGGCACAGATAGCGGTTGAAGTGGAACTCCTTCTCCAGCTCCACCAGCTGCGCGCTCGTGTAGGCCGTGCGCGCGCGCTTAGATGAAGCCTGCCCAGGCGGGCTCTTGTCGCCAGCGCAGCTCTCGCCTGGAGGACATAGGTGAGAGGAAGAGCGGCGTCAAGGACTGCCCTCGGCCCCCGCCCAGCCCCTGACCCAGCCTGGCCCCTACTTCCCCCAGGCCCCAAAGAGCCAGCCCTCCTTTTGTCCCCACCCAGAGAGATGTAGGAACTAGGTGCTTTCCTCCCTCCTGGTGGGAGAAACAGTGCAGGTAACTAGTCCCTCATTCAGCCAAGGACCAAATCATAGGCTTCTCCACAGGCATAGCACAGAAAAGCAGGAACCACAATTTACTCTTCTGATCTATATTTCCTTTGTGGAGCTATTAACTTTCTGACTCATATACTGATCTTTTGGGTCTATCAGACAACAAGCTCCCAGTGGGCAGGTCTCACCATCTTTATACCCTTCACAATAACTGAAATATGGGACACTTTAGGTACACACTCAAAACCTTCTTTCCCTCCCTCACTGTCTGACTGAATGATTAGGCAGTAGCTTCAATTTATTTCTGTCTACCCACAGAAGATGGGTAGAGTAGAAATCCCAAACTGAAAGGCCTTCTCTGCCCCACGAAAGAGATCCCACTGAAGGTATTCATTTCTGGTGAGACACCAGAAATGGTCTAGGCCCCTCATGCTGGGTCTTATTCATTAGGGTTCTTTATGTCATCAAGCAGCCTTCCTTAGCTCCCAGCTTCTGCCCACTGATCTTGTGCCCTCCTGGTAGCCTTGGCCTCCCAAATCCTGGCTTTGGAGGTCCAAAATGCTCAGGCCCAGAGCAGAGCACTAGCAACTGGAGAATGCAGGGGCAAAGGTAACCAAAATGCTAGGAAGCCCAAAGCCTGGGGCCTTTCCTCCATTGGAGTCTGGTTCCAGGAGGCCCCATGTGGTTCCCATTAGGATGACAAGTCCTCATCCCCTCTCCCAGAAGATCTCTGGCTGCTTTAATTGTACTAAGTCTGAGCAGGGTCTTCCCAGAGGTAAGGCAGCCACTCCATCTGCTGGAGCAAAAAAATTGGCTCTGATTATAGGCGAAGCATTGATTCTGTTTTGAAGGGTGATTAGACCTGCTTTTATTCTGCCACACTTCAGTATGGGGAAGATGTCACTATTTCATTAGAATAGAGGAGCTGTACTAAAAAGACAGACAGTGGCGCTCAGGTTGATTCTGCCTAGAGTCCTAATTCCAAGAGTGGAACAAAAAGGGGTTCCAACTGCATTAGGCCCCACTTGCCCTTGCAAATGTCCAGAGAGACTCCCATCAGGTCTCTGGGGTTTCCCAGTCCACAAAGATCTACCACCTCCCTAAGTTGCAAAGACTCTGAAAACCTTTTTTCTTGGGGGTGGGGAGAGTAAGAAGCAGTGAATTCCTGGAAATGTTCCAGCGCTCCTAGACTATGCTGGATGTGGCAGCAAAGCAGCTTGGGGTCTGGGAACCAGGCCAGAGAACCCTCCTCCAGAAGGCACTCCTTTACCTGAGCTGGAGCTGCTGGTTTTCTGCTTTGTGTTTTGCCGAGACTCTTTCATCCAGGGGAAGATTTGTTTGGCCACGGTGGGCGAGTTGAGCAGGGGGCTCTTGGCCGCGCTGGCGGGGGCGGGGTTGCCGCTGGCATTCTGAGGTGGGGAGACAGAAGAGGGGGGCGGGGGCGCTGCAGGGGTGGGTGCTGGGGGCTGCGGCGGGGGCTGCGGCGGCTGTGGTGCGGGGGGCGCGGCCTGGGGCGGCGGTGGGGGCAGGGGCGTCTCGCCCAGGCCTGGGGGCTGGCTGGGCGGGCCGCTGAGGGTGCGCAGGCACGCTTCGCTCAGCTCGTGCGCCTTAGGGTGGCCCCCAGCGCTGGCGGGCGACTGGAGAGAGCAGGCGGGTCGGTGGTACTCGCCGTCGGCGCCCAGAGCGGCGGACGCCGGGTACGGCTGCTGACTGGCATTATAAGGGAACCCGTTGGCTGCCTGGTAGGGGTAGCCACCGTAGATCGCCGAGCTGTCGTAGTAGGTCGCTTTTTGCATCGCGTTGTTTCACGATCTTGATCGCACACTCTGACAGGGGCTTGACACCCGTGAGGGCGCACATTGGCACGCCCCCGCGGTCACGTGACGCTCCGCCGCCAATGGCCGCCCCGCGCAGACCTGGGGGGGGGTGAGAAGCGTAGCGCGGTGAGGGCTCCGCGCAAATCCATCTTACTCTCAATAGCTAAGTGACATGAAAGCCATAAAAGAAAAAGTGGTCAGCAATATTTAGCAGCACGACTTGGCCCCGGGCGCAGGGAGCTGCGCTATAAAAAGCCGCTGGAATTTACTGGCAGCTACAAATATTTGCTTAACTTGCGTCTGGAGTTGGGGGATTTTCCGGGGAGAGAGAAGGAGAATGAGTGAGGGCTGGAAGCTGAGTCTTGGGAGTCGGATGTCCAAACGGAGAAAGGCCTGACAGGCTAGAAAGCAACAGGGTTGGGATCCTTCTTTTCCAGAGAAGAAGAAAGTTGGGGTGTCCCTTTCTCTCCGCTCTTTGGCCTACTCCAGAGAGCCTCCCTCTGCGGATCTTGGGGAAGGGGCAAGGAGGCAAAGGGAGGGATGCTTTGGGTCATCAGTTTTGTCTCCGCTTTAGGACTCTTATTTCCCAGAAAAACGGGGTGACTTCCCATCTAGCCCTTTCTTGGACCTTCCTGCCCCCAAGAGAGGTTTGCACAAAAAAATTTCAGACAATTGCCCTATTGGACTATGCTGGATTTCAGAAGCTGAGGCTGTTAGGCAGTTAATCCACCCTTGTTCAGGAATATGACCCATCTCTGCCAAATGAGCCCCTTGTGGCCAAGGAGGTGGGGAGAAAAAACTCTGGGTGGAACACATTGTGTGTGTGTGTGTGTGTGTGTGTGTGTGTGTGTGTGTTTAGAGGGAGGGACCAACAACACCTCATCCAGCAAGTCACAACTCAAATCCTGGACAGTTCTTTACTCATTTACTCCTTTCCTATTTCTCAGGCACTTCCAAGCAAGCCCCCCCCCTTTCCCCTAGTTACAGAAGACCCTCCTCAGACCCTCCTGCCTTGGACCTTCTGAGGTGCTGTTATTCAGGGCAACTATCAAATTCTACCTGTTAAAACATGATGGATTAGAGAAAAAAACAACCCACCAGGAACCTGAAAAACCAGCGTTCATCTCCATGACCACGGCTTGAACTCTCCTTCCAACTTAACGATAATAGGTTCTGTCTTAGAAACTGCTATGTAATTTGATGTATGGGGGTCATTTGGCTCCGGACTAGGGACGAGGGATGGAAGCACAAGCCATAAAATCTTGCCGAAGTTCCCTGATCTTTGTGTGCTGTTGTTGTTGTTATTTGTTACTTGGCCTATTTACCTGTTCCAGAAACACCAAGTAAAGGATAACATTGAAAATCTAAAAAACAATTGAAAACCATCTCAGCTCTCTTTTATTTAGAAATCAGTTTGCAGAAGTGAATTCTATGTTTTCTTTTTGTTGTCAACCTTTGCATGGTCAACCTCTGGTTCTCAGCACAGAAAAGTTCCATTTAAGTTTCATATATTCTCTCTCTCTCTCATGTTAGTTCCTCTGACCACTGAAGATAATTATAATAACAGATTCATGAAGAAAATGTTTTTACATTTCATGTCCCAACTATGTGCATTGAGTACCAGAGTTATTCCAGTTTTCAAGGAATATCAGATACTTTAAAAAAAGATAATGTATTGCATCTATGATCATAATTTCATCTTTAATAATGGTTTCCTTTAGATTTCATTATTAAACGAACAATCTAACATCTGGAAAACAGACAGAATTAATTTTCAAGAACCTCAATTAAAAATTACAGCATCCTTTATCCTGAGTTTTTGTGCATTATTATGAGCCCTGAAATATTGTTTCTCTTTTGGAAATAGATCAGAAGCTACAGATACCACGATCAAAAGCAAATAAAGTATAAAATAAAATTTAAAACTGACTAGCAATTTCATGTCTCAGTTTCTTTTTCTTTCACTGAAAACAGTTCCTATTACATTGGGCAGTGTTAATGTCTGCCATTATAAATTTTTTAGATACCAGGCTTGTGTAAAATAAAACGTCAGGTTAAGAAAATTACTCTAGACACTTGAACAGCAAGATATTAGATAAAACAAAATTAAGTTGATTTTGAACATGCAATATTTCTAGTGACTTGCTAATCCATTATCACAGTCTATACCAGCCAGCTGCTTACTTAAGCCTTTTCATCAAGCTGTGCATTGTCTTGTAAAATAACAAAAATATCTTTGAAAATGAAAGAGTATACAACAGCCTCATAAACTTAAAATACAATTCAACTCTGAGATCCCACCAAAGCCTTTCCTATTGTTTGAGGGTAGCAGACCACCACCTTGGAACTCATGTCCCCCCCCCCAACCTAGCCCCCAAAGTTTGCAACCTAGTAAAGAAGTTGGCGATTTGCCAGCCAGGAAACTTTGCTTTGTACCCCCAAGCAAAGGCCGGGGACAGGGGGAGATTCCTCCACAAAGATCTGTTTCTGGACAATAACCCCCAGGTACAAGAGCTGCAAGAGAGCTGAGGAGGCTAAATTGAGTGCAGGAAGCAAGCCCCTATTGTCTCTCTGGAAGATATGCCCAAATTCAACCTCCTTCTTTCAGAACTCCATCCCTCTTTCCACTCCCTCCTCTTCCTCCGCCTGCCCTCACCCCAAATTTGAGCGGGAACTTGGGGTAAGAGTCCCCGCGTCCCCTTCCTCAGCCCCCCAACCAAGAAAAGTTGAAGCTGGGCTAGAGGAGATGGAAGAGGTGGGGGCGGGGATGGGAAAGCGGCCTGAACTCTAAGTGTAAGGGTATCAGTCACTGCCGAGAAGGAAGCTCCGGCTTGTGAACTCTTCTTGAACCGAGATTTAAGTCTGCAGCCATAAATCACCGAGACGTAAACTCCGCCATTCAGCGCTGAGAGCGGCCGGTTGTGGCCCTGCTTACCTTAACTTCTGACGAGCGGCGTGAGCGCAGGCTCGGGCACGGGCTCCGGCCCCCGGCCCGGTCGGTGGCCCGGCCGGGTCCCCTCGGCGCGGGATGGGCACCGACCCTCAGCATCAGCCGAGACGCCAGGCAGGCAGGAGACCCCGAGGCCCGGACACCGCCGCGCAGAGCGTGGCCGCCTCGCTGCTCCGGCACGGCTTGCCCAGGGCAGACTGGGGCGGCTTGGACCCCCCCTCCCACCCACCCCACCCACCCCTCCCCCACACCCCCGCCCCCTGCCCTTCCCGAGGGCAGCAGCCGCGGCCCGGAGATAAGCGCTAGCACGGCACCCGGCTCTGCCTGGGCTAGTGGCACCGACTTGGGTATGTTTCTTATGAATATTACACGCAGAGCAGCTCTGGGGGGGCAATGGGGGGTGCTGGGGCGGGCGGGAGGGGAGACTAAGGCTGCTGGGGAAGCGCGGGCCGACGTGGGGGATGGGACTGAAACGAGGGGAGGGACCCGAGGTGGGGGGAGCTCCTCAGCGGCGGGAGGAGGGTATCCTCCCCCCACCCCCAATGTCCTCCCTCTCTTCGCTCCTAGGCGTCACTAAAGTCCAGGAAAATTATGCTAATGAGGACAAAAGGCTCTCACAAAGGGGATCTCTTGCCGGGCCTCTATTTCTTAGGAATCCTTTTGAGAAACCACGAATCTGCTCTGGACATTTCCAGTTGTGGGGCGAGGGGAAAGAGAGACAGGAGAAGTTGAGTTCCCCAGACTTTGGACAGTTTACCTCACCTGCCAACCTCAATCCAGGCACCCCAAAGCCGATCTGTGGGGAGACCTGGATAAGGCTTTTCTCCAGAGATCTCCCCAAGAGCCAACTGGGCTGTCTTTGGTTATATTTTTCGGCAGAAGTGGCTGAAATCCTGGCAGCCAGGAGGGAAGTGTCCTGGGGTAGATGTACATTTGTCCCAGCAGCGAAACAGGAGGGCCCTGGCTCAGGTACACACAAGGGTGTCTAGAAACGCGGCTCTCCAGCGATCCTGTGCCCATTTCACAGTACAGACTCGCAGCTCGCCCACAGGGAAGACAGATAAAGCTCTCACTCCCACAGAAACCGACATCCATGATATACATATATATATGTTTTTTCTTAATTAGTGGGATGGAGGAACACTGAGCTGAGCAGAGGAAACGCACGGATTTGCCTGGTAATAGTGCTACAACTTTAAAGAGGATGGTTTCCCTCCCAAAGCCTCCCTCAGCCACCCAGGTTCAGAAGCAAACTCTGCAAGGGTTTGAGTGTGGCAAAAAGAGAGAAATGGAGATTTCGTGCAATTCTGAGGCGTCAACGGCGGGCCCTTCTCAAAGGAAGGTGTTAAAAATATAAGTAGTATGTTTAAACTGTCAGGGAGCCAAAGTGTCACCTTAGAGCAAAAACAAAGCCAGGGGAAAAGGGAGAAATCAAAAAGCACTCCGAGCCAGGGTGGCCTCATGCATACCAATGGTTTTTGTCATTTATGGCTGGGCAAGATTTATGACTCGGCGCCCCAAAGCTGTAAACAGAGCACAAAACAGCAAACACTTGCTCCTTATGGCATATTGCGGCGGAGCAACTTGAAAGGGGGAGCCCGGGCCGCGTAGGAGGCGAGAGCCGGCCGCACAAATCCGCGCTCCGTGGCATTTTCTCTTCAAACCTACCCAGTCGGATGTGGCATTTAAAGAAAGAAGGCGTGGGTCAATAATCAACCCGCACTTTCTCCTCCAAACTGCTGACGCTACTCTCACCGCCTTCTCAGCTAAGCCAGCTGCTAGAAAGGCCAGCTCTCCGTGAGAACCTCCCGGGGAGCGGACGGTCTGGGCCAAGGGGGCCAGGGCGCCCGGAATGCATACCTTTCCACTGGCGCCAAGACCACGCCGGGTAAAACGCGAGGACTGGACGAGAAGAGCCGCAGGAACCAAGGCAGATCTGGGGCGGGAGCTCAGCTCGGGTCAGGGCCTCTATCAACCCTCGACTAGGTGGCTTCTGGGCTGAGGGCCTTAGCTGGCAGAAACGGGGCTTCAACCTCAAGACTAGGATCTGGAGTCCTGGCACTCAGATTGCCGGTGCCCGGCCTCACGCCTCTCTGCTGAAATCCAAAGGACTGGCTTTGCAGCAAGAGCAGGCGAGATGATTTTAAAACAATAATTTATAGTGGTGGAAGGTTTTTGTTTGTTGGTGTATTTTTTTTTTTAAGAGAAAATACCGCTTGTTAATTTCCACCTCCAGAAATTACCCGCTGCTGCTGCTGCCGCTGTGGGCGTTCTAGGCAAAATCCCTCGGCAGCTCACCCGGCTCCGCCAAAACCACCGAGCTTTGCAATACTGAGAGGACCCCTTGGCTCCCCCAATTCCCCAAAATCCTTGGTTCCCGATCTCTCATCCAAGGAGACTAGAAGAAAACATTTTTCAGCGCTAGAAGAATATTTGGAACAGCAAAGGTGCCTGTGGTGCCTTTCCACCATTCAAGGGGGTGTCCTCCTGAACGCGTCTGTGGGGGCCTCCAGCAGCTCCAAGGCTGTGCAGCCAGGGAGGAAGGTGAGGAATAATTGTGGGCAGGAAGAGGCATCAAAATCCCAAAATGGGGAGGAAAATTATTGAGGAATTATACTTGCCTGTGAGGGTGAGGCTGGCATTCTGAGAGTAGAAGGGAACCAGCCTTCTTTGATAACTAATAGATTAGCTATAATTGGAAAGGCTTTACCTCTTTCCTAGGAGGAAAAACTAGCCCAAGCTCTATGACTGTGGCTATTGGTTTCTTGCTGCTTCTCACTATTCACAATTTTATACAGAACCAGCTTGAGAGTTCATCGCTAGATATTTATTCAGCTTGCTGGCACTGAAGCGACAATAAAAAGATGCCTCTAACAAACCTCTATTCCCTCTCTCATTCTTTCTAGCGAAACTATATTATTTATGAGTCTTTAACTGGGTCAAAAATGCGCCAGAACTGGGTCATAAATCATATGAAATGCTGACAAGTAATTGAACAGCAATTAAAGCTTACATTTTATTTCCAAGGGGTGTTTTAGAGCACTTGAAAGGGCCTCAGTTAAACATGGTTACTGCCGAGGCCAGCATGGGGGAGGGCAGAAGGGCCCTTTCCTTCTGGGAAAGTAAATCCCACTCAAGTAGGGGAAGCCTGATTTGATTTTTTTTTCCAAGTACAGAAAGAAATAAGATTTTTTAAAAAGTCAAATGGGCAAATCCGATTTCTGACTTGTAGGCATCCTTTTTCCTACTCCAAGGAGCAGAAAAAAGTGAAGTTTCCTTCCCCTTTCCAGGGAGTTTTTCACTCTTCCCAGGAGTGTGGGGTCCCCAAAGCAAAATTAGCTTGGGCTTTCCCAGTAATTTGGAAGCATACAGTTTAACTTTCATCTGCCTCCATCCTGGCTACAGCTCAGTTTTTGGGACTGTAAAGCTGGAGAGATGTCTGTCTCTGCTTCCTGAGGACTTTATGTCCAGACTTTTCTCCCACCCAGGGTGCACGGGCCAGTTCTAAAATTCTCCAAACATGCTGTGGACATACAGGGAGTGTCCGGACTAAGCACGCTGGTGAAACCTAAATGCAGCCTCAGCTTGGCTCCCTCCTTTCTCTGTCTCCTGAATGTTAGAATAAATGAGCTCAGGCATCTAGTATGCTCACCCCCACCCCAAGGCTCTCCTAGATCTGAACAGTCTTTCTCTATCCCTCCTGAGGCAGAGGGTGCTCGGGAAATAATGGGTGAACGCTCTGATCTGGTACCAGCCCTCCAGTCCAGTCTGGCTCCCTGGGTCTGGCTTCTTCTGTTCGGTTTATGGGAAAACATGCTCCGTAACCCAGCACTGAACAAAGTGTCTGGAAGCATCATCAATAAAATGGCAGCACATCTACACATTTCCCTCATTGATTTCCCTCTTCCAGCTGCTCAGGCTGCTCCAATTCTCCATCCCTGGTAGAATAACACCACCTACCTGGGAGAAATTTCCCTTTTCACCCACCCAGTGCCCATCTCCTCCAGGCGATTTCGCCTTGGGAGCTTCAGTGCTGCACCTCGCTTCAGTGCAGCCCCCAGGCTTCAGGACCCTCTCTCTGCCTGAGGCTCAGCTCCTCAGACTCCAGCCCTGCCCCGCTGCAGTGGACAAAGCCACCCGTGCACCAAAGGCCATGGGGGCCCACCTAGTAGCCTCCAAGTGCCCCCCTCCTTTATTCCCCCAACACTTTCCAGGGAATTAAACTAAGAGTCTGAGTCGCTATTGGAAATCTTTCAAACGGTTTCGATTCTAAAAGAGAAACAAAGGAAGAGAGAGGCTGAGGGTCCTGTCCATGAGCCAGGGTCTCCTCCCCTGACCTTTGTCTCTCACAGCCATAACTCACTGTAGATATGAACAATCAGCGGAAATACCTTAAAATAAATTCCATCCTCCTGGTGTGGCCTTGAGTCCCATCGGTTAGCTCTTAGCTCTAGCTCGCCCAGAACCGTTCCATGAGTGCTGAAAACTGCAACCAGCTCAGAGAGCGCTCTCCGAGAAGGAGAAGGAGGAGGTGGGTGCGTGGGGGTGGAGGGGGAAAGCTCTGGCTCTGTAGAGAATCTAGAAAATGTAATCACAGGAGAAGCCTGCCTGGGTCTCCGCTCCAAATGCCACAATAATGCGCTGTATTATGTGCTCACGTGGTCATACGTCAACTTAAATCCTTTTATTTGAAATAGGGAATCACTGAAGGAACTAGGTTTCCAAGCAGAACATTTAGCTCTGGGGGAGGAGAGGGGAGGATCCCTGACCAACAGTCTGTAAGAATTTTGTATAAGCAGTAGGATGCTGCCCTCCCCCCGCCCATGTATGCCATATAAGACCGTTTATTTCCACTTATATTTCTTTACACATACTCCAAACACAAGGGAACAGCAATGCTATCCATATTCTTAGAGTCCACTTAACTTTCCTTATGGTCTCCTGCCCACAAACAAGCTGAATCCTGCATACCCAAGCACCCCAGTCTCCTGTGGCCCACAGGCCAGCATATCAAAAGGCAAGGGCCAGGCCCAGAATTGACTGGCCTGGTCAGAGACTTCCTCAGGCCTGCCATTGTATGGAGTCTACTAACACCCACACCATACACCACAGCCACTGGAGAAACCAAAAAGACCCATAGTTACCTGACAAAAGGTTAAGGCATCTCCTCCAAGTCCAGCTGGTTTTGTTCAATGGGAGCCCACTAGGAAAGATGTGCTTGGCTATAGAATGGTTAAGTGAGGATTTTACAAAGTCTGGAAGTACCTAGTGCCCTGGCCAAAGCTGTACTTACGCATTTCCTTAGTGCATAGCTGAGTGATACATGAAATTATAGGTTTCTAAAGATGAAAAATGTCAGGGGAAATGATCTAATTGTCTCTGCTAGAGAAAAAAATGAACCAACCTTCACTGGAGTCCCTTAAGTTAACCTACAAGACAACCTGGGACTCTTCCTACAGGCTGGTCTATCCACCCTCCCCTAAGACAATCCTAAATCCATCAGCAAACTCTCCCCCCAAGCCCCTGCCAAGTCTCTGCAGAAACATCAACTGAAAGATGAGAAGGGTCTCCCTTCTGAACTCTCAGAACAGTCTTAAGCAGAGAACCAACTCTGCCCAGAAGGAACCTTACTAAAACAAATAAGCTGTACCCACCCTTGTTCTACCCCTACTGTTGCCTTCTGCTTGGTGACACTGCTCCCTGATTTCAACACTGCACCTTTTTGCCAGCTGTCTAAAATGTTAATCTCTTCTGCTCTTAGTTTCTGAACTTTGAGAGTGCTCTGAGGCTGGTAAGATCCTCATGCCATATTCTTTTGTTCCTTGAGAGTAGGTCTTCAGCTGGCTAAGTGTGAGGACTCACTTGAAGCAGCTGCAGGAGGCTGTGCATGATTCTTCCCCTACTCTATTCCCCTGCAGGGGAGCAGAAGGGCTCTGATGAGAATGTAAAGCCCTCAATAAGGAGGCCTGGTCTTGGGGAATCCAAATCAGAAGGGCAATAAAAGAGGAGACCTAATCCTGTGGAAGCAAGCCCATACCTAAACTGGTAGCAGTATTCCAATAAGGTTCTGTCTGTGGTATAGCTGGAAGAAGGAACTTACCTAGCTCCTATCTCAGTCACAAGCTGGAAAATAAAAACCCAAAGTGAAAAACCTGCCTTTCTCAGGTTTGAGGGATTCGGGGAAAGGGATCAAAAGCTGGTTTCCAAAAAGCATTCTCCTGTCCCCCGTGATCTCAGTCCTCTAATTCTTACTGACCTGTGCTCCGCTTATACCCTCCCTAATCATTCATATTGTGCCCTCTAGATACTCTTAAAAGGAACCTGAAAGTATTGCCCAGTTACTGGCAAACTCTCCTCTCTAAATTTCTGGAGATGTATCAACTCAAAGATAAGAAGGGGCCTCCTTCAGAACTCTCAGAACAGTCTTTAGCAAATCGAAACTCTTGAGGTCATAAATCAATGGGAGAAATCCTTGGTACTGCTTCAGAAAATGCCTTAATGCCAGCAAGGCCCAGAGGCATCTCAGCTCTAGGTTGGAGCCTCCATACCACTGCTAACATCCCAGTTAATGTTTCAACTGCTGTTTAACAATTAACATTAACGACTTGGGGTGGGATGGGGTGACTTAGTAGGATGAGAAGGGAAAGAAATCTGATAAGTCAAAGGAAATTTAACTTCTGAGGTTAAAAAACAGCTTCCCTAAGAGAGATCTTGGCCTGGGCAACCCATCCAGGGAACCAGCAGCTGAGAGTTCTCCTTCACCACTCTGAAATCCATTTTCCTGGAGCAAAGCTATGGGCTGTTTAAAAATCCAGCTGCCAGTCCCCCTTTACTCACTCCTCTGGCCTCCAACCTAGCCAGGGCTGGGACTCACACTGTGGTCCAGGCCACCAGAGCCAAAATAGAGGGAAAGTTGGCTTGGAAGGAGCAGGCAACCAAGGATACAGACCGTTAGTCAATATTTGCAAAGCTGTTGGCAGATTAGATGTATCTGTACTCAAACACTGCAATCTGATTTCTCTATCAAAAATACACTTAACATTTTTGTTCCTTTAGTTAAGTCTAGGAGGTTTTCTACTCAGCATCAGGTAAGGCTCTCTTAGCCCACAGTGTGTGTACGTACACAAGTGTAGATGATAGATTATTTAACATGAGATATTTCCTGTGGGTGCAACTGTGTACAAATAGGCTCCAAGTCCTCTGGATACATGTGAATGTGTACATCTATCCTATTATACAGATGGCCCCAAACTCCTGCAACTATTTATACATGCAATTGTTCTGTTGTTTGAAGAGATGAAAATCATATACACACACCAAGTTGCAAATTCCTGAAATGTTCCACCTATATTTGATTTAAACAGATACACAGTAGCTGATAAAGCAACTCAGCTTTACTATTACTGTTTACTTCCTATCGGATAAAATACTAATTGCATCCAGAATACCATATCAGCTTTAGAGCACCACCGACTAGCATGTTGCAATTAATTAACAACCTGATATTTATTTTAGGACCAATTTTAGGGAACACCGAGGTATAAGAAATAGAAAACAAAAATCTCTAAAACTTTTTAAAAAGTAGTAATTCCTGAAAAAACAAAAGCAAACTCATTCGTTAATAACAGCTTCTGAATGGTATTTCAGCAGCCCCTCCCCCAAACAGGCATGTAATTTATGGATCTTTTACAAGGTAATAAACCACAGTAATTACCTCACTGCATCCCAAACTAAGAGAACAAATTAAGGCAGAACTTGAAAAGAATTTTAAAGAGTTTTCCCTTGTTCCAAATAGGAAAAGAAAACGCCAAGACATAGAAGACCATGCTTTTCCCGTAGGAAGAACCGCGATCTGCCCTGATGAAGGAAGAAGACCCTCTGCCTGCGAAGGCCTGAACACTCGAAATACAGCAACTTCTCTCATGCCTGGGAAAGGCAAAAGGGTCAGAGAAACTGCAAGGCGGTGAGACAACTTTTCCTCAACAGAGAGCTGGTACTGGCGACAATTTCCTAACTCATACAGTCTCCGCAGTTGACAAGGAGAGCGGCCCACGCAGCAGCTGCAGCGGCTGCAGTGCCCGTGGCCTCTACTTGCTTTTGCCCTGCTAGTTCCCTGTAGTGGTTTGTTTGGGGCTTGCAGGAAGAAACAAACACACCCCCTCTGACTCCCCCTACCCCATCTTTGGCTTTTGCAGCCACTGCTCCCGCCTATGGCCCAGTCTGGGGTAGACTCTTTCTTTGTCTGCCTGAAGCCCCACATTCTCGGGGCACGCTGCTGTAGAGAATCCAACTCCAAACTCCACAGAAGTTAAATATTGACCAGAATCTCTTTCAACCGGCTGCAATTGCCAGGAGCCCTGGAGGGTAAACTCCTCCCAGCCACCCTGTTGCAAAGTCCCGCACAGCGAAGAGTTTTGGCACAGCACTTACCTCCAAAGATGTTTAAATCTGAACCAGGAATTGTCTCCAACTCCAGGCGCTCAGGGAATTGCCTTTTCTGGTGTCCAGACGCTCTGCAGACAAATAAACAGCAGAGGGTGAACGGTGGCTGTGAAGGAAGGGAGTTGAAGGACCGGAGTGGGAAGCGCGGCTCGTGTGGGCGCCAAGGTGGCCCCGAGGGTGACGCGGACACGGAGGAGTCGCCAGGGCACTCGTCCATGCGGCGCACTCATTGCTCGAAATGTTCCATTCTACAAATGGCCCGAAGATAGTGATTTATTTTTGTAAAATAAATGCATACTCCATATCCGCACCCGAATTCTCTCCTTTTCCTTTTTTCTTGGGAGGGGGGCAGGGAAAGGGGAAAGAAAATGAACCAGATGAAGGAAGATGGGAAGGTGGAAGAGGCTTTGCTGAGGGTGTGGGCTCCTCTCCGAGAGCTCCTCACGCACCCCAACTTGGAGAATGTGAATGCTGGCTTTATTTTCTTTTCCTAACAAAGGGAAGCCTTGTCTGGGAGCATTCAATCACAGAGTCTCCTGAAACCTCACTAATAGTGCTCATTTCTGTTGGCGCAAAATCAGACCCGGGCTCAGTCCACGGGCAGGAGGCTGTCGTGAGAGGTTTTGTCTTCTGGTTCATTCAAGTCAGGGGCGCTCACTTCTTGGTCCTAGTGGGCTGTCCAGAGGATCACAGCCCCAGTCTCTCAGAGCAGGCCAACTAAGGCTGCTGAAAACTGGAAGAATGCAGGCACTGGACAATACCAGGTCAGGAGGTCTGATCCTGCCCCGCCTGTGTGGTGGGCAAAAGTAGGCTCCGTGCTCTAATTCTGCTGCAATCTCATCCCTTGCAATATTTGCAACCCTCTCTTGCCCTCTAACCATCAAATGGTCATCAAGCTGTCAGCCAACTTTTCTAGGGTGGGAGACACTGGGGAAGAGGCAAAGAATTGTGCCTTGAGCGGGGTCCTGCCTTGGAGAAGTCCTCCCCCGGCAGGGACTCTGCAGGGCCCTTGGCTTCCACAGACCCAGCCTTGCTCCCACTGCTCCCTCACACAGACACAGGTAGCCTCCCCTAAACTGCAGCCTGCCCTCAACCAGTCCTTTGCTGTCTGCCCTGGGTCCATGCAATCCTGTTGGCGGCCCCACGAGGAGCTACCAAATAGCTGAGGAGTCCCTTAGCACCGTGAACTAGTGGCGGCAAACCAGCAACTGCCCTCTGTCACTGCTGACCTGCAGCCCCCACAAGCCTTGAAAATGGGACTCAGAATTCCTGCATGCCTTTCTCTTGTCCAAACCTGCCGTCTGCATCCCCAGAGGGAGCGCCCCCTGACCTTGGGACTCTTGGCGTGACCCCAAGCAAGGTGGGCTCAGCCATCCTGCACTCTGCCACTCAACTTCGCCCCCGGAGAGATCCGCTATGCCACCATCCACCACGGCCGCCCCGCGCGACGCTCAGGAGCACTGTAATTGTTATGGTTGTTATAGCTTTTTTCTATTTCCTTCTCCCCAAGTCTAATATTCGTGGTTGCCGTTCCCCATAAATCGTTCAGACTAATGAGTCACAGGGAGACGAGGCCCAGGTCTCTGGCTCTGCAATGGCCGCCGCCGCCGCGGCCTCTGCCTCCGCGATTTTGGCGCTCGCTTGCTCCCTCGCTCGCCCGGCGCGGGTGATTTATGAACGCCGGGAAAATTGAACAAAGCCGCGCGCCCGTCCTGTGGTATCTCTGCAGCCTTCCCCAGCGTGAATCAGAACATTACCGACTGTCTGCGCATCCGTCCCACTTCATCACCGAAGCCAAGATGTGACCGCAGAAAACCCAAGCCCGAACTCACGTTTCCCCGACACTGGCGCGCTCCGGGGCTGGCAGGAACCCTGTGGAAAGCGCCCCAGGACCCAGCGGGGGCCTGCTGGCTCCGGTCCTGCCCGCCGAAGAGCTCTCTCTCTTTCTCTTGCCTTCCTGAAGGAGTTAAAAGCCTTTGGAGATAAATCTGAGGGTGTGTGTCTTAAAAAAAAAAACCAAATAGGAAGTTGGAGTCTCACTTCTGAGAGATTCATTCCTAGTGAGGCCCTGACGACTCCGATCCATTCCTGACGATCTGCATTAATTATTTAATGAGCCACGTGACCTCAAAGATTACAATTTCAATATCTCCCTCCACAAGGCACTACACCTTTATCAGCTGCAACCAGGGTCCTTGTTTGGCTTTTCTGTTCCCCAGGCCTCCGGAGCACATTCACCGTTGCCCTGATTTGGGGCAAGTGACCACCATCATAATATATAGGTGAGAGCATAGCATAGTAGCATTAGTCATTCTGGGATTATGAACATTGTAGACAGTGGGGAGCTCAGGGCTCTCCCTGGCACCCTGACATCCATCCCTTCCTGAGCCTAGTGGTCAGCCTTTCTGCCTGCCACGACTAGGGTGGTTTGGTTACAAAACCTCTCCAGGTAGCCTGATGGCCCATCAGGCAAGAACCCACCCTTCCCTTCTTTCCTGGCTGCACACACCTGGCCATCCATGTCAAGTGTAAGCCTAGATGCATATATCCGTTCCCAGCAGAATAGCCTCCTCCGCAGAGAGAAGATGTCTATGCATTTACCCCATGGAGGTGAGACCAAAGGGTCCATTCAACCTACACACTTACTGACATAATGAACATGGGGTGGGAATTATTCAGCTGCCTCAGCTTTCTCATCTGTGAACTGTGAAGGTGAACCAAAATGGCCTCCTGGTCTTTCACCCTGGACACTCTTTCAATGTGGCATTTTCTTTCAGCCTCAGGAATCAATCCCCAAAAGAGTGGGCCTGGCCTGAAGGGGTGGAGGACAGGAGGGTGCTCCATGAGTTTAGAGCCTTCAGAAGAAGAGATGCCAGAGTTCCAAGCCAGAAGTTACAGACTAGAAGGTTTTAAGACAGCCACAGCAGCCCCCCTGATGCCATCAAAAGATGTATATTCTCTTCCTTCTATTTTTTCCAGCCCATACTTTTTAAGACACAAAGCAAGGTTATTCTTGGGCCAGTGTGAAATACAGAGGAGGGGCAACAAAAGCCACAGCTGAGAAAGATGAGCCTGTGTTCTCCTATAGCATAGGAGTGCATCTAGGGATGTGGAGACCAAGGGAGTGCCAAGGACAGCAAGCACATTGCCTGCACAGGAGCCACTCATTCCATGGGAAGCCCCAGGTTTCTGTTGCTACATTGATTCTTTGGCATTTTTTCTTCTTTCTTTCTATTCTAAAGAGTCCCTGATTCATTTCTACGTTGGAACTGCTAGAGGGAAGGCAACAGTGAGAAGAGCAGCGGAGTTTGGAAGCTTCAGGGAACAAGGGGACAGAGGAGAGATGGTGAGATGGTGACACCCACCCCATGGGGAGGAGGCTGAGATGTAAGGGACTGGGGCACCCTGGCACAGCTGGGTATAAAGTCGGAAAAGCTGTGCAAAGGCCCCCCCCCTCACCCCATATATCTAGGTAATCTTCCCATGAGCTCCATCCTGGGTATTAAGTACTCTACTATGCCTGTCACAGTTGAATTCCTGCTGTAATAAAACACCAGGTATGTCGTAGATTTCAGCAAAACTAGGAAAGAAAGCCTGCAAAGTGCCATTTTTCTTCAAGGGGGAGAATGTTAAGTACTTAATTCAAACTGTGACCATTAAAGTGTCTCCTATCCGATTTAGGTTGATTTCAGATGTTGACAAAACTTTTATCTCCCAAGTCATGCACAGCTTGGCTCTGTGACTAAAGCAGATGAGTGTGTATTGGAGGGAGGAAGGGAGGGAAAAGAGGAGAAAATTTGTAAGGGTCATTTTGGTAGGAGAATTATAGAACTTACACAAAATACTGTCTTTAAAGGTCAAGGGTTTGAGGGGCCAGTAGGGTTTGCTTAAAAAAAAAAACAATTAATGAGATAGAAAATTTGTCCTCTTGGTGAACTCTTATGGTTGCCCTAGCAAAGGGCAGACAATGCACGATTTTGAAGCACAAAGTGGGATTTTCTAATCTGTTACAACAAGCTCCCTTAAAGGCCAAATCTGAAACAGGCAAGACACCGTGAAGAAATGACATGATCATTTGGATCACTTTCAATAATTTTGATTTTGTAAAACTTGCCAATACCTTAACAACCAATACAGTTTGGACAAAAACGGCATTTTGTCATGGAATATCAGAAAAACTATATCCATTCTCTCTCTTCTTTTCTGGATAGATTATAAAAGCAAGTGAAAGAAAGTCATCCCCATACAAGCTACCTCCAGCGTGAAGCTAATGAATGTCCTCATACCCCTCCTTTCCCACAAAGAAGAAATATAAGAATTTACCTTAAATGATGACAATCTGCCATTTGAGATTTTGCAGCTTGACACTCAATTTCCACCAAGAGTCTAGGCATTTTTTTTTTAGCAGACAGCCAAGATGCTGCGTCTTTGCCCGAAACCACATTATTTGCAAGAAGATCCCTCTCTCCTCCACAGACTTTTCCCAGAGAATGCCTTTCAGAATTGCTGTTGAATTACAAAGAAGTATTTATTGTATGAGGTGATTAATGATTCCTGGGAAAATTGCTATTTTCAGCGTGATTTAATTTCGTTTTACAAGTGCGTGTAGTGGGGGGAGAGTTAATAAGTTTCAGCAGCAGTTGCACTGCCTCCAGAAATCCTTGGCACCCGTTCACACCTTATAAAATGTGCTTTATGCCAGGTTTGCCCTGACTTAGGAAGGCGTGTATTTGTTTGCCCCTGAATTTTCTTGGCCCCTTAGAGACTAGTGTCCATCACTTTCTTCTCAACTCTAGTTTGTCTGTAGGTACAGAACTGATCACCCTTGTCCACATCAAACACAGGGCAGCAGGATGAAAGAAGTACCAGCAGTGATACTGGCTAAAGGGTTTTTCCACTGATGAAAAAAATTTGTTTAAAATTCCTCTGATATTGCAGATGTAATTGAGCAGCCCCTTTCCTTTCGTCTTTGCTAAAATTACTACATGCCCTGAAAACTACACTTTTAAAGGCCAAGTGACAGTTCTAATATTATGGGGCTAGTGTGCATTGGTTTTCTGTATCTTGTTGCAAGGTACTCCCTACAGTGAGCACCAAGCCTAAATCAGTAAACTAATACTAGGGGTAAGGAGATTGAGAAATGAGTTTTGATTTTTGACCTTTTGGATCTAGATATCGGGAATTGAGCAGAAAGATCACAGACAATTTGAGGAAAGTGACCCCTGTTCACAGTATGGCTTTCTTCCTGCAGTGAACTCTCCTAGGTCTACTTTGTTTAGGGTGAATTTGGGGGATATCATTATGTTTTTTCTTTCCTCAGAAGAAACTTTGGAGAGTATACTGGGAAAATTCACTTTATTTTGAAAGCCATTCCTTCAAAAAAGAGAAAAAAGCAAACAAACACAAATTCTCAAGCTGTAGTTACTGAAGAGAACCTTAAGAACAGCCAAGAAATAAAAAACAATCTCAACCCTTTGCACAAACTATTTTTTATCTCCAGGGAAACAGGCAGATTAAGTGTGAAGGTGCAATAAATACCAAAGGGACCACTTCTTTCCAAGTGTGCTCAGAGTTCAGTGTGTAGAACAGCTGCAGAAACTCCTGGGCCTGCAGCACTGCATGGTTTCAGCTTTCATTGCAGGGAAGGACATGTTTCTATGCCTTACAGAGACTTGAAGCCTGAAAGCCTAGCCAAGTTTGGGAAGAAGAGGAGCCCTCTCAGAGCTCAAGAGCCTTCCTGCTTTTTGGAACTTTTCCATAGCGGGTCAAGCCTGACAAGAGTTCAGCTCAAGTTGAACAACACACACACACACACACACACACACACACACAACCATGTGAGTAGTCAGAATCCTAGCAAACACAACCCAAGCCATCTACAAGGTTTTTATATTCAAGGTCAAGCATCTCAATCCACAGGACTTTTGTTTTCTTAATGAAAAGCTTAGAAAACACACAAATCTGTCTTAGATTTTTAATGTTTTTTTAAATGGAGTTTATTCTTAGCATATGGCTTTCTATATAGCCATATCACAATTTGTACAGTTCCATATAGATCTAAATGAACTCCCCTCTCCCCCAAGATTGTGCCCCAGAATAGGACAATATCTCTATAACAATATCTTAAATAAATGCAAGGAAGGGAAACTAACATGTCACACCTACCATGAAAGTCTACACATTTTGAGAATTAAATAATCTTGTGAGGCCCACAATGTCTACTCATTTATTCAGTTCAATACAAGCTTGTATGAGCTGCCTTAATAGGGGAGAAGGAGGTAAGAAAGGTGGGGAAAGGGTGTGTTTTCTTCTTGCAACAAATACACAAGTACATGTTCCCCAGTCAGCACGGACTGTCCAACTGACTTTAGCCATCTCTAAAGTTTTTGATAGCAAATGGTCCTTCTTAGGTATCCAAACCTGACAGCCTTATTCAAGCCAGCAGATTGTTCTACCAGCCAGCATCCCGAACAATTGTCCTCTCTTGGGTGGCAACCCAAACTCTTACCCAGATAATGTCTTCTTTTTGGTTATCCTTTTCACTAAGTTGGGTTTTGTTTTGGTGTCTATTATGGTCCAGATGGTGAGAGATGGATGAGAAAAGGGGCGGGAAAAGAGAGGAGAAAAGCAGGTAAGGGAGACAAACCGGTCTAGATTTCTAGAAGATTATATGGAGGAGGGAATGGGTGTGGAGGTCCCCGGGTGGGGGTGGGAATGGGGATGCGGGCTCTGAGTTTGTGCTTTCCCTGGCGGGCCGGCAGAGACCGAGTTGGAGGATCTCATCTTGGTGTTGGGCAGTTTGTGATCTTTCTTCCACTTCATCCTCCGGTTCTGAAACCAGATCTTGACCTGGCGCTCGGACAAGCAGAGCGTGTGGGCGATCTCGATGCGGCGCCGCCGGGTCAGGTAGCGGTTAAAGTGGAACTCCTTCTCCAGCTCCAAGACCTGCTGCCGGGTGTAGGCGGTTCGAGAACGCTTAGGCTCCCCTCCGTTATAACTGGGGTTGACTGAATGCCCAGAACCCCGAAGGAGAAGGCCAAGGAGGAGGGAGTGGAAGAGAGGGAAAGGAGGAGGAGAGAGAAGGTGGGGTGGGGAAGAGCAATTGGACATAATCATTATATAATAACCTGACACCAAGTTCACGCAAGATACATAAAACAGCAAAGAAAATGTTTCACAGGCTATTGACAACGGGAAACACCCGAGAGCCATAAAGAATGGTGCTGGGCATTGGGGCTGAAGAAAAGCTTCAAAGACACATGGCCTGAAGCCTCTGCCAGGGCAATTAAATTTATGGGGGCTATAATTACTGCCCTAACAGTTTGGCGTCTCGTAAATCTCCCGATAAAGGGACCCTGGGTACAAAAGGGTTCTCACGTTGGGATCAGGCGGCTGGCTGGCGCGCACATACCCACATCCTACTGCCGCCCAGGCCAGATGGGGGCTCCCCTCCCGAAGCCCCCTTCCCCTGACCCCCGCCCCGACCCTGGAACCCAGGCCTGGCCCCAGCCCGCCCTCCCGCGCCTCCCCAGCGGCGCCACGTACCGGCGCTGACATGGATCTTCTTCATCCAGGGGTACACCACAGGCTCCTTGCCCTTCAGGCCTGGCGGGCTCTTGTCGGCCAAGAGCAGAGGGCACGCGGGGGCGCTGCCCCCTGCCGGGACGCCTGGGGTGGCGGGGGCGGCCTCGCAGCGCCGCGGGGGAGCGGGGGCCGCCGCGGGGTGCGGCGGGGGAGGCGGCGGCCGGGGCTGCCGGCCGGGCGGTGGGGCATGATTCGCGTGCAGGCCGTGCGCAGGGCCCTGGGCGCGCGCTGGGGGCTGCTCGGGCTGCGGCGGCCGCCCGGGGCTGGCGCCGCCACGGTAGCCATAGGGGTAGGCGGTGTCCGCAGCCCCGTGCGCGGGGTAGAGCGCGGCTGCGGGGTAGGCGGGCTCGCGGGCGGCCCGCGGCGCGTAGTAGGAGGCGGGGGGCTCGCGGCTGCCGCCCGCGAGAGGGAGCTGGGGCTGCTGCGGCGGCAGGTGCTGGGTCGCCGGCGCCGGGGGCTGCTGGTAGCCGGGGCCCCCGCCCGGGCCACCGTCTCCGCCGCCCGGGCCGCTGTGCTGCGCGTACTCCTCGAAGGGAGGGAACTTGGGCTCGATGTAGTTGGAGTTTATCAAAAACGAGCTCATGGTCATTAATTTGTGAAGTGCAAAAATACTAATTTTTCTCGCGTTGTCGTTTTTTCTGGGCTCGCTGAGGCCCCTCCCCCTCTCGCCTCGCTTCCCATCCCCCTTTCCTCTGCGCCCTGCCCTTCCCCCCGCTGTCAAGTGCCCACCCCTCCCCCTCCCGCCGACGCCACCACCAAAGTTCGCGCCGCTCCTCCCCCGCCCATGCGCGCGCGCGTTCCGCCTCAGCCCCGCGCGCGCCCCGCCCCGTGCCCCACGTGCAACGCCCCCACCAATGGGCGCACCGCGCGCGCGGACCCGGATCAGGAAACGCGCGGGTGCGTGATGGATGCCGCTGTCCGGCCCCGGGGCTGGGGGAGGGAGCGGGCGCTTCGGGCCCTAGCCCCCCCAACTTTGGTTCCCGTTGGAAATTCCGGCCCTGCCAAGCTGTGGGTCCACTCGGGCCCTATGCGTGCCCTGCTCCTGGCCTACTCCTCGGGGTAGCCAGGCGACCGCGACTCGGTTGACTTAGGGCCCTGCCCAGCCAGGCTTCGCGTTTTCCCCGGGTTCGAGGCTGGCTGGGGTGTGGGGGGGGGAAGGGCGTTGGGGCGAAGGGGCATCCTGGTTTTTATCCAGGCCCTGGAATGGGCAAGTAGACCCTTTTCTTGGCTGAATCCCTTCCCCGCACCCTGCTGCTGCTGCATCTGCTGGAGAGCCAGTGCTTTGAGCCAGTGCTTGGCGGGAGCCGCGAAGGATGGGTGGGTGCGAAGCCGAGAGAAATCCACCCAAGGATGTAAAGCGAGGCCCTTCTAATATAACCGTATGGACCCTTCCCCCTCCCTTCTTTTTAACCTTTATCTTTTGGGGGTTTTCCCCTAAGAAAATTTGGACCCTTCCTAATAGCATCTACTTCGATGGAGGTGGCGATGTGAGAGCTAAGGATGCCCGCGCTTACTGGGTGCGACTGTGGGAGAGAAGGTGCCTTGACGACAGGAATGTACAGAAGCGACGCCTCCACAAATCCGAGCTTCGAAACCAATAACTTCCTATTTCAGAACAATCCCCAAACACAAACAAGCTAGGGATAGAATAAACACCTTGCCTGCCGGGGTCTGATCACCGAAGGGGTTTTCCAGCTAAGAATTTTATGTTTCCTCTTTTGGATGCTGCTTTCTCAGGCTGTATGAGGCTAGAGTTACATTTACAGGGCAGTCTATAATTTCTGAATTGCTGAAAATTAGCATATTAACGATATCAGTAGCTCCGGAAAGGAGGGAGAGGGGACTGTTGCCTGCCATTTGGTAATTGAAATTTGATGGGTAAGCTAATTATGCCATTATTAACAAATAAATTACTTATCAATTCTACCTAATGTTGATCTTTGTGGTAAATACTGATGCCTTATTTGTACTGTGTACTTTCTGAGTAACAGACACACCTAGATTCTCTACTCTGCAGCCTAGATTAAGACAGTGCAAACTAGCATAGTCACCATTCTAAAAATACTTTCATATTGGCATGCAAAGCAAGGATTTTTCAGCTGGTGCACCTTAGTTGATTTTTCAAACAGCAGTATAAACGGCCTTCTCACAACTGAATCTGGAACTCAGACAAGAAAAGTTATAGCCTAAGCCTGGAGACACTTCAAAAGGAATGTCAATTCTATCTTCATTTATATTGGTTACTCATATGAGTTACTAAATGCTGGAATATATCCATTTGATGGATAGTCATTTAATGCTTAGCCACATAAAGCCTATTATATGGGACTAATCTTTAAACTAATTTAGGAAAAGAGGTTTAAAAAGGGATCATATTAGCCTTCTAACTGGAATCACCCTGAAGTGGTACAAAGAGATTTTCCACATTGGGTGTATGTGTGTGTGAAGAGTGCTGTCCTTTGATATACGGCACCCTGAAAAATTTTTGTTTTTAATGAAATCTGAGCCACAGACAGATATGAATGCTGAGTGTAATCTTTAGATATCCTCTCTCTAGACTCGGGGGAAAATCTAGTTTGTGATATAGCTGCCTAAATCAATATGTCTTCCTAACAAAAAAAATACACAATATAATAAAAATTACATATATACACACATATATAATATATATTACAAATCTGGGCTCTTTAAACTTCAGGGGAAGAAAAAGCATGACAAGGAAATCTTGCCCTCTTCCTCGTGTCATCAGCCTTGAATAGTAGGGTCTTAACCATGTCTGTTTAATATTATTTCTAGACACTAAAACACAAAATTCATGTTGTTTAGCCTCAGAACCTTCTACTGAGTTTCTATTTTTAAGTGTTAACGAGACAGGCACTGTTTTGTATATGGTTAACCTAAACGAGTTAACTGTGCCTGTGTTTCGTGTGGTTCTATTACTACTAGGAAGATGGGCTTACACAGAATCCCCCAAGGCCTGTAACTTGTCTTTGCGGTTCGTATCATAAACACAAACGGAGCCAGGACCACCAAGTGTTATCTCACACATGGACATTTTGACATTTTACTGCAAGATTTATGGCTGTAATAAACAATCTCAGTACCTTTTCTGAACCTGCCACAATCTCTCTTTGCAAACCATACTATCATTCCATTGCATCAAATACTCTTTTGAAAAACACTTTTTAAAAAACACCATTGTCTTTACATAAGATCCAAGACATCAAAATAAAGCCAGGAAGGAACTCAATTAATAAACAAACTGGAGTTTACCAGCAGCATCTCACCGAGAAAAGATGGGACACCCTGAAATCGAGCAGAGAGGGAACATGCTAATCTTCGCACACCAACTGGCTCCAGTCCCAAGCAGGGTGAAAGCGTTATCCTTTCCTTGGAAACTGGTAAGCACATTTGCTTGTTTCCACGTGCAGGGATAACATATATTCCCAACAAAAGCTTTCTTAAAATCCCATTAAGTGGAATAACTTTTCATCATGTCCTCGAATTCCAGATGGAGAAGGAGAGTGAAGGGAGTCCGAGGCATAGGGAGGGCAAGAGGGAGGCAGTGTTTGCAGCTTGGTTTGAATCTGATTTGAATCATTTTGAATATATTTGTAACAGCCTTCCCTCTTGAATGCAACCCTGTCCCAAGTTTCAAAGTGACCGAACAGTGACACCGTGTGCATTTTGTTTCTTATTAATCTTACACATTGACAGTCTTTGTTAAATCACAAGGCGCGCCCTTCACCAGCCGACATTTTCATATTTGTTAGACGCGCTGACCTGAAGTTCACCTCGGCCTTGGACTTTGCGCTTCTAAAAGGTCTATACAGTGTCTTTTAGAGAGCAGGGTGCTTTGCCCAGGTCACTCGTTCTTGGGAAAAACCAAAGGGAAAAGGCAAAGGAAATGTAAACGTTATGGAATGTATTGACTGTATTTGTCCTTTGTTCTTTAGAGCGAGAGTCCCCCAGACTGTTCTCTATCTGATGCGTGTCCCTGGAGCCAAACAGGGGAATGGCAGAATTTCAAAATGCCTGATGCTGGCTGGCATTTGAGGGCTTCTCCTTACCTACACTAAGCACATGATTTTAGAGAAACAACACTTCACCAGCCATTTGACTAATTAATTGTTTTGGGGGTAATTTCCTTGTAGTAGTTTAAAATAATGAATACAACCCAGGCATAAAAAGACTGAAATTCTTATTGGGATTATACATGAATTTTTATTGGGATTGTCTGAGAGGCCTAAACATCGAAATCCTTTGAATAAAGAAGTAAGCACTCTAAAAACAATAACTTAGGCACATACTTTTCTTTTGCTTTAAAGACTAGCTAAGTGGTGTCTATGATTATTGAAGCTGACATATTTCTAAGGTGTGGCGTATGTTTTTAACCAAAAAAAAATACAATAAAAATTTTTTTCCCAAAGAGACACAATTGTCTTGGTGAGTAATAGAGGAGGTTTCAGTTTTCTTCATGTCACTAGCCCAGATGTGGTGAAGTGTTCACTGCTGTAACAGCAATCACCACAGTTGTTTCCTTTCTTCTATTTCATCTGGCAAACCCCCATTTGGCTCCAAGCTCTTGGCCAGAGTGAAAACCTTACACAGTGCACAGTAGAAGCACCCTGATTACTTCCATGAAGGCAGTGTTTGGAAAATATTTACTTTACCACTGAACATACCTAGCATCCTTAAATCCAATCAACCAGAATATATTGGGATGATCTTAAACATTCCTGCAAGAATGTACATTCTGAGTAGTTGAATTATCTCTGAAGTTAAAAGGAAAAACCTAGGGAAAATATTTTATCTTTCTCTTTTCTGTTTCCTTACAGTGATCACTCAAAGGTCAATACATAGAGAAGGAAAAATATGTCCCCAGGAAAATAGATTCTATTGAAACTAATCTAGATGCATTAAAAATAAAATATTATTTAGCTCTTCAGTTGCAACTCACATAGGAGGCATGGTTCCAGTCTGCTTCCTTAACACACTATTCCCTTTCTTTTCTACTCTCTCACCCTTCCTCCTTCACTTGCCTTCCCCTCTCCTTAGCTCTTTTTTCTTTTTCATTCCACATGTATTTTTAAAAAGCATTTTCTGGAGAACAGAAGTCTGCCATGGTGGTCTTACAAAGTGGCTTTGCATTTGTGAGTTCCACCTTTCTGCACTCTCTATAGGTTAGTTATTCTCCTATAGATTATAGCATTTCTCTTACATTCAGTTATGGTTTAATAGTAAACAGAACAGAAATTTTCAAACAGGAATATTTTCATGGCACCAATAAGCATTTTATCACTGGTGGTGGTGGTAGTGTGTGTGTGGGGAATACTGTCCCTTAGAAGGGTTTCCACTTCCTTCCTTCCTTCCCCTTCCCAGCTCTGAGAACCCTTTGCATCCAGCGAGTTGCAATTTCAGAAAAAGCATTTTCTATGTTTGAAAATTGCAAAGATTACATTTTGTAAACTGTGCCTGTTTTTGCTCCTGTTCTTACACACTTTAAGTGTCATTATACGTACTAAAAATATAAGAAAAAAAAACCCTGGCCAATCAAAATCTCCTTTTTCAAATAAAGAAGGTTTCTTGCACCATTTTCTTGTCTTTGAAGATAGCATAGAACATTGAAAACTTGCTACATTATTTCCTAAAGGTCCACTGATGAATTCTGAGCGTTTTCATTTTGTGACAAACCAACAGACTGACTCTTGGTTCTCCAACATCTAAGGTGTTGGTGTTTCAGTAATCTATGCCTATTTACCTGCTGCTATTCCCTCAGAATGGGAGCGATAATTCAAGATGAAATACAGCATGTATTACTCTTGAAAAGAGGAATTTTCTATCCTTTCCTTCGTAATTGAGGTCATTCAACCACTAGGGTTCACCTGGAGTCCATACTGTGATACACGCGTCACTCCGAGCCATTTTATCTTTTGTGCTGATAGTCAAGATCGCAGCTCTAACATTGACATCAAACTCTGTCTGGACAGATGACTAAGAGTGCTGCACAATGTAAACTTTTGACCCTCAACTTTTTGACCTGCAGTTGTAACGCACTAACCTCAAAGATATACAAAGCTGAGCCTCTTCTTTCAGGGAGAAGGGGCCCTCTAGGACCTCAGGACACCCTGCTTCTACCAGTGCCATTTGGAATTAGAGGGCAAACTGGATATTTTTGTATTTGTGACTGCATTTCCTGTCAAATCAGCCTCCTATCTCCTTTTGTTAGCACTTAGATAGGAAGATTAACTTGAAATCACTCATGATTCCATTTTACAAGGAAATTTTGGAGTAGAACAGGAGAACCTTGCAAAAAGAGATAGAAAAGAGAAGATGGGGGAAAGCAGGCAATGGGAGGTGGAGACACTTTTTCCCTTTATTTAAAAATAAAGACGCAGCCCTAATTGTTGGAAGAGCTGGCCCAGGCGGGTGAGTTGACTGTGAACTTGTACTAAAGCGTGCTCTGCTGGCGATTCCTAGGGTGTGCAGATTTATCTTCTCTGCATTTACTTAACCCGGCAGTGAACTGCGCGGGCGTCATTTGTTAGGCGATGACAGACTTCACCTCCAGCAAGGGCTGCTTCACAAAATCACAATAATTACCTAATAACCTTCCTAACAAATATTATTATTGAAAAGACTTTTTGTGGGGAGGGGACCTGATGGGAGAAGAACACATTTCTTTATGAAAAACACCAAACAAAACAAACCTGGGCAGACCTTCCATTTGTGGGGCTTAGAATGGCTAGGACTGTGGTTCCCCCTCCCCTATGTGGGTGGGAGCTAGGTTGACCCCCTCAGCCCTGCCTAGGAGCCCAGTTTATAGTTTTTGTCTTTGCCTGGAAGGAAATTTCTGCTTAGAAGCCAAAGGGATAGAGCCCACAATGCTCTGCACTCTCCAGAGTAGGGAAGCCATGGTCAGACCCCCAGCCAAGGCAGGGGAGAGGCTGAGAAGGGCATCTTTTAAGCTAAAAGTGTTGGTTGCCTCTTTAATAGCACATCTTTTAAGATGTGATTTGCTTTTCCTTTACTAATTATTTGGATATAATATTCTCAGAATCTCAACAAATGAACAGGACTCTGGTTTTGGTAGGAAATTGTCTTGTTCTCCCAGAGGCACCAACAGTGAAGCAGGGGAAAGAGCAGGAGAAAAGGAATCTTAGCATACTGTTGTGAAATTAGACCATGGAAACCCTAACAAACCCCTAAGTAAGTGTGACCAGAAGCTTCCTATTATATTTATAGTTCAGGAAATATTGTCTCTTCAGCTTGTGGAAACAAACAAGCCCCATACACATTTCCGCTGCCTTCTCCTTTTACAAGATGAGGAGAAGCACAGATACACTTCTGCCACCGGCCAAGGCTGGATGTCTTCATAAAGCCCTCAGTGACAGAGATCTTTTTCCTAAATAAGCTCGTCTGCAAGAATAACCCAAAAGAATGCATGAAAAGAAATAACTTATCTACAAAATGAGCAGATAACCAACCATCCTCTTTATTACACTTCCTGTGAAAATAGGAAGAAGGAAAAAATTCCTCCAATAACACTCATAGGTCTGACTGGATGATGTATCTTTAAAAATTCATCTAACTCCATGTAGGTTGGCCTGCTCTCTTAAATTCTACTTAAGTTTTGTGAAAACTAAAACAAAAATAAGTAAGCTGATAATATGTACAGCCTGTAATTTTGTTTTCATTTCTTGGAAAGATTCTCAATGTTGTGTAGTGTTGTGTATAACTACAGCAGCCTTCCTACCCATCCCAACATCCCTGGGTGGGATGTGGCCATGGAAGTGGGGTGGATGCTTTCTCTATGCAAGTTGCTCAAATGAACCCACCAGCATCCATATCACTCTTCTTTTCCTGCTTCTAATTTCAGTCACCAAGAAACCACTCAAGCAAGATCACCAAATGTGTAACTAAAATGGGACTATAACCCAATATTTTCCAATAAAGAACCCAAAACTCAGAGCAGCAAAACAAAGACTCCAGAATTTTCACAGTAACATGAAATTATAAAAGTGAACCCACACTTCATCTAGGGTTTGTATCTGGTTCCCACTAACATGTGGACACATCTTCCTAAATGCTAAAATACCAATGTTCATTTTAATAGGTTACAAAAAAACGACTTCAGGAATTCTTCACCTTGCCACTATTCATGAAAAGTAGGACTTGTGGGAGGATTTTGATTTTTCAAAAAAACTTTCCAGCTTTTGCTTTTTGGACCTTTGACTTTGGGGACATGTGTTGGACTTATGTTGAGTGTAGGTGGTCTCTGCACAATAAAGTTTACTGAAATTTCAAATCCATACTTCAAAATTATTCACTTTAAGCACTTAGTAAATATCTTTACTAATTAGCACTTGCAGAAAACTGCCCAGCTCCAAAGGAGAAAAGTAGATCCCGCTTGCTTTTTTGTTTCATTTCTGAACGCAATTGGAGAATTTGGCTTAATTCCTAAAATGGGAGTGGGTAAATCTACTAGGTCCCTAATGGGTGAATACCCACCCAGAAAAAGACCCCAGGACAAGCCAGAGTCCCCAGTCACCCCGCTTGGTTTTGCCACTGAAGAATGTATGGGGTTGGGGCCAGAAAGGGTGGCTAGACTCAATATGGAATTGTACCCAGGAAAAATTTACTTCACCTTACTTCACCCATTGGTGCAATTTTGGGGACTGTTTTGGAAATCATAGATTATGTAAATTTCCTGGGATCAAACAGAAAGTGCAGCTAACAAAAGAAAGGCGGAAATATCCTACTGACAAACGACCGATTTCTTCCCTAAATTACCCTTTATGATGTGTCAGGAAAAACAGCCTAATGGCTCTGGGGACTTTTAAGTTGGGCATTGAAGACACCTCAATTTCCCCCCAAACTTTAGAGCACAGTGTGGAAGAGAAAATTCGTCTGTAGGTTGAGGAGAGTAAATTTCTCCAATCTTTAGTGTTATCTAGGGGGACGCCTAAGTTGCCTTTTGAGGGTCCTGTGCATAGATGTATTAATTCTATAAAAAAGGAGAGGAAAAGGTAAGAAGAGAGGGAGAAGAAAGGCAAGGCGGAAGAAAAGAAGGCGCTTTAATCCCTTTCAATTAGCCTGGGGATTCAAAGACTAAAGTTAAATCCGGCCATAAAGTTTATTGCTTCAGACTCACAGGCGGGTGAGAACAGTTCCACCGAAATAAAAACAACGTGCAGGCAAACAAGGTTCAGGGCCTGGTCCCGGGTGCGAGGGAGGGGATGCTGAGCGCCCCCGGAGGTGGGGACCCATGGTCGCCAGAGTCCAGTAGGCTCTAGCCGCCTGGGCTCGACCTCGCAACCCAGGCACCCAGCCTGGAGGTGCAGCCCGCGCCTCGCCGGCCTCTGCCACCCTCCTGCTCTCCCGAGCCAGCCTGAAACTCGGGCCTGAAGGCCGCCGCCTCAATTCAGTCCTGCCAAATGACCCCGGCCCGCGAAGACATATTGCCACAGCCCCGTAAGGAATCCCGCCAGAGTCCGCCTGGGCCCTGCACGGGCCTTTCTTTCAAACTCCCCAGCGCAGCGTTGCCCTCCGCGCCCGCGGCCGGCGCCCCACTGTCTCCCAGCCCCCACCCCAGGGCTCCGCGACCCCCGAAGAGCAGGCCCCTGAATTGTGCGGGGGAGGGGGTCGGCCCTACCAAGTCTCCACACACAGGCCCATTCGCACACAAAAATCATCTTTTTTGCACGCCGGCGGGAGCAGCGGAAGTCATTAACATCCGCGGTTGTGCAGCAATTAAAGTTAGGCCTGGGTAGGCGGCGCGCGGCCACAGGCGCTGTTCACTCTGCGGCCTCCGCGGAGCTGGCTCCTGGCGCTGCTAATTTGGGCAGAGGAAAAGTTTGCTCTCCCTTTTTGCATTCAGAGGCAGCCTCAGAGTTGAGAGAGAGACAGAGAGACACAGAGAGAAAGTTTTTGGAGCACAAATAAACTTGAAAGCGCTCAGGAGGCAAGCTTACCTTAACTCGGAGGGAGCCATTTCTCAGGGAGTTTTGAGAACTTGTGGTTTGGACACTTCTGGACCTAAAATTGACAGTTTGAATGACCGGGCGGCACACGTAGCCTGCAAAAGAGTCAAATGGAGTCCAGCGTCAGTGAGATTATATGTTATGTGGTATATAATGTTGGATGTCAACTCCCCAAAACCATAAAACTTACTTTAATGGCCCCACGTGACGTTTTATAGCCAGTGAGCCGATCTGTCTGTGCTATGGATGATTTTACGATCTAATTCATAGACAAAACCCTATTCATTTGGCACCCAAATGTCATATAGCCGGAACTGGGGCTTATAAAGTTTACTGTTTTATAACTTTTAAAAGGAAAGACGGCATCAGTGTAAGCAGTCGGTAAATGTGCAAATCTCTAGTTGCGCTTTAGCTGCTCTGAGGAGTTTCCCAATCGAGCTAGGATGGGGTAAGTACCTTCCATTTGTAGCAAATGAATTGTAGCAAAAGAAGCCAACTGGGTTCAGGGTGAGGAATGGGGAAGGGGTGCTGGGGTGGGTTAGGGGCAGGCGGTTTGGGGTCCACAACTCTGCATAACAACCTCTTCAGCAAGTGGAGGCCTAGGGCAGCCTCAGGAAAGAGGCAGGATCCGTGTGGCCCCAAGGGCGCTCACAAAGCCCTGGGCTTTTTCTCCTTCTTTCTCTCTCTTCCTTACTTTTTTGTGCCCAGAGAATTAACTTGGTTTCCTCAGAGATGGGCAGAGTGGACTCAGGCATTGGAACCGCCTATAGCTTTTTCCACCTTCTGCCCTGAACTTTGTGATGGGTCACAGTTAGGGAGGCGATGGGCCAGGGTGTTGGTCTGAGGTCTCCATGCACAGGCCTTCTGCTCAGGTAGCCTCAGACTCACTGGCTTCCAGGACTGGACAGACAGACGGAAAAGCAGGCAGAGCCGCTCGCTATTTGGCACAAACCAGACCAAGAGAACTTACAATAGAAAGTTTATTTTTTGTTTCCAGTCAGTATTTTTTCCTTAAAAACAAATACCAAAAAAGAAAAAAAAAAAAGCTGATCACAGTTTGCTTAAACAGCCAGACTTGGACAATATTTGTAACTTTGTTCACAAAAACATACATCACTGAAGCTGAGCTTATAAGAGCCACTTCCAGAGTTCGTGCAAAGGGTCCTACAAAGGCACGCAGGGACACACCGCTTGGAGTCACAGTTTTTGTCACAGAGTCACTAGTCACTACACGTCGAACAAGTTAAGTTGCGTCTCATCAAGTCACCTCTACAACAGCATTAATTACACAAGGAATATAGGTAGTTTGAATAAAAATATTTTTAACAGCTTGGAGCTATTGAGACAGGAACACTTCCACGCACATGCACAGTTAAACAACTCGAGTGCAACACACAACATTGGCACTAAACGAGATTGAAGGGGTACTTTTTGTGTGTTTTTTTTCTCTTTTTTGTTATAGTTACTTCAAGTAACACAGCTTGCTTCATATAAATAAGTTAAAACATCTATTTTTTTTTTCAAGACAAAGCCATTCAGGACAAAGAGATGAACAGAAAGCAGATCTACTTATACAGACGCTATAATGGCAATAAACAGGCTCATGATTAAAAGATGAATTAGGGCAACGAGAACAGGGCTTCTTCACAGAAGGAACACAAGGGAGTTTCAGAAAGTCACCTTAGTACTGACACTACGCGGGATCCGCTAATACTGCTCAGTACTTTATACGCTCAAATACTCAGGGGCGGAAGGCCCCTCCCGCCGCCGCCATGCTCATGCTTTTCAGCTTATTATCTTTTTTCCACTTCATTCTCCGGTTTTGGAACCAGATTTTAATTTGTCTCTCGGACAGGCAAAGAGCATGGGCTATTTCAATTCTTCTTCGGCGGGTCAGGTAGCGGTTGAAGTGGAACTCTTTCTCCAGCTCCAGGGTCTGGTAGCGGGTGTAGGCCGTCCGGGCCCTTTTGCCTTCTGGGCCGCCTATGTTGTCTGCAACAGAAAAGTCAGCCGTTTAGCCACCAACTCCTCAGCCCCTGGCTTCCAAAGTCCACCAGCTGGACAAGCCAGGGTCCTGAGCAGGGAACGGGGCGAAAGGCTCAACAAGTCCTCCTTCCTTGCCTGCCCACCCCTCCCGAATTTCCTTCCCTCTTCCTTTCTAGAGAGAAAACAATACGACTTGGACTCTGGGAACAATCCGCCCATCTGAGGCTGGAGCTACGTCCCGGAGGACCGCCCGGCTTTCCTTGGCCCCTCTCCCGCCCTATGGCCCTGCTCTGGGCATCCCTAGCCCGGGACACAGCCCTCCCAGGCTGCCCACAGCTCAGAAGCCCACTGAAGCACGGCCCTTTTTTGAGTGCCCAAGTGGCCTCCAGGTCACCCTCCCTTAAAGTTCCAGCCCCGCAGGCCGCCTCCTGTTCAAGTCTGCACGCCTGGGACGCCTGCTTTCTTTTTCTTCCCTTTCCTTCTCGCTCCCTCCTGCCCCCAAACTTCAGAATCCCGCCGGCTCTCGCCTCGATTATTCCCCCCAAGCCTCTTTTCGGGGGCTCTAATTAGTAACGCTGTTTCCCCAGCGTAACCCTCCTCATAAATTATCTGCCCTGACAAGCCCGATTCACGGCTCCTACTGCCATCCTCTACCTCTCTGCGCCCTGCTCGGCTGGCCTGACCCCGGAGCGCGTTTCAAGGCGCTGGGGTTCCAGATGGGTTTTTTCCTTCCTCCCTCTTTCTACGTCTAAACTTGCCCAGCCAGGGACCATTTCTCCCACTATTTGTGGGTGCACGGTGCTGCAAAGAAGGGAAGGAGGAAGGCAGGGGAAGAACCGCAGGGAGAGGCTCCGTAGGGCTAAGAGAAGCGAGACCAGGAGAAAGACAGGGAGAGAGGGCGGCGAGGGAGAGAGAGGGGACCGAGAGCCGCGTTTCCGCGGCCGCGTGGATTTAGAAAAAGGCTGGCTTTACCATGACTTATGTGCAGCTTGCGCATCCAGGGGTAGATCTGGGGTTGGGCGGGCGGCGCCGGGCTCGGCTCGCTCTGCGCACTCGCCTGCTCGCTGCTGGCAGGGGCGTCCTCCTCGGCTCCGGACGCCGTGCCAACCCCCTCTCTGCTGCTGATGTGGGTGCTGCCGGCGTTGGCCGAGGCGCCGCTGGAGTTGCCCAGGGAGTTTTTCCCGCCGTGGTGGCTGTCGCTGCCGGGCGAGGGGGCCACGGCGGAGCAGGGCAGCGGGTCGGGCGGAGGCGAGTGCGTGGACGTGGCCGGCTGGCTGTACCTGGGCTCGGCGGGCGCCGTGGTGGCGCCGGCCGCGTAGCTGCGGGAGCGCTCTCCGGAGCCAAAGTGGCCGGAGCCCGAGCGGCCGACGCTGAGATCCATGCCATTGTAGCCGTAGCCGTACCTGCCGGAGTGCATGCTCGCCGAGTCCCTGAATTGCTCGCTCACGGAACTATGATCTCCATAATTATGCAACTGGTAGTCCGGGCCATTTGGATAGCGACCGCAAAATGAGTTTACAAAATAAGAGCTCATTTGTTTTTTGATATGTGTGCTTGATTTGTGGCTCGCGGTCGTTTGTGCGTCTATAGCACCCTTGCACAATTTATGATGAATTATGGAAATGACTGGGACATGTACTTGGTTCCCTCCTACGTAGGCACCCAAATATGGGGTACGACTTCGAATCACGTGCTTTTGTTGTCCAGTCGTAAATCCTGCCTGATGACCTCTAGAGGTAAACTCGTGCACTAATGGGGGAGTTGGGTGGAGGCGAGAAGGGTGGCGCGCGCGCCCCGGGCGCGTGCCCGCCCCTCGCCGCCGCTGTTCAGTCGGACTCGAGCGCCACCCGCTGGAGGCATGGCTCATCGCCCCGCTTCCGACCCAGGGCTGCAAGGGCCGGGGTCGAATTGAGGTTACAGCCCATTATGGCAAAATTATTGCATTTCCCTCGCAGTTCCATTAGGATGTACCAATTGTTAGGCCGTCAGCTGCCGATCGCGCGCCGGGCGAGGATGCAGAGGATGGGGGGGGAGGTGGTGACTTGCATTTTATTTACAACAACTTTATTCCCCCCTCTCCCCTCTGCTTTGCAGCCCATCTTATTTTTGTGTCGAGGCTGGGGTCGGTTCTGCTCGTCCTGCTGGCAGCTCTGAATTTTGAAAATACAGATCTCACCTTCGGGAAAGAGGGGGGGAAGCCATTTAGCCAATTGGAGAAATAAATCCTGCCCGCAGCAGCAGCTACAATTACAGCTCTGTTTTTGCGAGCGCGCATGAGGGACAGTGTCCCTGCCGCTCTTAAATGACAGGCGTCTATTAAAGATAGCTTTTGTGTAGTGTTTCTCCGAGGCGAGGTCAAATTCCATACACTTTTATAACCGTAGTCGATTTTTCTTTCATGTAAATATGGTTTTCGTGTCATTAGTTTGCTATTTGATTTGCTTACGTATCCAGCCTGGAGAATCTTCACCACAGGGTCCCGTTCCTCGAGCCAACCAGGCCCCAAGTCGGAGGGTTCTCCTTGAACCCAGGGAGTGGGCCCAGACTCCCCGCGGCCACAGAGGCTGCTTGGGGTCTGGGGGTCCGTGGGCCAAGTTATTGGGGGCTTGCTTAGACCTCCAAAAGTAAAATGAGGGCGCTAATGGAAGCATTTCGTGGCCGTGCGTGGCATCTCTGTAGTTATTTTCCTGGGCTTTGAAAGACGAAAGTAAACCACAAATGTATCCGAGAGGCAAGGAGAGTCTCCCCGCTGGAGGCCCAGCGTCGCAGGCGCTCCTGGCACATTTGGAAGCCGGGATTCTGGCCGCTCCCATGGCCCTGGGCCCCCTTGTTGGGTCCTGAAAGCTGCTGTGGTGGTGACGCGGGCGCAGTCGGAGGCAGGGAACTGGAATCGGGAGCCCGGAGCCTGAGGGAGCCCAGTCGCTCCCGCTAGCTGTAATGTTCCACCCGCGCCCAGGTTAGCTCCACTCGGCTGAGGCTGCTTCTCTTCCACTGACTGTTGCGCGCCTGGCGAGAGACTTGGCTCTGTCAGGGGGGCCCCCTTTGTTCCATGACCTTTTTCGTGTTTAGGGGGCATCCTGGAGGCCGCGACAAGGCTGGAGCCTCAGCCCTTAGACTCCCTCTTTCCAGTGGCCAGAGAGGATTTGGTGATGCCCTTCGGGACTTACTGGCGAGGGAGTGAGGCGGAGACGCCCAGACAGGAAACGGGGCTCTGCCCAGCAATCCCGCGTCCCCAGCTACCCCGCGTCCCAAGCTCGGGGAGCGCTGAAGCGCTAACACAGGAGCCCAGGGCGAATTTGGGGCGCGTTCCGGAACCCCGGGCCGGTTTGGGCAGCCTGTGCAGCGGGACTGTGCGTGTACAGTGCGCCCTGCTCCACTACTGGTATTGGCTGTGTGTGTGGTTTTTGTTTTGTTTTTTGTTTGTAAGAAATAAATGCTCAGGCGCGCCGGGCTCTTCTGAAGCTGCGGACGCCTCTGATGGGAGCAGGCGGGGAGAAAAGTTGGGGAGCAGGCGAGCGCGAGAGGCAAAGCCGAAGAAGGTTGCTGCGCTGGCCTGGTCCCTGCCCAGGAGTCTACTCGCCCGCCTTTGCCTCAGAGTCCTCCCCGCTGGGCTGCGTGGAGTTGATGAGCTTATTTTCCTTTTTCCACTTCATGCGGCGGTTCTGGAACCAGATCTTGATCTGGCGCTCGGTGAGGCAGAGCGCATTGGCGATCTCGATGCGGCGGCGCCGCGTCAGGTAGCGGTTGAAGTGGAACTCCTTCTCCAGCTCCAGCGTCTGGTAGCGCGTGTAGGTCTGGCGGCCTCGGCGCCCATGGCTCCCGTACACAGCACCTGCAGGCAGAAGTGGCCGGGCGCCGGTAAGCCAGCATGTGGACCTCCGACCCAGTCAGCCCCGTGCCTCCCGCCAGGGGCCTGCACTCCAGCCTCTCACGCTACCTATGTCTGGGGCCGAAAGCGGGCTGGATGGGAGAAGATTATTTCATACCAAGAGATGTTTTCCACCTAAAACGACTTGGGCTGGGAAGTTACTGTTTTTGAAAAATCTGCCTCACAAGAAAACTATTGCAGGGGAAATAATAGAAAGGGCATTCTTAATTTGGGACAGCACAGTCCTCCTTTTATGGGGGTTTAGGATATGAGTGTCTGGGGGTGGGTGGTGTGGAATCCTATGAGTCGTGTAGACACTGAATTCACACACTGATCTCTAAGAGGATGCTACTATGGCGAGCCATGTCAGAACTCAAGGCATTTTTTTTTTGGAAAGTTAAAAATGGTCAGCCCTCTCAAATCTTTACATATTCCCCCAAATTTTGTGACCCTTCTGATAAATGCAGCAAACCCCTCCACACACACACATGAAAAGTGGATTTAACTCAAAACACTATCAGTTTTAAGATACATATTAGGCTCTGTCCTGTTCCAAGGAAAAAGGGGGTTCTCTGTGGAGTCTTTGGAAACCTGGGGCAAAGAGATGGAGCTATGGGCAGCCTGGGGTTTCTGGCAATACAGGACTGTGTTGGGCTGTCCCATCTGGTGTCAAAGGGGCTCATGGGTGATGTCCCCCCACCACTCCCAGACAGGTGTGTGAGGCTCAGGCAGAGGGGCTCAGAAAAAGGCAGAAGTTGGCTAAGAATGAGCAATTGAGGGGAAGTGGGAGGAGGGGAAGGAGGAAAGAGAAAAAATACTGAGGCTGGGAATGTGGCCCTCTGAGGCTTTGGGGAGACACTGGAAGAGGCCAAATGGAGGATATCTTTCCGTATAGTTTTTGAAGGGCAGAAAGGAGAGGGGGCTGGGAGGTGAAGAGGAATTATCAATGAAGTGTGCAGAAGGCCCTCTGGCTTTGGAACCTGAGCAGGGTGTTACCAGGGTGCAGCATGGCAGGCTCTCCCTCCCAACCAGCCTCCCTCTCTCTTCAGGTTACCCCTGTTAGGGGTCTCACATTTCGTGGCAGTGATTCCCCCACGGTCCCTAAGGTGTGACTTTACATAGACATTCCCTGCCTTTCCTCTGGCATGGCCTGACTGCCCCATTGGGAATGGTTTTTTTCCTAAAAAAAAAAAATATTTTTTAAAAACCAAAGAAACTTTGCTCATTCTCTCCTCCTTTCTCTCTATTCCTCTTTCTACGTTCTCTTATTTCCTCTGTTTCCTCCTTCCTTCCTTCCTTTTCTCTCCCTCCACTGTCTTGGTGGGGGAGGAGTGCAGGGAAATGCCTTACCCGCGCAGGAGTTCATCCGCTGCATCCAAGGGTAAACGGGGCTTGTGTACTTCCGGTCGGCGCCTTCGTCATGGAGGGCTTTGCCCTGCACGCTGCTGCTGTCGGGTTTGTACTGCTGCTCGGGAGAAAAGTGCAGGTAGTCCCCAGGGCCCCTCTGCTTGCCAGTGCCCGAGGGCGAGGCGCCACTGAGGTCCTTATCAGAATAGAAACATGAGGCCCCGTACTCGTAGGACGCCCGGTTGCAGGCCAGGACCGAGTTGGACTGTTGGTAGAAACAAGGTGAGGTGTACGTCTTGTCCGGGAGGCTCGACGCCCCATACGAGGCCGGGAAGGGCCTTAGCGCGTCATAGCCGGCCTGGTAGAGGGGCAGCTGGCCCAAGAAGGAGTCCTGGCCGCTGGGCAGGCTCCCGGGGAAAGTGGGATTCACAAAATAGGAACTCATTTGCGCGCCCCTCTGCAGGACTGTGATTTGTTGTGTATTAGTACATCTGGCTATAACTATTAGTAGTCATCGAACTGGTTTGTTTCTGGATGGCCGAACGCCAAAAGCGACAGCAGCAAATCGCACCAGCTGACGCGGCGGCGGCCAATGGGAGCGAGCGCCGGAGCCCGCTCCCCGGGGACCGCGGCGACCGAGGCAGCAAAGTTACAAACAGCCCCCAGCCTGCCGCCCGCCGCCCGCCGCCCGCCCGGCAGATTAATGGGCGCTCACAGCCAGCCGGCCCCGCTCTCCTCCCGAACGCCAGCGGCGGGCACGGCCCGTGCAGGGGCGCACAGATCGAGCCGGGGTAGTGCCTGGGCCGCCACCTAGACCCCGCCAGGCCCGCTCTTTCCTCCTCCCCTTTTTGCCTTGTTGGATTTTGCTATTTTTTCCCTCCAAACAGGAAACCTGACAGTCCCGTGCCAGGAGGGGTAGTGACAAGGGTGGCTTTACTCCCTGCCGGCCTGCACTCCAGGCAGGGTCCTGAGTTACCTCTCCTGCACTCCCTTACTCCTGGGTGCGGGTTCCTGAGCTGGTGAAGGGGCTCCAAGAAACCAAGCCTTTACTCCTTGCCCTTCATCCTGTGCCTTAGGAATCAGTGAACCCCCTTATTCTCTCATTCCCCACTTTCACCAGCGGCTTGGGCCTTGCAGTCAAGAGCTGAAGCTCACCTCAAGCTCACCAGGACTAAGCCAAACATAACGCTCATCCCTCCAGTACCCTTCTCTCGCAACGTTTTGTCTGAGTCCCCATGGGCACTCCTGCAATGGCCTGTGCCTGCCCATCCTCAAAGCACCCTCTCCAGCTAGGCACCCCCATCCTGTCCTTGAACTCAGGGAATTGAGAGGCCAGAAACCACTAATTTCAAGGAGAAAGGACCGACAGGAGCAGCTGTGAGACTGGGCTCCGAAGCCAGCTTTGGGACCTGCTCCCCTTAAACAGCACCCCAGGGACTCGCCATCCTCTGTTCAAACCGCTCAGAGCTGATACAGTTAAAAATCCAGCTGTGGAATCTCTCTGCCCTCATTCCAGAGGTGCAGGAGAAGCAGGGCCCCTGGCTGAGCAGAGCACAGAGGGCAGCTTGCTGGGGCCCAAGGCCAGAGAGATAATTGATGGGCTTGGTTTCCGGGGGTGCCCGACAGCCAGTACTGTCCTGGGGCTCGGCCTCTTTCCTGCCCTTCCTGAGATTGCTCCGAGGGCTACCATCCGCAGTAGCTCCAGAACCGGGAATAGGGAATAGTTGTCTTACTGGCTCCAGAAATCCTGAATTGTTTTACCACTGTCCAGGCCTGGCCGTCCCCAGATAGGACATGAAAAGCCTGTCCTGGACTGCTCTCTCTTGCCTGAGAGGTGTGCCTTCCAGATAGCTGACTTTTACAACACACGGATCAATCTCGTTTTTGTAAAATGTGATATCGGCCCAATGGCATTTTTACGACTGTTTGTTGGGCTTGTAAAATCCCTTGAATTAGCTTTAAAATCCTCAATTCTGTGGAGGTTGAAGAAAGACTATTTACGCTATGTGGTTGGATTTCTGGAGACTGTTTATAAGATCTGTAAAACCCTGGCCAACACAGGCTGTTCAGGACTTTAGGGGGGAGGTGGCAATTGACAATGATCCCTTAGGAATCTGGTAAGGACTAATCTCTTCCTTGCTTTTCGATTTTTTCCCTGACTTCCCTTTCTCCAAAGGGAAAAAATTGGGAAAGGACTAGCCTAAGGTTGGCTTCCACCCAAGAGGGCACCCTGGAAGGCTGCTGCTTTCTTGCAGATGTGGGCTGCACCTGGAAGCTTTGTGCCTGAGCCCCAGTCAGTCCAGCCGGGAAAGTTTTTCCTTTGCATATAAAGAAGGTCCTCGAAGGAGAAGATAGAATTTGACATTTCCCTTACATTTATTTCTTCAGGGAAATGATTCAAGAGGTGAAAATGAAAACACAAGAGTCAAAAAATAAAAAGGGAATTTTTAAAAACTGAAGAATATCATGTCTGAGTTATTTTTTGGATTGCTTTTCAGCTAGTTATTAATTAAGATGAAAACAACTGGTTTGGAGGTGTTGATAAATGTTTACATTTATATTTTTCTTTCATTCCTCCATGTCTCACACAGTGTTGGGGTTGGTGTCAGTTTACTATTATTATTTGTTATGTCTTGACCTGGATTTTCAATCTAATAATTGTCCCAGCCAATGAGAGAATTTGATTTCTTAGCTTAAAAGCCAAAAAACATTTTACTTCTAGCTTCTGTAGGCACTAAGACGGAAAAAAAATACGTTAAATTGAAATCTTTACATGTTATCCAAGCTGGCTCATATCACGTTGGCAGCCGACCAATTTATTTCTCCAACCAGCTATGTATATGGAAGGCAGGGGAGAGACACATTCAGGCAAGAGTAGGAGCCCCAGACCCTCCAGAGAGCGTCTCTGGGATGGTGAGACTGGCCACCCCAGGGCTCTCCTCTGTCAAAGCCACACAGAAAGCCCACTTACCTTTCAGCTTCTCTCCAAGGGGGGCAGAATGGCGAGCAGGGCCCCACAGTCTGCCCTTGCCCTGGGCTGCCCATTGAGCTCCTCGACCTCCGCCAGCCTAGAGGAAGGCCTGGGCGTATGTGGGTGTGGGGCCTCAAAGGCCACCGCAGTCCGGCCAGATCGCTAGTCCAGGCCAGAGCCCAGAGCACACAGGTGCGGTCTCTGCCCGTCACAGGCCCTCTACTGGAGCCAAAGCACGCCTTCCTTGCCATAGCCAGTACTCCTCAGGGCCAGCTGGCCTGCAGGCCTCGGGACTACCAGTGGTCTCTCCGATTTCAGAATCCCAACGCCAGAGCGGTCCCTGAACCAGCGTGTGCCCTCAAGGCGCCTTGGGACGCGCAGTTTGGACAGAAGCAGCCATGACGTGCCAGGCGGCCTGTGCAACCAGTCTCCACGGTGCTGGGGTGGGGGTAGGGGGAGGACCCGAGTCTATTACGGCTTCCAGCTCCTGTGAGGAGTAGCCGAGGCGGGGAGATTCCCGGCCAAATGGGCCCTAGGAGACCGCCCCCCAGGTCCCCTTTTGTGCCCCTCTCCCCTGCCTGCTGGGAAATCTCTGAGGGGCCCGTACAGCAGTCGCGCCAGGCTGCGAGAGGCGAGCTGTGGCTGGCGCCGGTCCCCGCAATGGCCACAGCGTGGCAGCAGCGAGCGCCCAGCACGGTCACAATAAATAATCTGCTCGCGGCAGCCGCAGTCAGCAAGCCGGCGGCCCGAGGATGCAAATGCGCCGCTTTATCCGCCCGGAACGCACGCAGGGCGCGGATGAAAGTCCCCAAACATCCACAACCCCTTCGTAAATATCTATCGCATACCAACATACTATCTCAAGATGGGAAACAATCAAAACAAACAAACAAACAAACAGAACTCGATCCCAGAACCTGGGGATCCTTTCTTGTCGCTGTCCTGGGAGTTTCCAGGGCAAATATGGCCTGATGCGCACCTAGGCCGAGCTGCACAGTTCGTGCCACAGCGCTACGCAAAGCCACCGCCAGCGGCACCCTCCACGCCTTCTCACGGGCGGCTCCACAGTCCTCTTCCCGCTCGCGGGAGGTGGGGAATGCGGCCCGCCAGCCCGCTGTTCCGGGGTGTGTTGGTGGGGGGGTCCCCCTATCGCCCAGACTCGGTGTGAGTCCTTTCTTCAAGCTTAGCTGCGGGGCCCCTGCCACTCGCGTTAGCATCACAAAGTCCTCTGCACGGAAACTTCCCGCCAAGTAACACCCAGCCAATTAACCCCATCCTCTTCTCCAACGCAGAATTCCACCCACGCACCTAGTCCCTCTCCCAGCGCTTCAGACACCTCTCTCAGCAGAAAACTCTGCGAAGGGAAGCAGGCAATCAGCGGAAACCTCTGGCCGAATTAGTAAGTTTTTGTCCCCCACCTTCTTTCTACCTCTCTCTCTCTCTTTCTCTCTCTCTCTCTCAAACCAATTCCCACGGAGTAGAGGTATTGTGCCGAAGCTAATAAAACGCCTGTGGAGTGATGCACTTTACCCTCGCCTCCTCCCACCTTCCCAGGTCAGGAATGGTCTCTTGTTGGGGAATTCAAACCAATTGGACCATGTATGAAAAAATAAATATCCAAATCCAAGAGACTGGCGGGGAAGGTAGAGTGCGGGGTCACTTCCTTTTGGGCTTCCCAGGGTGGCTGGTAAGGGGGGAGAGAAGCCCCAAGTGGTGCTGCCCCGTGCCAGCGCGCTGTGCCACAACGGAAGGCGGGCACTTACTGCTGCCGTGCGCCAGGAAGGGGAGAGAGGGAGTGGGGCGTGCGTGTGTGTGTCTGTGTGTGTGTGTGTGTGTGTGTGTGTGTGTGTGTGCTTGGGCTGTAGCTGTGATGGGGGCGAGTGTGAATGGGTGAGCATGGATGAGGATGAGTATGCCCCTCTTCAAAGCCACCGTGGGTACCCTCTCCCACCGCTCCCGCCGCTGGCTGTCACCTCACCACCTTTGCTCTTGTCTCCTCCCCACGTCTCACCTTCAGATGGCGGCTCCCAGAAGCTCCTGTTCCTCTGACAGCTGTCGCTTGGGCAGCCCGGAGACGAATTGTCCTCCTTCCTGGTGCCAGAGGACGCAGGAAATTAGCCAGGTTGCGAGTTGCAAAGCTGCCGCCGCGGCGCGGGGAACTGGGCGCGCCCCACCTCCAGCGCGAGAGGCCAGGCCCGGCCTGGCCCGGGCTTCCCCTGGCTCGCCATCGCCGGACAAAGCGCAGCTGAGCCGGGCTGGAAGGCAGAGCTCCGAAGCAGGCAGGACGGAGCGGAGCAAAAGAATGCGGCTCTATTCTCGCAAGGGAAATTATAAAAAAGTTCATGTTCACGGTTCCCATCCACATGACCGACAGCGGCCAATGGAAGGGCCGAACAACTCATAAAGTTGTATTGCAAAGTTGTAAATTTTCATAAACAACAACGGATTTATGACCCTTTCCCCATCACTGAGAGGAGGCAGCTCTTACACCGGCGCCATCTTACCACCGAGGCCGCCCCGACTTGGGGCCGCAGGTTTTACAGACTATTTTTGCCCAATTTTTACTAAAAGAGCTACAAGAAGCGGGCCCAAGCCAGGCAGGAAACTGGAGCCCAGGTCTTGCCGGCGGAGCTCAGGATGCTCTGCGCCGCTCTCCGCTGCCTCTAGCCCCTCGCCCCTTCCCGCATCCAGACACCCCTGCTGAGGCTGTGCAACCTAGCCGGGGACTGCGCCCTGCCCCTCCCCGCACCCCTCTGCCGCAGTGCTGGGCCCTGGGCCGCCCTGGACTCGCCTGAAGGCGGGGTTGGGGGGCTGCGGCAGAGGCCCTAAATCCCACTCCCTCGCCTGGGGCCGGGTTCAGGGCGTATGCAGAATCCAGAATCAGTAGCAAGCCCGCTCCACAGCTTAGAGGAAAGGGTGGGTTTGGAATTTTTTCTCATGGCATTTATGGAAGTTTTTAGGGAGGTTCGTAGAACACAATGTCTCCATAGAAGATTCCATTTTCAAGGGATCTACAAAATGCTTGTGCACACACAAACACCAGACAAAAGTCTCTACACAGAGAAAAGCACACACGCAATTATGGACATGTAGGAACACACGTACCCAATTATGGACACAGAAACTTACACAATTATGGAATTATATAAAAACCCACACATACACAGAAATACATACATACAAAAAATATGCATGCACCCGTATGAATCCACACATAAGACATAAAAAGGCACGGCACATATACACCAGTGTATGGGTGCCCAACACTTGGACCCAAGGATAGTCACTCCACTTTTGCTTCCTGACGGCCCCTTTGTACATACAGACACAGCCAGGGCTTGCTCTCTAGCCATGCTCACCTCCCCTTTCCCAGGCCCCCTCCAGATAAAGCAGTCTGTGCTTTTCTTTGTCACCAAGCATCTTTATTTTTCTGTTACATAAAACACGGTTACCTGGGTGGGGAAGCGTACCTTCCCTGATCCCCAGGCGGGAGCTGAGGGATACACAAGACAACACAGGAGATGAAAGACATTGAGGAGGGCATTAGACCTCCCCACCCACTACAGGTTAGCTCAAGACAACACACCATGCTACAAAGTCACCCCATCAACACATCCTTCCGAGTCAAGACATTGCCTTACAAATGAACTCCAAGACTATAGAAATGACAAAAAAAAATCTTGTTCAAATATACAGTATTTGCTATTATAGGAAACGTCAAGGTGTACATATTTGATGCAGCTGAACAGGACACTAGGGCCAGAGGAGATGACAGCAAAGCTGGGAGCATCTCCACAGACCTATTAAGCAGAAGCTAACCCAGAGGTCTGCAGCCAGCTCAGGACCTGCTCCCCTCCAGAATTGGGGGGTGATGGGCCTGAACTTCAGGTGCCAAGCCAGGGAAGTAGGGATTCTAGGTTGCAGCACTAAGAATGCTTTGGAATAAATATATTATTTTTCAATTTAAATAGAAGCCAATGCCCTGGTCCCTGGACCTAAGCGCATTCTCAGAGCAGCCTCAAGGACCCCAAAGGCTGTCTGCTGTAAGCAGCAGGAGCCTGGCCTGGGAGGGGCTGGCACTAGGTAGTAGGCAAGCCAGCCTGCACAAAATAGGTAGTTTTGGGGGAGTAGGTAGTACTGAGAGTCATGTTCTTCAGGGGATGGGGGGTGGTGCTGGGTGTCTGCCAGTGTTGGGACATGTCCAGGCTTCCTGGGAGTGGAGGCCCTTGGGGGCTTAGCCCATAGGTAGTTTGGGGTGCCTCTTGTGGAGGCCTGTGCTAGGTAGTATTTTGGCCATGCCAGCAAGGGGCTGGCTAGCCTGGGGTTGGGGATGTCTGTGGGGTCCTGGGATGCAGAGAGGATCCCCAGGGCGACTCAGTCTCAGTGGCTGCTCAGCCCAGAAAAGTTGCGAGCTGGAGTTGGGTGGAGTGCAGGTTGATAACTGGGGTGGGGTTTTTTTTTTTTTTTTACATTTTCTTTTTATTTTTCCCATGTTTGCAAATAAAACCATTAAGTCTCTTAAAGACGCTTTTCTGACTGTCCGGTGCAGCAAGGGCCCCGGGCTAGGCCCCTTATTCCTCCTCCTCATCTTCCTCCTCTTCTTCGTTGTCCTCATCGTCAGCCTTGTCAGCGGCGGCGGCAGCGGTAGAGGGCACGGCACCCTCGGGGGCTGCTGAACCCTCTTCCTTATGCTCTTTCTTCCACTTCATGCGGCGGTTCTGGAACCAGATCTTGATCTGGCGCTCGGTGAGGCAGAGCGCGTGGGCGATCTCGATGCGGCGGCGCCGCGTCAGGTAGCGGTTGAAGTGGAACTCCTTCTCCAGCTCCAGCGTCTGGTAGCGCGTGTAGGTCTGGCGGCCCCGCTTTCTGTCAGGTCCTGGGAAGAGACATGTGGGCACATGGACACACGGAGAGACAAGCGGGCAGGACAGGCTATTAGCCAAGGCTGCTGTTCCAGAGCCCGAACCTTCCTCCCGGCCTAGTCCCAGGCACACGTCCCCCTCTGCCCGGCGCCCTGGAATTGAGCCGGGGGAGGAGGAGGTGTGTTAGCGGAAGACCCCAACTATGGGACTAGACGCGCAGGCAGCTCGGGAATGAGTGAAGGCGCAGAATCCCAACTTTACAATCGCCCTTTCCAGCCGGCTACGCTTCCACAATGTCCTGCTTCCCCCTGACAAAGGGAAATTGTAAATATAGAGTGTGGGCAAGTGGGAGATGCTACACTTTACCATTCAAAGACGAGCCCCGCCGTTTCCCCGCCTAGCCAGGCAAGTGGGCGACCCTTCCCAGCAGCCTGCGCCCCTGTTCCCTGTACCTTCCTAGGGCACTCAGACCCTCCGCCCCTGTTCCCTCCCAGTCTCCGTCTTGAAATGGCCCCTGGCACATGGGCAGCTGAGGGGCCCTAGAAGGCTTGGTTCCCCCAGCTTTTGAGAAAGAAAAGCTGGGGAAAAAGAAAGAGAAGAGAGAGCAGAAAAGGAGGGAGGGAGACCGGGGAGGGAGACAGAGAAGGGCGACAGGGAAATGGGGAGAGGGGGAGAGGGAGAGAGAGAGAGAGAGAGAGAGAGAGAGAGAGAGAGAATGAACAAACTTAATGTTAAAATTCTAAGGCAAATGAAGTTAAATAAATTTACGAGGATCGAACCCATTAATTGGGCCATAAAAAGTTTTATGAGCCTCATTTACATACAATGCTCTGAGCTCCACGCAATGGCGCCTCGGCTCTAATTAAAACCAGAAAGGCTGCGCCGCCGCCGGGAGTCGCAGGGGCTGCGGGCTCCCAGCCGCCCGGCTCCACTCTCCCTGGCCCGGCGCTCCGCGCCCCCGAGCGCTGGAGCTCCCCGCTCCCGGCCCGCAAGCCCGCCCGGCCCGCCTAGCGGAAGCGCCTACCTGAAGACCGCATCCAGGGGTAGATGCGGAAATTGGCCTCGGCCGGGCCGTGCAGCGTGCCCTCGTCCGCCTTGTCGCAGGCGCCTTTGGCGAGGTCACTGCAAAGCCCGGGGATGTTTTGGTCGTAGGAGGCGCAGGGCAGGTTGCTGTAGGCGTCGGCGCCCAGGCCATAGCCAGACGCAAAGGGGCTCTGATAAAGGGGGCTGTTGACATTGTACAAGCCCGGTACGGTCGAGGCGAAGGCGCCGGCGCCCGCCCCGTAGCCGCTTCTCTGCGAGTTGGGCGCAAAGGAGCAAGAAGTCGGCTCGGCATTTTGGAACAGAGAAGCCCCCGCCGTATATTTGCTAAAAAGCGCGTTCACATAATACGAAGAACTCATAATTTTGACCTGTGATTTGTTGTCCGGCAGCTTTCAGTGTCGGTTTTACGAGGTAGCGTGATATATGATAACATTACACCCCCAGATTTACACCAAACCCCATTTTCTTTTGGACGGAGCTCGCCGCAGCACGTGACCGCCCACATGACCGCCTCCGCCAATCTCAGCAGCCATCACAGGTGGTCTCGCTCCGCGGGGCCCGCGGCCGCCTAGAATGGAAGGGGAAGAGGCTCAAATATGCGGCCGAGGAATCTGCCCGTCCCCGGCGGGGCGAGGGCGCCCTGCGGAAAAGGACCCGAGGCTTCACAGGAGCGCCCAGCTGGCGGTCAACCGGGGCGCAGGGGCCTGTGGCCGCGGAGCGGAGCGGAGCAGGCTTGGCGCGGCCGCCTTATGCCTGTTAAGTGAACCCCGGACCAAGCTTGTAGACTGTCCCTGTCCCTCTCCTGTCCCCTCGCCCAGCCCCTGGAAGGATCTCTGCACCCCGCACACCCGCCTACCCCACGATGGCCTTGTGGTCAGGTCTCAGCTATGGACAAATGGACTCTTTGCTTACGTCCCCCCTCACCCAGGTCCAGTGGGCGACAGGCCGGACTTAGGACTCTGATCCAGACTGGGCAGGCGCAGCGTTGCTTGCAGCTGCAGCGAGAATGCCACCGCAAACTGGAACCATGTGGTTTAAATAAAGTCAACGTCTCCCAGCTTCCTTTCCTTAATCGGTGGCACACTGTTTATTCGCCCTAAAGGAAGCAGTGAAATATTTATCTGTTAATGAGCCTCATTTGCCAACAGATTTATTAACGTGGGGTTTCCCTCCCTCCTCCTGGACACTGCAGAGCTGAGAAGTGTGTTGGCTCCTGGGCACCTGGCTGGCCTCTGGCAGCTGGATAAATGGCTGAAGACTCCTTTGTCCTCCCCACAACCCTGGTTCCCTCTAGCTCACAGGGAGCCAGGTCTCTTTCCCCCAACTTGGAGGAACCTCTGGCTGCAGCTTTCCAGGCACTCCCAACACCAGGAGGTTTTTGGCACGCTTCACCCCAGCTACCCCTAGGCCTCCACCTCGTGGGGCTGGGTACCTGGGGAAATACATGCTTTGGAGACAATTTTGAGAGGAGAGGGGGGCGCTGATTCCCACTGCAGACCCTGATTTCTTTTGTAGACACCAAAACAAATAGGTGGACCCCTCCCCAAAGGCCGCCCAGCTCTGGAGCCTTCACCTTTCAAAGTACTGGCTCAGAGAGACCTGAGTGCACAGTAGTCTCACTCCCTCCCATCCAGGCCTCCAACTCCTACCTTCCCAGGCCTCCGACCCCTCCACCATGTTGGACCTGCTGAAGCCTCTGCCGCCCACTGCTCCGTGGAGGATGGTGGGGACAGCGCTTCCCCTAATCGCCTCATAAACTGCCCAGGCCTCGCTGGAAGCCCAGCCACCTTTTACTGCCCAGCTCGATTACACACCATAAACCCGACCTCACAATGGAATTGCCCCGGAAATTCTCCTCTAAATTATGGAGTTTGGTTCCTTGTGTACAAAGCACTTCCCATCACTTTCAGAGGGTCCAGGCCACCCCCATTTACCGCACCCTCTCAGGGGGTCCTAAGAACACAAAAGGTGGAGAGAGGGTTGAAATCGGGATGCTACAGAGCCCCATCTCTGGCACAGCGAACCGCCAGGGCTTGCATGGGGAGGCAGGGGCTGCTGGGGCAGGTGGGTGTTAGGCAGTGTCCTCCCTCCATATAGGGACCTTGTAGGGGACAATATCCGGGGATGCCCTTTATGAGGGATCAGGATAATATTGTGTCTTGGATAGGGAATGGAGAGGTAAGACTGGAAGAAAAAAACCCACAAATAATCCAAATAGCATCGCCTTCTGTCAGGAAATAAAAACCTAAGAAAGTTGAAGGAAGACGAAGCAAACAAGAAGGCTAGATCAAAGAGGCGGAATTAGACCGCTTTAGACTAATAAATTGTTCCTCGGGTGACACAGAGCAAGACGCAAAGAGAAAAGACTGTGGCCCCGCCGCCGCCGTCTGTCTAGACTCAGGCGGCTGGAGTGGCCGACAGCGATGGCGTTTAAAGTAGAACCTGCCCTGAGTCGGGCAACCCAACAGCCCAAGTGGGTGAGCGATTTCGGGGAGCATGGGAAAGAACGCACTTCTCCGCCAGGAGGGCTGGGCGCCCTCGCCGCTGGCTCATCCCTGCCCGAGTTTTGCCCGGCGCGTGTCCAAGCGGTTCTGGCCAGACGCACTGCCCGTCTGCCCTGGCCAAGAAGGGCGTGGATACTGCCCTCAAGGCCTCGGCCCTTCTGGACCCAAGTCAGTCAACTGGGCCGAGTCCCATAGGCACCAAAACCTCCCTTTCGTTTCTGGGCTTGTCTCTTGCCTCCTGCCTTCTGTGGTCAGACTTTAAAACGAAAAGGACCGACAAAATCGGGCTTTCAGTAAAGCGTCTTTAATTGCGTGTTCTCGGGCCAATGGTTCCCTATTTATTTGACTGAAAAGTCACAAATGCACTGGGATATGTAACATTATTCGCAGAAATGCTGGTTGAGGCTGGGTCTGGAGCAGGCGCACACAGGCAGGTTTTTAATCAGCCGAGCTATCTTTAGATAAATATTTTCCACTGCCCTCCAGAGCTAGCTTATCCTACCTAAAGGCAGAGAGTGCATCCCTGGATACCAAATAGTCTTCAATATTTAAAACCAATTAAGAATATAAACCCAGCTCTAGGCGGCTAACAGCGCCTGCCAGAGACTGGGCGGCTGGCGATTAGCTTCCCTCTGTTTCCACCCGCGCCGGTGGCTCGGGGAACGCGCGTCCGTTCCCCACCCAGCGAGCCTGCCCTGGCCTGGCCGCAGAAACAAACCCATTCCCGCGTGCAAAATGAGCTCGGGCCGGCGCGGGGTCTTGCCTGGGTGAAGGCCCGCTGCAGGGAAGCGGCTCCCAGGCTGCCGAGAGGAAAAGCAGCCTCCCAGCCTGCCAAGGGCAAGGGAGGCCGGGCCGGACAGTCTACAAGGCCTCTGGGACGCTGGGCAGCCTGCACCTACCTGGGGCCTCCGTGATCAGTGGAGAGACTCGCACCAATCTGCGACTTCATTTATGTGTAGTTATATAAATCGAGCTTTCTCTCTCGGCGTCCACCGATCTGCAACTTAACCGTTTATTTGTTGTAGTCATATGAACTGAGCTTTCTACCTGCGGCTTGGATACACGGCCATGGGTGACTCTCGGGGAACCTATAAAGACCCTTTGTCACAATCAGATGCTCTGAAATATTGTGTTAGATACAGAAATATAATAAAGGCGTGTGCCTAAAATACTAACGTATGTATGAAAGAGAGAGATACATGCACACACACACACACACACACACACACATACACACACACACCAGGGAGAGATGTCAGCCAAAATCCAGTCCCCAGTTTTACAGCGTGTGCAGCGCGGAGATGCGGGTCGTAAACATTTTGTGGGCTTGGCAGAGACTATTAAGACCCGTATAAATGCACTGCGCGGTGTGTTCACAGGGCTCCCGGGTGTGTGGAAAGATTCTGTTTGCTTTTGCGTTTTCCCTCTGAAACCATTCTACACCCGTGGCTGGTCCTCGCACCCGGGTTTGGGGCTGCCTCTGCGGAAGCTCCGGGGCTTGTTCCCCGCCTAGGATGGGGGGGTACCCTGGGCCTGAATTGGGGGTCCCTCCCGTCTGGCCTTCTGAGCGGGGCACGCGAGAGTAGCTTTGGTAGCTCCACAGCAGACAAAATAGCGCGGCCAGAGAAAGTGAAGGCGGCCTCCATGCCACACAAGAGCCAACTCTGGAGCCAGGGCGTGCCAATTATATTAAAGCACTTTTTTGGGGTAATAACCAAAGCAGTTCCTGATCGGGTCCCCGGATTCCCCATCCCAGCCAACTTGGCCGGTAGACCTCCACTAGACAGTCGCCAAGAATGCCTTTACGCCCAATTTTTACCCGCCTAATTTTGTCTAATACTCAAGCCGGTCGGGTCACAGGGTCCTGGCTCTCTCTTGGGTGCCGGCTCGCCAGGCCTTGAACCCGTCGCAGGTTCCGGGCGTCTCCGGGGCCGCAGCGGGACCCGTGAGCACGGCGCGCGCCCTCTGCACGCCCTTCGCACGCCCTCTCCGCGATCGTCAGGTCTGAGCGCCGCGGGCGTTCGTCCCCGCGTCCCTCGCCGGTCGTCTGGGGTTCCCGCGAGCCTTGCTGCCCTGAGGCCTGTCCCCGGCTGAGGACGGCGACCCGGGAGCCCGACCCGCGCAAGGAACTGCAGCCCCGCAGCGCCGGTGCCCTGGGGAAGGGGCGGGGGCGGCGCGAGCGGTGGCGGGTCCGGCAAGACCCCGTGCATTGCTTGCTTCTCAGCGCGGCTTCCAACCCAGCGTGAGCAGAACCGAAAATATAAGGTTGTTGTTCACTAAAATCTGGGGCTCCCATTCCTGCAAGGCTCGCGTCGTCGACATCTTAGGAATTTCCCAGGGTCGCGGCGGCGGGAGATGGCGGAGCGGACGCCTCTTGCGTGGAGCCACATTGCCATCTGCTGGCCACTCCGGGGCACAGCAGCCTCGGCTGTCCTCTGTCCTGAACTCTGGCAGCGGCCGCCGCGGGCACAGCGCCCCACTCTCAAAGGAGGGGCGAGGGCCCATCCCTGGGGAGTCCGCGTGGAGCCCGGAATCTACGCTGCGGAGTGGGCCATGCCCATAAAAGAGCTGTTTCCGCAGCCACTTTATCGGCGGCGGACAGAGCAAACGAACAAATGAAAGGGCTTTGGGTGGAATATCCTAATTGGGGCTGGACAGTTGTAAACTCATTAAGGGCTGAATTCCAGACAGTTCGCAGACCCGGCCTTTATGGCACACCCTTACTGCCCATTCTTTGAAGTTCCTTCTGTCTGCCACAACAGAGGGCATCCCAACCTGGCGGTGGTGTGGGGGTGGGGGTGAGGCGGGGTAGGGCTGGGGGTGAGGGAACTCTCCATCCACCCGCGTCCCTCCCGCTCCCGTTTTTACGCGTTAGAACACAGCCAACTTTGCAGAAGTCGATGGGGGGATGGGGTGGGGAGGAAGGGCAAGAGAAGAAAAGGGAGGAAGCAAGGCCGAGAATCCTCCGGCCACATCTGGAAGGTGCTCGGCCCTAAGTTGTGGCCTTTCCTCGCAGCCCTTTACACCCCATAAACAGTAACAGCCCTCATTTTCTTTTATGACGCTTCAGGGCTCCTCAGTTGCGTCCGCCCTGCCTCTGCCAGGACTTGTGCTCGGGAGGGGCTTGTGGTGCAGGATCCAGATTGCCCCAGGGCAAGCTGGCAGGATGCAGGGGTGCAGATCTTCGTCCTCTGCAAGCCCCACTGTTGGGCCAGTCGGGCTCCTGGTTCCATCCTCAGAGCCTCCTTAGGAGGCCGGCCCTCAGCTCTGTGTCCCACCGCCCCCTGTCCCCCACCCTGCCAGAGAAGGCCTCAGGCAGCTCTGTGGGCTCCAGATTGGGAAATTTCTTGGGGACACCAAGGTGAAAGAGTGGCCTTTCCACCCAGCTACTGGCCAGTGACACGGGGTCCCCTGGCCCAACTTCTCTGGGGCTTCCCCACCAACCGGCAAATAGTCGCAAGGCCAGGAGCCCGGCCTCGCCACCCGTTTTTCCCAGCCTGCCTCCGCTGCTCGCCGCCAGGCAGCTGTCCTGCCAGGGAGGCTTAGGACCGACGGCTGGACTGACTGTGTAGGATCCTGGCTCCCAAAAGCCAACCAGAGGCAAAAGTGGGGCTCTTTCTCCCTACCCACCCAGCCCCCCACCCAGAGACTCAATTCCAGTGCCCTGGAGAAGGTGTAAAAAACAGACCCCCCCAAAAAAAAATAAATAAAAGAAAGAAAAGTAAAGGAAAAAAGAATTAATATACTTTTATTTGGCAAAAAGTTAAATATCACTCAACATAACAATTTGGTCAGTAGGCCTTGAGGTAACTATTGCAAAATATACAGGGTATGTTCAGCCCGATGGAAACCCCAGATTCACCAAGGATACAAATCTACAGTAGCCCAATGGCGGTTTCATAGTGTATAATTTATTAGCAATAAAATTAACTCCGTTACAATAGCATTCGTTTTTCCCCGGTTAAAATTAAGCATAAACCATAGGTAGTAATCTTCTGCACATATGTATAGCTCCGAATTTCCTCACTGTTTGGTGCAAAAACAATATGCAAATTCGTCTGATTATGTACTTTTCTTTAACATATAGATTTTATATACAATGGACAAGACAGGACTTTAGATCGTGTAGAGACTAAAATGCCCACATTTCAAAAGTGAAGAAAACCATGAATCTATGCATCCCCGAGAACACTTTTTTAAAAACATTTTATTTCACTGGGAAATCCTTACAGCTAGTTTACAATCATAGGTTAACAGCCTAGTTATACAGAAGACGTATTCCACTACAGAGCTATACTCTATGCAACTGTTTTTCCCCCTCATAAACAACCTGAGTTCAAATTGAATTCTAGCTTCCACAATCACAACGGGTGCGTCACCCAGTACACAGAAGTTTGAGTCACAAAACATAATTACCACAATAAAACACAGTATTCAAGTATCTTGGCAGAGCAATCTGCCACACAAAGAGCAAATTAAATTAACTACACAGACTAAAAACTATACAGCCTGCCGTCAACATTGTGCATTATAAAAAGGTAGTTTTTTTTCCTTTTGTTTTAAGTCAGGAACAGGTAGATTTTTTAAAAAATATATACAAGCTAGCACACACAGCTATCACCGCTAATGCCCCCCTACTTTTAAATTTTTTGTCTTTTAGAAAATGGAAAGCTTACAATACCTCCTCCATCAAAGCGGCAGGCCTGCCAGCCAGCCTGAGCAGGGTTTGCCTGGGGGGGGGGGAGATGTAGCCTGGGGTTTAGAGGCGCTTTGTGCCCGGATGGTGGAGGCTGGGGTGGGGGTGAGAGAAGGGAGAAGGGGACGCACAGTTCTTTCTCTCTTTACTTCGCTCTCTTTTCTAAATAAACCCGAGTGGCATCACTCGTCTTTTGCTCGGTCCTTGTTGATTTTCTTCATTTTCATCCTGCGGTTCTGGAACCAGATCTTGACCTGCCTCTCCGTGAGGTTGAGCAGCCGGGCCACTTCGTACCTGCGGTCCCTGGTGAGGTACATGTTGAACAGAAACTCTTTTTCCAGTTCCAGCGTCTGGTGTTTTGTATAGGGGCAGCGCTTCTTCCGCGTGGAGCGTGCGTGAAGCCAGTTGGCCGCCGGGTTATCTGCGGGGGTGGGGGGGAGAGAGACACTGGGTTTAGAAGGAGGAGAAGCACCCCCCACGCCCCAGCTGTGGGCGAGGAAGCCTCCTGGGGTCTCCGGGCGGGCCGAAGTGCAGGACACCGCTGAATTGGTTAGGGAAGGCTGCTTAGCCTCAGACACAATGGAACCCTGGCAGACAGACGCACGGACGGTCACTTACAATTGCACGCCGTAAAACTCCCTCCTCCCCTCTGCAGCCCTCCTTTCTCCTACTCCGTCCTCCTGTCCCCTTCTCTCCTTCGCCCCACTCTCTGCACAATGTGTAGAGTGAAGTTTGGAAACATCTTGCCACGCAGAGGAAAACCATGCCGCCCTGTGTTGTTGGTGTAGCAAGATTAATACTTTTCTCCCTCTCACTGACTCTGTGTTTTCCCTTCCCCACCTTTCCTTCTACTCTCCCCACTTCTTATTTGACCTTCCTGGAAGGCCATAGGAGCTGGGCAGGCCGGCAGGGCGCCCCAAAGCCGTTGATCATGTCTCCAGTTTATTTGAATAATCTGGCATGGGGGCACTGGTGGCCCGGTCGCCGCAGCCTCATCTTGGGCAGGATTTACGCCGCCACCGGCTGAAGGCAAGAAGTAGAGGGAATCGGCCGTCTCCCCCAGGGTCCCGGGTCGAGCTGCCGGGCTGCCTCGCTGCCGATGCTCGCGGACGAGCTAGTCGCACAAAAGACTCTCTGCTGCGCTGCTTTCGAAGAACAGCCCCAAGTACCTCTGTCCTGGGCCGGGGCAGCCAAGGAGATGGGTGGTCGGTCTTGCCTCGGCCCGAAGTGCCCGCCCCGCCCCTCTCGCCGCAGCAGCTTCCTTCTCTCCCCCCAGCCCTGCGGGCCCGCTCGTCACTGCTCTCCGAGCTTGGGGCCCCATCCGAGGCGTCCCAGACACCAGCTTCTGGCTCCCGGCCTCTACTCAGGAGGCTCCCGGCGAGGCGAAGGCAGGCTCGAGAGAAAGCTGGCGGGCCGGCAGATCCGGGTGGCCGGCATGGAGGCGGCGGCAGGTTTGAATGGAGGAGACACTTACTGGGATCGATGGGGGGCTTGTCTCCGCTGCTCTCATTCTCAGCATTGTTTTCCGAGAAGGCGCCTTCGCTGGGTTGTTTTTCTCTATCAACTGGAGGAGAACCACAAGCATAGTCAGTCAGGGACAAAGTGTGAGTGTCAAGCGTGGGACAGTCACCCCTTCTGGCCGACAGCGGTTCAGGTTTAATGCCGTAAGGCCGGCTGGAGGGCAAGCCCGCGAAGGAGAGCGCACCGGGCGTGGGCTCCAGCCAGGAGCGCATGTACCTGCCGTCTGGCGCTGCCGCCGCCACGGGCGCCTGGGGGTGCACGTAGGGGTGGTGGTGATGGTGGTGATACACCGCAGTGGGCACGGCGTTGGCCCCCGCCGCGTGCACCGGGTTCCACGAGGTGCCGAACACCGCCGCCTTGGACTGGAAGCTGCACGGGCTGAAGTCGGGGTGCTCGGCCAGCGCCGCCGCCTGCCTGGGGGGCTGGCCCAGGGCCCCCGGCGCGTAGCGGCCAGCGCTCAGCTCGTCCGAGGCATCGGCGCCCAGCAGGAACGAGTCCACGTAGTAGTTGCCTAGGGCCCCAGTGGTGGCCATTGCTGTGCCCAGCGCCTGGCCGGCCCGGCCCGACCCACGGAAATTATGAAACTGCAGATTTCATGTAACAACTTGGTGGCACCAGGGGGGGGAAGTACAGTCACCTAATAAGTTGCCGGCGCCCGCGCCCCCATTGGCCGCGCGCGTCACGTGTCCGCCCGGCAGAACAATAACGCGTAAATCACTCCGCACGCTATTAATGGCCCGGTGTTTTGCAGTCATAATTTTTATAGCAAAAGCCATATGTTTTTATGCAAAGGGATCGCGCCGCTCCACGATCGGGTTTGTTTTAATTGTGGCCAACGAAGATTAAAAGATCAAATCTGGCCTCGCCTCTGTACTCTCCCCCCCCCTTCTTAAGCGGACTATTTTATATCACAATTAATCACGCCATCAGGAAGGCGCGGGTCCGGCGTGCGAGTGCGGCCAGCGGAGCCCCTCACATAAAATTAGACAATAATTGAAGCCATAAAAAAGCAGCCAAATCGCATTCTCGCTCTACTGTATTTAAATCTATATTTATGATATTTCATAAGGAGTTATTGTTTCAGAAGCCACACAGGCTGGTGGGAAGTCGAAGTCGGGAACGACCAACAGATTCGTTTTCCTTGCCGTGGCTCCCAGCTGTAAAAATTTACGAGGACTTGGAAAGGTTAAATTAGACTGTTGTGTTTGGTTGGCGAGCTCCCTGTAAATAATCCCTGCGGTCCCCGGGAGAGGCGAGTTTACCCCAGGCCCGCCGCGAAAAGTCAAATTCAACACTGTATCTGTCCCAGAGTCGCCACTGCCCTGCCAGAGCGCGCGGGGCAAGGACCGGCCGCCCAGACGGTGCCGCCTGTTGTGGGCCCCCACGCCTGCCTGCATGGAGCACAGGGAGCCGGGCAGCCCCCAGATTCGCCGTTGCTCCTCCGGCGGGGGAGCGGCTAGCCGCCCCAAGGCAAAGGTTTGAGGGCCTGGTTGTGCTGCCTGCTCGGACCCTAGCCTCGATCCCGCGCACTCGCGCGCCTAGCTCCGCATCAGTGGGGAATCAGGATCCTGGGCTCAGGTGGCTGGTGACTGGTTCTGTGGCTCTATCTTTGAAGGCCCTGACGTTGAGCTTTGCAAGCCTCATCGTGCTCCCCAAACTCAAGCAGGGGGGAAAAAAAACTCCACGTGGCATCAATGGAAGGCGAGTCGAGCTTGGGAAAAGGCAACACCGCCTAAGAGACCACGCGGCTCCAATGGCCCACACCGGTGTGGCCTGTCCTGGGGCTCTGTGAGCCTTTCAGGGTTCCTTCCTTCCTCCCTTTCCAGCCATTGCTCCTGCTCTAGGCCCAGCCTTGGTTACCCACGGGCCCGTGCCGGGGCCACTTAACAGAAGGGCGCAAGGCCCAAAGTGAGGCGGTTGCAGCTCAAAATCCAGGGGTAGAAATTAAAATGGGGAGAGGCACGAGGCATTGACTCGAATCCCATTCCTTGGCCTAACCAAATGGGGGAAGTTTATTTCTCATCCCTTTGGGGGGGGCGGTAAATTAAAAGGCCGAAGCCACTGTTAATTGGAAGGAAAAATAAAAACCCACCCCAATTCCTAACAGAAAGCAGCAACTCTTAGAAACGGGGTAATCAAATTCACGTGTAAAAACTGTTGCCTGTAAGAGTGTGTTTTTCATTAGCCCACTTCCCGGCGGCAAAGCTGGCGGCCTTGGACGCTTCCATCTCTCTTTCTCTCTCTCTTTTGGGTTCATTCTCACCAGGAGTTCCAGTAATCCCCCCATACACCCTGATACACACCAGGGCGGGGACCCCCCAAATACCAGGTTTTCCCTAAGCGAGGCTGCCTTCGCGAAACGCGGTGCCCCTTCCTCCGCCCCGGGCTCCGGGAAGAGGGAAGTGGCCAACACAATGAACTCCGACGTGGCCTGTCCTGTCCGCCTCAGCCCCCTCCCCCCTAATATTTTCTTTGCCCTGTAAATTCCTCTGAGTCATACCCACCCCCACCGCAGTCCAAGGTGTCCTAAATATTCCGCAGTGCACGGGGACCTCAGAGATTTTCATTTAAAAAATTAATCCTAAAGGAAACCTTCGCTCTTAATTGTAATTGTCTGCAAACGGGCTGGGCACGCCCGACTGCCTTGTCCACTCTCTGTACCCAGAGAAGACACAGATTATTTTTAATAATTTTTTTAAAAGGAGGCTCCTTTAAATAGACTTAATCCCCAAATAGGACAGTAACTAAATAATTAGAAGACATTGAGTGTTGAGCAGCCATTACTGGTGCCTAGAAGAGGGAGAAAAAAAATCAAAAGCAAATATTGTCCCCCTTTAGCTCAGAGGTTTGGGGCCAGAATGTTGGACTTTGGGGTCTGCTTTTATTTTGGAAGTGAAAGGGAGTTCGTGTACATAAAGAAATAATAAATGAATGTAATTACAAACTGCCCCTTCTTGACTGAGAATTCTTACAAAACCTAGATCGCTGAAATAAATCCAGTACCCTGGTCTGGAAAAGGGCAGGGGGGAGTGGGAAAGTGACGACCTTTCAGATAGCAAGTCTGTGGCTGAGCAATGAAAACAGTTCTTGAGCCTCCGGCCCAGGCTGGGAAGGGGAGCACAGCTCTGTGGGCATGATTCTGAAGGTGTGTGTGTCTGTGTGTTGGGGAGTAGGGAGGGATGGTTTGTTTTCAGTTTCTGGCACTGAGAATGGTCACACTGGCTTCCACTGGTAGACTACAACTTGGAAAAAGGATTCAAGTCTGTATCCCAGTGGTTCTGCAATTTGGGGTTCCGTTCACCTCTCTGAAACATACTGGCTCTTGGAAGGGTCCCCTCCTCCAGCACCCAGCTGCACAAGGGTGCCTTATCTAACATATCCTGTACCTGGTAGAAGCCTCTGGCAAGCAAGCAGTGGAGCTTTACCCTAGCGGGGGCTCCCTTACCGCAGTCGGAGCCTGAGCTAGGACCCACAGGCCTGGAAGAGGCGGCGAGGAGCTCCCTAAGTTGCCAGATTCCACGGAGCCTGGTTTGGCCTTAGCTCGGGTCTCCAGTGAGACTGGCGAAGGCTTCCCTATCCTCGGTGTGGGCACACAATGACGCCGCGGATGCCCCCTAATCTGGTCTCCCAGTCAGCCCTTAGCGACAGGCAGAGAAGGAACACAAGGCCGCCGCCATCCGGTCGTGATCGTAACCGAGGCCTTGTCTGAGCAGCGGCACACACCAGGCCGAAACCCACGGCGCCCCACAACCGCCCCACGCGGACCCTTCCTCTGCAGGATCCTCCGCCTGTCCTTGAGCGGGTAGAGAAAAATGAGACTCCCCCCAGCCTCTCTTTAAGTCAGCCTCTCCTGAAAAGGATGATTTGGAAACAAGAGGAGGGAAGATAGAGACACAGACAGAAAGACGAATGATGAAAGAAAAATAAAGGGAAGAAAAGAAACAAGGAAGGAGCAAAGAAGAATAAAGAAGGGATAAAACAGGAAGGAAGCAGAGGGGGAAAAAGAAGGAACAAAGGAGAGACAGAGGAGACTCCTAGGAGCAGAGGCCATGCTTACAGAGAGCAGGGTAATGACAAGGCCAGGTCCTAGCCCCTGTCTGGTCTGTTCCTTCTACATTGGTTTGGGTCTTCACTGGTAAAGGGACCTTTCCAGGGCTCACAGCCTGGATTTAGGGTGTGTGTGTGTATGTGTGTTCCAGCCTTGCAAGAGAATGGCGGGGTCCCTGGCCAGGTGCAGGCCTAGAGTGGGGGAGGCTCAGGATGGAAGCGTGGGCGCCCCTGACCTTGAATGGCCCAAGGCCCAGAATTCCTACCACGCCCCCGGGCGTTTTAGAAGGCGCCATTAACCTGACTGTACCTGCTCTGGGCCAGGTGGAGGTATGTGGGGGAAGGGGAAAGCCTGCCGGCTGACATAGCGCTAAGGAGGAAGAGTCGAGGCTTCTAGCGCAGGGAAAGCCGACGTTGCCACCGCAGGCCCTGGCACGACCAGGGCCTTGATGCCCCGCCCGGCCCGGCCCCCGCGCGCACAGGTACCTGGAGACGATTTCAACTGAAGTAATGAAGGCAGTGTCGTGCTGTCGAGAGAAAGGTGGATCCCAACAACAGGAAACTACCTAAATCACCGACCAGTTCTGGTGCTGCCCGCGCGGTGCTGCCTCGCCCGCCGCCGCCGCCGCCACCGCCACCGCCGCCGCCGCCGCCAAGGAGAGAACCCTGCGATCGCGCCCGGCCCAGCCCCTCGGCAACCTGCGCCCGCCGCTGCAACTGATACCCCAGGCTGCCGCAAATGCGTCACGGAGGGAGAAGCCACCGGCCCCAGTAAGGTAAGGCTGGGAGGGTGAGGGCGGGAGAAGGAGGGAGGGAGAGAGGAAGAAAGAAGGGGAGTAGGCGAGAAGAGAGCGGAGAAGGAGCAATGTGCGTGCTGATTTCCCAAATCTTGCAGTTCAGCAAGCCGGCGCCAAGCGGCGGCTGCCGCGGAAGACTCGAAAGCGCCAGGGACTGTACCCAGCCTGGCTCCCTGTCTGGCCGCGGCCTCCTGCTGCTCACTCCTCGCTGCTCACTCTCCCCCCTCTCCCTCCCAGCCGCCTGCCGGCCGGGGCGCGCGCTCCCGCGCCCCCTCCCCCTAACGTCGCCCCCCCCCAATCTGGCGAGCAGGAAACGCGTGGCCCTGCGGAGGGCCGCCAGGTGGGGGAGGCCGTGCTGGGGGAGGGGGCAGCCCCCCGCGGCTGGGCTCAGGTCCACCTAACCGCTGCCGCCAGCGCTAGTGATGCCCTGTGGGTCCGGCCTGCTCCCCGGATTTAAGCTGGGGGTCATCTCAGACCCGGCACCCGCAAAATAACCGGCCTCTGCAAGCCTCCCTGGGGTTCCCGAAAGAAATCCTGTTGGGCTTCCTCTGTCTATGCAGCTCTCCTCTCAACTGAAACCACTGGTCCAAGACAGTCACAATCCAGATATACTAGCAAGTCATAAAACTGAACAAAAGCCGACAAACCTTACGGCACCAGGGCTATAGGGCCCAGACAAATTACGACCGTCTAGGTAATATTTAAATAGATGCCTAAAGTAATTGCAGGGGGCTCGGGTTAGTCCTCCTGTTGTAAAAGTGGTGGACAGGATAAAATGGAAGGTAAAGATAAGAAGTCAAAAAAGAGGTAAAATTAAAAAGCTTCATTCCACAGCTTTTATTCTATAAGAACATAAACATCGTCTTTTTTCCACGCACAGCAGCAATACAATATTAATTTATTCTGATTTAAGATTAGAAGTAAATAGAGCTAGAACTAACATTTATAATAACGATAGAATGCATTTGCTTAAAACAAGATTGGCAATTCTTCATAATAATAGACATTTATACAGATCTGTATTTATAGTTTTTTCTTTTTCTGCACCTACAGGTTTGACCCTTTTATGCATGTAACTTCACAGTATAAAGGAAATCCAAACAATGTCTCCCTTCTCTAGTTTATTCCGCTTGCCCCAGCCCTCATAGGCTTCTGTGAATTTCAGAAAGAAAAAAAAATTTAAAGGTCATTAAGAAGAACCATCTCCACAAGATAGGGAGAATTGTGGTGTGCTTGTCGTATGTTACCACTGGTAACGATTTTAATGGCAAAAAAATCCACTAATTCCACGTGTATAAACAAAACTACAATATTTATCTACAGCCAGAAGGGTATGGAAATTCAGGGATAAATGAAACATTTTAGTCAGGCAATGCAAGACCTTACACAAACTAAAAGAGAAGTTCCTTTCTCTTGGTCATTCTTTTTTTTTTGTTTAAAGTTGGGATATCTTACAGAGGAAGGAAAATTTAATCTCACTGACTCTTTCTCGCTTTTTCAATCAGACAAAGTCAAGCCCTTTTGCCAACCTGTATGCCCATGCCCGTAAGCCCTTCTCTTGGCCAAGGAAGAAAGGAGGAGAGAAAAAAAGACACCCAGGGGCCTGTATCCCCTGATTAAACACAGCCCAGCACTCCAGGCTGGCGTGCCCAGTGGCGGCTCCTTGCACCATTGACCTCAGGCCAGACACCTCAGCGCCGACAATGGAACCTCCGCTTTCCGGCTAGGTTTACCCCTGGCTGGGCAGGAAACCAGCTCCGCGGAGAACGGGGCCATTTCAAGCAGTGGGACCCCAAAACAGCAAACCCAGCCCAGTTACGACTTGACACTTCGGACAATATCGATCTCTATAGAATTTTACCATGATATGGCTTTTTCCCCCAGAAAACAACAAATAAACCAGCACCAAGCAAACAAAGAAACAAAAAGTCAGAACAAACCAGCCCTGCACAGATGTAATGGCCCAGGAGATGGCGAGTGCGGGAGGGAGGCATAGGGCTCCGGCACAGGTGCGAGTTCCTGGGCAGAGGCTGAAGACAGAGGGAGGGAACCAGAGCTCTGGAAGCAAAAAAATAAAAATAAAAATAAAAGGCGTCGCCTGGAGATTCATCAGGAAAAATTAAAGTTGGCTGTGAGCTCCCGGATACGGTTTTCTCGGTTCATTTTCTTCAGTTTCATCCTGCGGTTCTGAAACCAGATTTTCACTTGTCTGTCCGTGAGGTGGACGCTGCGGCTGATCTCCAGGCGCCGCTCTCGAGTAAGGTACATGTTGAACAGAAACTCCTTCTCCAGCTCCAGTGTTTGGTGCTTCGTGTAGGGGCAGCGCTTCTTCCGACCGCTCTTTGCTGTGAGCCAGTTGGCTGCGTTTTCGCCTTTGGAATTGCCTGGCATATAAGAGAGCGAAGAAGGGAAGGTTAAGGCCACGCGGGCTGCACGCTAGGGGCGAATTCCCAACGTTTCTTCCATAAGAGAGAGGTCCTAAGTCACAAGAAGAGGGTTATGTCCCCCGTATTAGGCTTATGGAAAACAAGCAGTTCCTCCAAAAGTCATGGCAAAATTGAGTGGGCCTCCAATCCACACCTACCCTCCCAATGTACATTTTCCTACACTTTTTTCCAAACACCTGTTTTAGCACAAAGCTGTAGGTGCTCCTAGAACGAAGGGCCTGCGAGGGCAGGCTGTACATCTTGACCTTAAAGCCTTTCTGTGCTTCTGGCCACTGTATTGCAGGCAAGCATTTCCCGCAGCCCCCAGGCTGGCAACTCGGGGTGCTTACTTGGAAGGCAGGCCGACAGCTTGTCGGTCTCACCCCAGGCCCCTGATTGTCCAAAGCCCAATGAGGGAAGGGAGAAGGGCATAGTTGAGCTAACTGAGAAGGAACGAAAAACCGATGCGGGGGTCAAGGGCTCTCCCGCACGTCTCTCTAGAAGCCAGGGGTTGCAGCTGGGCGATTCCGAGTTCCAGGGCAAGCGAAATGGGCCCTCTCTGGCTCTCAGCTCAGAGACCCGGGGTCTAGGCCGGATTTGTCTTTTCTTCTCCCCGTAGTGAGGATTCCCGCCCCTCCAGCAACTTTGAAAAAAGCATGGGGGATCGTAAACTCGAACTTCGCCGGTTAATGGGCTTATTTATTGGCGCTGGCGGCTGCTTATTTTGGATGCCTTACAAACATCCGCGCTATCTGCGGGCGAGCTACTTTCCCTCCCACCCCCTCCCCCCGCGTGGGCCGCGCCGCTCAGCTGGGCCGGGACCAGGGCTTGGGGTGCTCGGGGCCACAGGAAAGAGCATGCACAGGAGGGGGCCTGCTCGCTGGTGTCCTTGCCCCGAGTCTGGGGGAGCGGAGGCCAGCGCCGAGGACATCTTGGTGTGGGGCGCTAAGCCGGACGTGAATTTTACTGCGTCCCCACGCCCAATATTAAAAAGCAAGTTCACAAGGTCAGCCTGCCTGCAGCTTGGGCCAAGGCGGGCCGGCTGCTGCGCGGGCTCCTGGTTCTCTGCGCCTTCCTTTCCCTGGGTGTGCTGGTCTGTCTGCTCTCCTGCCTGAAGCCCGTAGGCGGGCCCTGCTTACCCAGGGAGTCCTTCTCCGGCGAGGCTTTGCTGCTCTCGGAAGGGGCCGGGGAGAGCTCCTCCGCGGCCGAGGACGACGCGTGAGCCTCCTCGTCGCCTTGCGAGCCCCCGCCGCCGCCGCAAGCCAGCGTGGGGGGCGGAGGCGAATCGAGGGCTCGCTCCTTCCGGGCCGCATCCGCCGGGCCAGAGGCGAGCGCAGGCGGCGGGTCGAAGCTGCGCCCCGGGGGCTGCGCCGGGAACGGGCTGGCGCCGAGCTGCTGCGTGCCGCCGCCGCCGCCGCCGTAGCCCTTGGCCGTGCCGTAGGCCTGCGAGAGGCGGAAGTAGCCGGGCACTGGCACCCCGCTGGAGGCGCCCAGGGCGCAGCCGTCGGGTGGCGGGCCCCGAGGGAAGGGAGCCAATTCGGCAGCGGCGGCCGAGCCTTTGGGGCATTTGTCCGCCGAGTCGTAGAGGCAGTAAGAGCTCTCTTCTTTGATGTTCTGAGCGAAAGAGCACGAGGTGGCCTGCGGCGGGGGCTGGGGTGGTTGTGGCGGGGGCGGCGGCTGTTGCTGGGGCTGAGTCGGAGGCCCCTCAGGCTGCTCCATCCGACACGACCGGGGCGCGTCTAGCCACAGGTCTATGGGCGCGGGCCCATAGCCGTGCGCCCCGGGACCTAGGGCCCCGCTACCGCCACCGCCTCCCGGCGACGCCGCCTCATTGCGCTTGCCGCCCAGCGCGGGGAAGAGCCCACAGCTCTGCAGCCCGTAGGGCAGGTCACCAGCGGGCGGCAGGTAGACCCCGCCGTGGGCGTAGTAACCACCGCCGCCGCCGCCCCCAGCGCCACCGCCACCGCCGCCCGCCTCGCCTCTGCCCGAGCTGATGAGCGAGTCGACCAAAAAAGAGTTCGCGGCAGGGCTCTCCGAGCATGACATTGTTGTGGGATAATTTGGCGAAGGGAGCAGATAGCCCTTTCTGGCTGACATTTCTTGTGCAAAACATGCTGAATACGATTAGCAATCCCCCCGCACCGCGGCGGGCGCCCGCAGCCAATCCTGAGCCAGAGTTTCCGCGCGACCACTCCCAGTTTGGTTTCGTAGGCGCGGGGCCGCTCTCCGAGGGCGCCCTCGGAGCCCGCGATTGATATAAATATGTAATCTGTATTGATGGGCCAGGAGACGCACGCCCGACACCTCCGCCGAAGGCCAGGAGCTGTGGGGGCTGCCCCAACGTGGCTGGTGGGGGGCCTGGCGGCTGGGTTCGCCCCGCCCCACCCGAACGTGAGCCCCATACGAGGGTCTGTTTGAAGCGCCCTTGGGCCCCGTGTAGTTAACAAGTGGGGTGTTTATGGTGCGCACCGGGCCCTCCTTGGGTGCTCACTATCCCTGTTGCAAAAGCGGCCACTGGTCCCCAGCGCTTTCTGACCACTTAAGCGGCCGTGTCGGGGCCTCAGGCTCTTCCCATTCAGCTTTGGACCTGGAGCCGGCTCCATCTCTGAATTCTAGCTCCCAAAAGTGGCGGACCGCCAGGACCCTCAGAGCGTCTGGGACCCAGAGAGAACTGGAAGCTGGCTGTTGCCACTACTTCTGCCATCCCACAGATTTTTCCCCCCAAAATGCAATGGCTATTCCCTGGCCCCTAAATTCCCAACACTTTCCTCCCACAATCGGTGGATCCAGTTAGGATCCTCGCCGGTGTGCTCGCCTGCCTTGCCTTCTCTGTAACTCTTGTCGGTGGACCTTGGTGGGTTGGCATGAGTGAGAGTGGGAAGCGACTGACACCCTTGGCAGAAAGACTCCCCCACTCCCACTCCCAAGGTCAGAGCCAGGTCCAGGCAATCACCCTCAAGGGGCTCCAAGCTCACATGTCATTTAGGGGAGTGAGACATTGGCTCTGGGGTCCTTGGCCTGCCTGAAGGGGCAGACGACCAGGAGGGGGAAACTTGGAGGGGTATGCCCAGCAGACACCTCTGCCATATTATTCTCCTGCTCTGTTAGCCTTGGCATTCATAAGCTCCTGGAAGTTATAGCAAGAACCAGTGTCACTATATTCCTGCCTCTCTGTCCCCTCCCCTCTTCCCCCCTCCCTTCCATACCCACAGCTGGGGCAGTCCTTGCTCCAACAGTGTGCACATTTTAACGAGGCCCTGGGTGAGGAAATCTGTTCCCTGACAGGCCAGGCTGGGCTCATGGTCCTGTTATAAGAGTGTTCAGAGGCCAGGCCCTTTGCTCAGTGGACACTGGGCCTTCCTCAGGGTCGCTCTCTTAACCAGCTGGAAATGGCTGGCCTGGGGCGCTAGCCCCCAAGTATGGGCCTCATACAAGTCTCAGGAAATTTGGCATTTTCTGGCCAGATCCAGTGGAGACTGGGAGGTTTCTGCCTTGCCCCTGGCCTGCAGACTACAGGTCGCCAGGATGCCCGAGGCCTGCCTGCCCTGCCAGCTCCAGTCGGAGCTGGAGTTGCTGAACGCTTGGATCCCAGGAAGTAGGCACTCAGGCCTCTGCCTGTGGCGGGGAAAGCCTTGTGTCCCAGGTGATATGCGGTGCATTTGGCCTCATTCCTCCCAGTATGAACCTAGCTGGAGAAGATGAGCCTGAGAGGATGCTGAGAGCACACGGAGAGCTGGCTAGGTAGAGCCCTGTCTCTGGCTTCTAACATTCAAGGAGCTGCGGGATATGGCTGCTCTAAGCGCGGCGCCCAAGGAGCTGAGACACCGCTACCTCCGCGCTCCAGCCGCTTCCATCTCGGCGCCCTGTGGTGACTGGCGCTTCAGACTAAGCATCAAGGTGCAGAGGAGGAAGATAAAGAGGGAGAGGGATAGAAGGAGAGAAGAGGGGGAGAGAGAAGGGGAAAGAGCATGAGAGAGTCGGTTTTCTCCAGCCTGACCGGGTCTCAAAGCTGCAGCAGGGTGTAACACATTCAAGACAGGGGTATGTGCAGAGAAATTATTAACTCTCTTCTCTCTGAGGTGCTCCGGTGCCCAAGGCCAAGGCAAATTTTCCGCTAGCTGAGGCCAGTGAATCTGAGTGCAGAAAAGCTTCAGAGCACCGCAGCCTATGGCCCTATCTTTAGCTTCCCGGTTCCGCCTGGTCCTTACCCAGCTTACCACACAAGTGGACTGGCCGGGACTCAGCAGTGCCACCTGGAAATGCCGCAAAGCTGGGGACTGCCTAGGAAGGAGGTTTTGCTCTTTAGCACCTTCCATGCCTCTCAGGAAAGCTCTGTCACTTGGGAAGTAGGTCGCAAGAGCGTCAACAATTCCTTGAGGAGAACAAGCTCCAGCAGGTCAGTGGGCTAGTACTTGGGCCTAGAGCCCTGCCTCTCCGAGCTAAATGCGGAAAGCAACTTCCTAGACTTCTCTGGGATGGGCCAGTAGCGATTGGAGAGTATATTTGAGATGGTGCAGGCTACAGAAATAAAGTTAAAGACAATGATCTCTACCTGTGTTTCTTAACCTTAGGGAGTCAGGACCCTTTGGAAAATCTAAGGCAAGTCCTGACGAATCCTATGAAAAATGCAGAACTGTGCATTCCCACAATTTGGTCCATCATTTTCAAGGAGTTCCCAGACCCCTCAAAGGCTTCTCCTGGGGTCCTCTAGAGTCTTCCAGGACTCTCCTGGGACTCAGGGCCCTGCCAATTTGGCTGGTAAGACAAGCCCGGTGCCCTGTTGCAGGCAGCTCAGGCCTGCCTGTCTGGTTAGGGCCCTTTGGGGCAGCCAAATGGGCTTCTAGGCTGGTGAGGATCCAGGAGCATGCAAGGTTACAAAAGTCAGCTTGGTACTGCATCTGCTACAAAAGGCTGAGGAGTGGAGGACCTGAAAGGCCTGCTATGGGCCTTGCAGACCTAGGCATTGGCACTGGGGTCTTCAGTGACCTTCGTGGATAGCCGGATGTGTTTCTGTAGCGTGACTTTTTCCCTCTTGTAATAAACCAAACAGGATGTTGTTGGGTTTGAGCTTTCTTGCTTAAAAAAAAAAAAAAAGTGGATAAGCCCAGATAGGAGCCCCTCTCTGGCCCAGGACGGCCATCCAACTCCCACAGGGCTTGCGGAGAAGGGCTGCAGAGAGAGACTGCGGGTGCGGGTACGCTCTGGCCCCGGGGACTGGCCCGCGGCTGCCTGGTTCAAAGGAGAGGATATCAACGCAGGCAGCAGAAGCTCAACTTAAATGCCTCGCAGTGCCTCAGTTGGTCTTGGAGCCCCAAGCATCCCCAAACAACACGAATGTTCCCATACTCCCTAGACTGTAACACTAAAGTGTTAGCTTCCTCAATAAAATATTCCATTTATTGATTGTCTTGGATTTCCTGAGGTTCCCTGCCTCGGAGAGATTAAGAAAAGCGATTCTGTTGCAGCGTGGGTCAGCTTCTGGCTGCTCTACTCTCGCTCTTGCTCTCTTGCCTTCTTTCCCTTTCACCATGCCTCCCGGCTGCTGAATTTTCTCCTCTCCCTCAGGATGCCTTTGACCTAAAGCCCTCGGTGCCTGCTTGCCTCAACTAGGCCTTGTACCGGGTATGCAGCTGCCGCCAGAGCCTGTGTTTTATGGGAGTAAATAAATGTTGCCCGTTTCTACCTGGGTGATAACTGCTTGTCCCACTAAGCCAAAGTAAAGGCCAGGCCCGTGGAGGAGCCCTTTGTTGAGGATCACGCTGCAGTTCACTAGACAGTGGATTCCTCCTTCTGAGTAGGCCCTTGCAAGTGAGGAGATTTTTTGTTACACAAAAAATCAAGTTCTTAAAAAAAAAAAATCTAAGAGATCCTGAGATTGAGGTAGTCAGTAAACAATTTGCGTCTAGAGGTCACTCTCAATGCTTTCGGGGCTCTGAAGTATCCCGGGGACCGTGGAGTTGGGCTACGGCCCAGAGAGGAAAAATAAATGCTGCTTCCACATATCCGGCTTTAACAAAAATTCAGGGCTTCTCTGATTCATAAATTTTCCCATAGTTAGAGAGTTTTCCCCATAAGCAACGACGTTCTTTTGCCGTTCATCTTTAAGAATGCCAACATCTCCACCGATATTTGATGTGTCTGCTTTGAATTGATCAGGTGCAATCTATCCCTGAACAACACGCTTTTAAAATTTTTCTAAATCCAACCACTGAGCTGGCCCTTCCCCCCATTCAGGGAGTGTTGGGCCTTTTCACACACTGCTTGAATTGCAATATTCTTAGTTTTGTCGGTAATAAACTGCCTCTGGCCTTGAAACTGGAGGTGGCTCTGGGATGATTTGTATGGAGGGCTTGGACTGCAGAGAGCAGCTCACCGAATGGGCGCTCATTCCTTCCTGTGCTTGCCTCATTCTGGCATAGTTTGGGGGCCCATGCTGGACAAAGACTTGCAACTTTGATAAGCAAAATTTATACACACACAGGAAGTGCCTACTTTCTCTGGGACTCCCCCTACTCACCCATGCACGTAATTTGAAAAAGAAAACTATTTCAAAAAACTAATGAAAAAATATTGGATAAAAATTTAAATTTTGGAGAAAGAGGGAATTTGAACCTGGCCTCTAAAATGTTAACTGTGTTATGATCATTTAAAACTTGTTTCATGACAACAATGATGGAGGTGCTTGATTAGAGTTTATCCTGGGTTCCAGCTTTTTCTTTTTTTAAAAAAAAATGTGTAGGTATTTACCCATACATTTGTGCATATTTGCAAAATATCCAAAAGATCTCATTTGCACACCTAAGAGAAATTGCTGCAAAATCCCAGCCCAGTTTATAGCAGCAAGTTCCAAATATGCAATACAGAGACTACTCCTCCGTTGTCCTCAAAAATCAAATAAGGTCTTTTCTGAATTGGCCATTTTCGGAACAAAGGTCTCTCTCCAGGCTGCTGGGCCGGCCGGGACACCTACCTAGTAGGGAACCAGCAACCTCCAGAATGTCTGCCCCTGGAATAAGCCTGCCCCAGCAGCCCACAGACGAGGACCCCCTCATTGTTTAAAGTAGAAACTTTCTGTTTTTCCCAGCCCCATCACCTCCTTTTTTTCCCCTCTCTTTCTTTTTCCTTCCCACCACCCTCCTATTCCAGCAGAGCTTTCGCCTGGTTGCCTCCCATCCCCAGCTCATTCTATTCTGAATATTTCTACAAAATCAAAAAAAATCGCCTCGGGTTAAATGCTGACGCAAGGAGCTGAAATCCCCAACTTTTCCACTTAGGCCTCCCCTTGCTTTCCAACCGTAGAGAGCCAGGGGAGAAGGGGTGGCCAAACGCCTACCGTGTCACCCCACAAACCCAGCCGTGTCCCGGAGTCCTGCTGAGGCATCAGCCACCTCCCCACTCCCGCCCCAGCCACACCGAAATGGCTAAACTCTGGCCTCTTACCTTGACACATTTCCGAAATCTCTGCCAAGGAGGCAGCCGGCTTCTCCGCGCCACGACGCCCGCGAGGCCTAGCGAATGCGCGCTGCTTTAAATTACAACAGCAGCCCACTTCTTGAGGGTGAGCCCCCTTTTTTGATGCGAAGGAGAGCGGGACAAGTGAAATAAAGTGCCGTGCTGCTCTTGGTATCAGAAGCGAACAAAGGCCAAGAATCACGCTGGGGTTCCCGGCTCCCCGGCGGCTTTGACATTGATCGGAAGTGCGCCACCTCGTGGCCGCTGAGCGCCTAGGCCCAGTCCGAGCTCCAGCCCGCAGCCGAGCGAGGGAAGCAGGCTCCGGGCAGAGAGAGAGCCAGAGCAGGAGAGGATGTGCCCAGCCCGCTGCTATTGAGATCTCATTTTTACATCTAAGAAATCGCTGCAAAACCCCAGCCGGGTTTATAGCGGCGCATTCCAAATATGCAAATTGGCCGGCCTCGGACGGGTTTACGACCACATTGTCACAGCCATCGGAGGATGGGCTTTTATAGGGCTCAGAAATCAAACCCGCGCCCGCCCGCCCGCCGCCCGCCCGCGAGCAGTCCTCCTGGCTAGACTCTCTCTAGCAACTTGAGAGACTTTGGTTAATCTTTAACCATCCCAAAGGAAGTCTTTCCCTAAACCCGGGCTTCCCAGCCCGCCCCCTCCCTTCCCCCCAGGAAGGCCCTTGTTCGTCTCTGTGTGTCTGTCTATCAACCTAGACATTCATCTCAGGTCTGTCCCACTCCTCTTTCAGCTCGATTTCCCCAGTCGCGCCAGTTAGACAAACACACAAACAAACAGAGTAGGGTCTGGGGTCTGGGGCCTCTCTCCAAATGCAAGCCTCTCTGCTGCTCTGGCCCTGCTTGGGTGGCTGCAGAGAGGATGGGGTGGGCAACAAAAGGCTCTGTCCTTTCAGCCCTTCCCCTCAAGGTTATGGGTGATGTCCAAATTTAAGGCAGAAGTTCAAAGGCAGCAAACAAAGAGGAAACAGGCATCCTTTTTCCCAAAGGGAAAAGGCGGCCTCAGCTGGGAGCTGTGGAGAAAGCACCCTGAGAGGATCCTGAAAGTCTGTTCTGCCTTGGTACCCAGACCAGTGTCCCTCCTGGTGAAGGGATCCACAGGGTGCCCCAGAGTGGTTTTCCCTGAGGCTTCCCGGTCCTGACGCCAGCAGGGCTAGCTTGGGGTCAGACCCATTGGCCACCTCAAGCCCCACGACCTTCTCCAGGGCTCAGGTCAGTGTGAGGGGTTGAAGTCTAGGTCCTGAGGTGCCCCACCCCTAGATCCCCACTTCCCACAAGGACATGGCCGGCCACCTTGACTTCCTAAGCCTGGTTTATAGTGTAGTTAATTCCTGGCTCAGTCATTGTCTCAACCCTCAGGGACCTGCTTGATAACTTGCCTCTTTACTAGTAAGGGAGTGTTGGGGGGCAGACATTTGGCAGTAAAAGGCTAGCAGGGAGAGAAAGGTCACACCAGGACCTGATATTCGAGTTTCCACTGCCTTTATTTTCCTTGTGCCCTGTTGCCTGTGCACATGCTTTGACATACAGGGTAGGTAAGAACTGAGGACAGACCAACACTGCCATTACATACGGAGCCACCAGACATTTCTTGACACAGGGAGGCAAAGGAGATTCAACGGGAGGGTGCCTAGCTTTCACAGATGAAGTCCCCAGGCCCTGGCAGGCCGAACAAACTGCCTCCAAGCATTTCCCTAACAGTTTCCAAATGTTGCCAGAGATTAAAAAGATCATTTCCAATACCCTTCCCACCCCCTCCAACACTCCAAAGGAAATCAACTAATGGCAAAAAAAAAAAAAGGTAATCAAACAAAGTTGGTTATGGTTCCTTTATTTACAAGTCTTTTGAACACCATCCCTGTATGAAGCATACATTCAAATATTCTTAGCAGTGAGCGAGTTTAACCATGGAACACTGTAAACAGATAGAGCCTTTAAATATTTTCATCATCTTTTTTTCCCCTCTACATTGCATCTTTTAAAATTCGCTTTGGTTCCTTCAGGGAAATATATATATAATATAATATTTATCTTTTAAAATAATTCCACATCACTCTCAGGCTCTTGGAAGGTCGCCGGAAGCTTCCAAGTTCAGTTCTGGAGCAAATGAGGGCAGAGTGTGGCACTGGAACCGGGTGTTTTGGGGAAACTCAAGCCCCTCATAGCCATAGCTGGGGACCCAATGGCCAGGCCCACTGTTCCGATGCCAGACACAGAGCAAATACAAGCTTCATTAAGTGTGGTGGAGATTTTGCCAAAATGCTGCACTCCACAGGCATTTCCTGCAGAGATCTCCGGGGCCAGCGGCCTGGGCGCAGCGTCTTGGGTTTTCGATGTCTTCCACCTTAAGGAACAGTCCACTCTTCAACCAGGCTTTGGGCCTGAGTGGCAGGCTGGGATGAAGGCTGACCCCCCACCATTTGGTAGAAAGAAAAGCCAGGTGGGCTGCAGGAGTCAGCAACTAGAAACTCAGGCCTGGGATGGTGTGGTGGGTGGCTAGGAGGAGTGGAAGGACACTAACGGCCACCTGGAACAGATTTCTTTTCCCAGAAGGATTTGCAGCCCTCTCCCACCTCATAGCCACCTCTTAGTCCAGCCGCCTTTCACATTGGCTTTGGAAAGCAGCCTCATTCTGGGCATCTAGGAATCCTCCCCTTCCTCTTGCCACTGTCTCCAAGCTGAACTGGGCTTGGAGAATGCACAGCTTCTTGACTCGGGGGTCCTGGGGGTAGGCAGGCTCCCCATGGGGGGGGGTTGGCCTCCAGGGGGCCTGGCAGGGGGCCCAGTCCAGAGTGGAGACCACACCCAGCGTGAAGCTCTGCAGGCTCCAAGAGAGAACCACCAGGGGTCCCAAACCTTTCTAGTTGACGCACAACTCTCAGAATCCCATTATTAGGAAACAACCACTGAGATCTTAACCAAGAGAGTTCCAGGCCGCCTCCTGAGGGGCTATCTCTGTGTAGCCTCCCCTCTCTTGCACACCTTTTTTCAAAAGTCACCATGTGGCTTGACCTTGTCAAGGGCAAAATCTGCATATTATCTTGTGTATGAAGCCCCCCACCCAATTCCGACCGGGCTGAAGCCTTAGAGGAGTGGATTAGCTGAATAGTACTGTAAACGGTCTCTGTTAATTTTTTTTTCCTTCATTCTTCTGTTCTGAAACCAGATTTTGACTTGACGGTCGGTGAGGTTGAGCATGCGGGACAGTTGCAGGCGCTTCTCTTTGTTGATATAGACACTGAAGAAGAACTCCCGCTCCAGCTCTCGGATCTGGTACTTGGTATAGGGACAGCGCTTTTTGCGGGTGCGTTGGCCACCTGTGGAGGTACAAAGGAGAGGGTGAGCCAGGCATGGGGGCTGCAATCCACCTCAGAGCCCCCAGTTGGGGCCTGAGAAGGGCTGGCCACAGGGAGGTCCAGCCCAAGGGCTCTCAAAGCCCCCCAGGCCCTTACCCTCAGGCTCCCGCTGCAGTGGGAGGTTCAGCCCCAGATAAAAGCCATCTCCCTAGATAGGCCCCCGGGGAAGCTGCTCTCGCTGCCCCTGGAACAGAAAGGAGGGCTTCTCACAGCAACAGGCGAGTTGGCGCTGCCTAAGCCTCTTTGAAAGCAGCCGAGTGGCGGTTGCCGGCTGCCTCCAGCCTCGCCAGACTAAACAAACAGCCTCCTGCGGACATTTCACCTTCCAGCACCTGGGCTGTCCGTTCCGAGGCAGTAAAAGCGGCCCCAGCCTCAGTCTTTCCCGGTTGCGGCCATGACTCGGCCGTCGTTAACATCTGGGGTGGCTGCTGTGTCTTTGTCAGCCTAAGTCCAGGCCACCAGCTCCTACCTCCCGGCCGGCCTCCTGGCTCCCCGGAGGTGGGGAGGTGGCAGCGGGAATCCCCTAGCCTGGGACTGCGCTGGGCACCACCGCTACACAGCCGCTCTGTTCCCTCGGCAGGGCAGGGGTGCTAGTGTAGGAAGGGTAGAGGGAAGAGGGGCTTCCCAAAGCTGCGGGCAGGCTCTACTTGCTCCCCCTTAAAATTAAAAAACAAAAAAACAACAAAAAAAAACCCACAAGACAAAAAAAAAAAAAAAAACCTCGCTTTTGACAGATTGAATAACAATTGTGAAAAACATGCCCTGGGACAGAAGGCGGCACGTAATTGCCACCACGCCAGAGGAAAATGGCTTCCTTTGGACAAAAAGGCCAACTTTGGGTTAATTTGTTTCTTTTAATATATTGCTAGAGCTAAGCGGGCTACTTTATCTGTTAAACGCTCTCCTAGCGCCATCGTTAAACAGCGACGCCTTTGAATCCCAGCCGGGACTGGAGTCCCGGCGCAACACATGGCTTTTATAAAAATCTCCGGATTACCTCGCTATCAAAGGCTCCCGGAGCCCTTGCAGGGGGAATTTACAGGCGCCCACCTCCAGCTCCGCAGCCCGGAGCTGGCCCCGAGCGGGGTCGAGCTGCCGGGCTTGGGAGCTGAGAAGGGAAAAAAGGGAAAAGGGGAGTTGTTTTTTTTGCAGGCATGCCTTGGCCGGTGGGTATTTCACGGCCAATTTCAGCACTCGCCACGTGATCCCGCCTTTTATAACAAAGTTTTGTTGGGGGAAACCTAAAGGCCCTTCATAAACCTTATATGCTTATAAAACAGCATATAAAAATTTAACAGCGGTGCTGCGCTAGATTTCCAACTCCCCTTTCATAAAGCGCAGGGCTCTGCCTTTATACGTACTGGAGCCGCCGGCCTTGTCCTCAGTGTGGCCGGAAGACGACTCGGGGCTGCTGCTGCTCTCCGGGCGCCGCCGCCGCTCCTTCTCCTCCGCCGCCGCCGCCGCCGCCTCCCGGCAGCCGCCGCCGCCGCCGTCCGAACTTGAAGTTGCCGGCGCGCCCGTGGCCGCCGCCGCCGCCGCGGAGGTCGCCGCCGCCGCCGGGGGCCCCTTCTCGGCGCTCTTGTCCCCGGGGTAGTCGGAGGAGGCGAGGTTTTCCGGGGTGCCGTAAGCCGTCTCGAAAAACTGGTCGAAAGCCTGTGGCAGGACGCCGTTCCTGCCCACCGTGCTATAGAAATTGGACGAGACGGCGGGGGTGGGGTGGTGGTAGACGTTGGCCGAGCTCTTGGCCAGCACGTCGCCAGGCACGCCGGCCGCGCTGGGCGCCTGCAGGCAGTCTCTGTGCACGAGCTCCTCCGCGGAGTAGCAGTGGGCCAGATTGCCGCGGGGGTGCCATTTAGTGGCGGGCTCAATGGCGTACTCTCTGAAGGTCACTTCGCGCACGGGTTGGACCTGGGGCAGGTTGGAGGAGTAGGAGTATGTCATTGGGCGCGAAGACGGGGTCTGGGGCAGAAAAGAAGGGAGGCTGGAGAAATCTGGACCCGAGACGTAGTAAGTACAACTAGGCAAATACATGTTAGAGGAGCAGGGACCACGCTCATCAAAATCCATCATTGGGCTACCTTGGGCTCTCCGCAGTAGCCGAGCTTAACATGATTCTCCACTGCAGCTGCCTCTTTGAAGCGGATCCGTGAAGTAGAAATTTGGAGACGTAAGCTGACGTGGAAATCTATCCCCATCCTTAGCAGGGAGGTGCTGGTCATGTGACCCGATGTTGAAATTGACAAGCTGGGAGCTAGTCCGGGCCTTTTTTTCCCCCTTTCCTTTTTTTTCCCCTCCCCTCCCTCCCCGGCTTCCTTTCTTTGTAGCCACCTCAGGGGAAGCAACAGATCGTCACTCGGTGTTCTCACCGAAAGCACGTAATCGCCGGTGTAACTCATGTTGGCTGGGGGGCCTCCCGGCGCGCCGCGGAGGCTGGGGTGCGCCCCCATGCCGCACGCTTGTGCTCAGTTGCACGGTCCTGGTCTTTAAGTGAGGGCTGCGAGAGCTCAACTCCCCCCCACCCCCACTCCCGGGTGGGTGAGGGGTGTCCCGGGCTGGGGATGGCCAGGTGGGAGCTGGCGCTGTGTGGCCTATGGTCTCGGAGGAGTCGGCTCTCCAAGAGGCTCGCGTCTGCACCCGTTTTTTCTCAGCCCCCCTCCCACAGGCTTGCTCTGGGTCGCACCTCCACCTCCGACCATGGCCGGACCCCCTTCGGGGCCAGGGTTCGCAGCCGTGGATGTGCCGGCCCCATGGCTTGTCCGATTTGCACGGTGACTTGATTACACGCTCGCATTCATGGTCACTTCCGAAGCGCTTTAGTGCCTTCCGTCCCTAAACCGCCAACAGCCAGGGCGGCTTCTCCCCGCGGTTTGTCAATGATCCGCAGGGCCCGGAAGGGCCTTCGTCTTACCCGGGATCCACTCCTCCCTTCATCTTCCCTGCCTGCCTCTTCACCCCACCCCCACCCCCGCCCCCGCCCTTGGATAACCCCCTTCCTCCTCGCTGCCTGCCGGGGTTCGGAGAGACTGGACAGAGACAGAGGCACCGGGGCTGCGCCGCTGCTCACCGGTCCTCCCGCCTGCCTGGTCTTCTGGAGCTGAGGACTCAGGAAACCATGCAACTGAGGCAAGCCTTGGGCTGCTTTAGAGGCGCTGACATCCGAGGAGACTTCCCCTGGGTATGCTGCACCTTTATGGGGGGGCCACCAGGGTGCTTGTAGAACTCCAGGACTGTGGGGAGAATGGGGGAGGCAAAGAGGAATGAGGGCCAAGGAGCGGTGGCTGAGAAAGGGGTATCCCGCCTCCTCTCCTTCCTCGCAATAGGAGAGAGTGAAAGCAAGAGATGTGCAGGGCAGAAACTCAGGAAGCTCGGTGCCTTCCCTACTACTCATTCCACAGAAGGAATACAATGCCAAAGAAGAGAGAGGTGCTTCCCAAACTCCCCGCACCTTGGGACCCAAGGATGCCTTGAAAAGGCTAGGTTTGCGCTAAGGATAGAAAGAGGCCACAGCGGATAGTATGAGCCTAGCTTTCTTGGGAAGAGGAAAGAACGAAATTAAGGCAAAATATGCTCACCATCCTGTAGAATTAAAGGAGCAATGTTTGGAAGGAAGCAACAGAAAGGAGAGAACACAGAGCAGCCAGGGAGGGTCAGGAGCTGAGAGGGGACCCAGACCTGCGGCCTCCCCACAACTGTCTTCTTGGAAGGAGCTGGGGTGTTGCTGAAGGAAAGTTGGAAAATGAAAAAAGATAACCTTTTCTCCCTTTCCCCATCCAGGGAATAGCTGAAGGTATTTACATATCTTGGGGAGATTTAGAGTATAAACTCTAAGATCTTTGGTATTTAAGTGTCAACATCGATTTATTTATTTATTGCTGAGCTGACTGTAACTGACTCAATAGCAAATCTAATCATGTATTGCACTGGAAAAGAAATATTCTCATTATGTATTTTCTCCAAATAATGGCCTACCATTGCATCTGAATACTTGCTGTAAATATCAATAATATCGAGTAATTACTCTGTAGTGGAGTAAACTAATTTATTAGCATTAATGTTTATGTGGCTCCCCACCTCCCCCCCTTTACAAGGATTGCTTATCACAAATCAAGTTACTTGGACACACTGGTTTAATGAACTCTTTATTCAAGATTTGCTGCAAGAACTTTCATGCCCCTTGAATCCCTGAGAGCTGAACTTGAAATTATTTGTGCATCTTCAGCTTTGACATATTTGTCCACTGTGGCTCGTGCAGAGGGCAGCAGAGGTGCAAGTGAGAAGGTCTAGTGGGAAGGAAGGTTGTTGGGGAAGGGTAGCAGGAGACCTCCTAAAGCTAGGAAGCACAATTACAGGATTGCCCTGCAGTGAAAAAACTTGTTTCCAGCAGTGACCAACAAGGCAAAATATTTGTTTCTCCACAGCATCTCTTTCTTGGAGACAGAATATAAAAGGGAGAAGGAGAGGTTTCATACAGCAGTATTTGAGCCATTCCCTGGCTTGATTTTGGTTATCCCAAACTCTCTCCCAGCAGCCCACCCAGTCCTCGCCACCCCTACCCTTGAACAAAAGGAATGCATGAGGGGTTTCAGTGACTTTGCCATAACAAAGGCGCCACCATTGCAGGGCTTGCCCCGCCCCTGGGTGAAGGCAAACAAATTCTTGCACTTGTATTAGGGCTTTTAAGACCATAATTGAACCCGGGGGCGTCTAGGAAAACCGAAAACAGTTCTAGACAGACCTGCGGTTTTATAGCAGTTTTGGCAGTCAACTTCAGCTTGTGGCTGAGCAGACTGGGCCGTGGTGGCCCGCCAGCGGGGGACGCCAGGCCGCCTCCCCCGGCTGCACGCAGCCCCTCTCTTAATTAGATCGGTTTTCCCCTGGTGCCAGGGAGAACGGGTCCCCGCGGAAAGGTCGGTATGAGTGCGTGCGCTGTTCTGCATAACCATTGCCTTCCATGTCCTCCTCCAGGGTCAAATCGAGAGGGTGCCGGCAGGTCTGGATCCCTTGGGTGTCTGCAGGAGACAAAGGCGAATTCCAGAGGAAAGGATGGAGCGGAGAAAGGCGCTCCGGGAACGGCTGGCAGGGCGACTCCGCAGGCTGCAGGGAAGCGGGGTGCCTGGAGGGACTTGCAGCCTGGAAAGGGGCGTGTGGGGGCGCTGCCGCGAAGATGGAAGAGGAAAAAGGCTTTTGATATCAGTAGAAGGGAAAAAGCTTGGAGCGGCCGAATGCTTTTAGATCCCCAGCAGGAACAGCCCGGGGGTGCTCAGATGCCCAAGGCTGCGCGATGTTCCCAGCTTTGCCCGCTCCTGCCTCTCTTGCGCGGCATATACTGGCGGTGCAAATGTTTCCCCAGGCACGCAGCCTGGGTAAGGGGTGGGCTCAGCTCTGAGGATCAGACCAAATCTTGGGGAAGAAGGTGAGGCAGAGCTTCGGGTCCTTGGTTTGACTTTGCTCTGAGCCTATAATCGACTCTTCCGCTTTGCAGGAGGTCCAACAGCCAAGCTGAGCCCACCGCGCTCTGGGAAAGACGCGGCCGGGGTTAAGGCCGCCCCGGAAGGCCAAGTCCGAGTTCCATTTCGTGAAGAGGCCGCAGCAGGCAAGGCTGTGACATTGGCCCTGGCGACTGGTTTCTCAGGAGCTGTTCTTTCTCAGGAGCTCCACAGCGCGGGGGCCATCTCCAGAAAACTGTCTTCAGCGTGCATTTCCTTTTACCGTCAACCCGGAGCCCCACGGCGGCTAATACAAGAGGCCAAAAATGTTTGGAGGAAGAAAAACAAAGGCAGGAAGTGGCGGCGGCCTGACGGTGCGTGTGTGTCTGTGGAGAAGGGAGAGAAGGGAGGGAACCGGTTCAATCTCTTCTTGTTTTTCCTAACTTCAAGGTCCAGGCAGCCTCCGCAGGGCCGGCCGGCCGCTCCCCGCGCAGCGTTTGGAGGTGGCCACCCGGAGAGGAGGAGGCCGGCGCCCGCGCCAGCCCTGTCAGGCGGAAACGGCTAACAAGGAGATTTGGTTAGCAAAACAGACCGAGCCTTTCCAAGGCTTCGTGTGACTTGGCCCTAAAGGTTGGGGGGAGGGTGGTGCAGCACCTCCTGGACCCTCCTCAGCCGGTGGAGTACGCCCAGGCGGGGCCGATGATCCGTGAGTCTTGCGCTCCACCCGCCTTACCAGGCGGAATATCGGAATAAAGTGTGTCCAGGCGCCTTTGCCGCGAGCGTCCGCTTCTTCTTGCAGCCGGAGGAGGGGGCCCGGCAGCAGTGGGAGGGCGCCGGCGGGCAGTGCCCAGGCAGGGTGGCCTCAGCGCGGTCGGTCAGTGCACCCCGGGCGATGTGAGGCCTGGTCACTATGGTCGTTGTACCCGGGGAGTTTCCAGCAGTCATTCAAGGGACATGAGCTGCAATCATAGTCACTTGATAGGCAGCTTAACACCCTCTCACTCCAAGGGAGCATAGAGGCGGGTGGTAGCTGAGCATCTCCAGACTCCAGGGGTCCCAGCCCCAACTGGAGAGGCTGCTAGGCTTCCCTCTTTTCTACTTAGGCGTGGGGGGCAGCAGCTCCTTTTCTCTCAAATCTGGGAATTTGAAGTCCCCAGTGTTTGCACTTGCAGTCCTTTGAATGCTCAGCGTGTGGTCCATAGTGTGAATGCCAATGCCAAGCTGCCCCCACCTGCCACAGTCCCTTTCCAAGCCAGTCCTGTTCCTCTGCAGCCTCCTGCTCCCCTGTCTCCTGCCCTGCCTCTTTCCAGCTAGTGCCACCTTCTGTGGCCTCCTGTCACATCTGATGCCTCCTTAGGCTGAGCAAGAACTGAGGTGCCACTGGAGGGCACCCAGTACTCAGGCACAGGATGTTAGGTTTCTGACTCTTCCCCCAATCCGGGCCTCCACCAGAGCCTGAATTGGGTCTTCTATTTCCTTTGGAATACTCATCTAAAGGCTCCACCATGTCCGGCTTCTCTCCCACCCTCTCTCCCTCCCTTTCCAACACTTACTCCTCTTCTGGGGACCCAGCTCCTGCTTTTCTAGGCTGGGAAATCCTGGTGGTAGCTGGTCTGGGAGGAGTTGGGCCCACCTGACAGACTGAATCTCATTCCTAGACATCAATAATTTCTCAGTGCATTGCTTAGGGCACCATCAACATTTTGCCTCTTCTTGCTTGGCTGAAACCTTATTTTCCTCTGTCCACCACTGTCATATTGTTTCTAGAATGCTTATGCACAAGACTATTTCAACCCTGGTGACCATATTGCACACAGGTACAAGAGTTGGCTGGGAGGCCCTGGGTGAAAACAGCCATATAGTCCTTCCTGGTGTTGGAGGCCAGGCCTGCATTTGGGGACTCACTCCTTCTAAATAAGGTTTTCTGGGGGGTACATCCCTCCTCCATGGAGAGCTGGAGGGTGGGTTGTCTTAGGCAGCCCAGGAGATATCCCAGTATTTGTTCTCAGGGAATGGTTTATCGGCAGATCATGGCCAATCCATCACATTTGCAGGTGCTACCGAGAGGCAGCACTGAGTCTTCCATAAAATATCAAGAGGTTACCTATATCACTACCAGGTGGAGGCAAGAGTGAATTTGTCCCTTTGTCAAGGCAGCCTCCCCTCTCCCAAGCTCCCCTACACTGTCATAGTGCACAGGAACAGCTAATTCCTTGAACTTGATGTCGTGGTTACTACTTGGTCTGACTAGCAGGTTCAATCATCCTATAATGCCCCTAAACATTTGAAGAAGTCCATGTCTTTTCCTCAGGGATGGGGGGAACATAGAACTCATCTGAGGGTCTCAAGTGTCCATTCCAAACATGGGAGAAGAGATGTTTCCTTGCTTTGAGGAGAACTATTTTTACTTTTATTGATGAGGACTCACTGCAGATTTTATTTTTTCCTACAGAATGGGAACAAATGGCTTGGGGGATCTTTGAAAGGTGAAGCACTGGTTCTCAGCCTCCACTTTCCATTCCCCTGAAAGCTTTGGCCCAAATGGGTTTCCCCAGCACAGTGTGCCTGAAATAAAGAGGACAAAAGAGGGTGGCTCAACCAGAAGATTGGCTCTTGTCTTTGGGTCTCAGTCCCCACAGCTGTGGCTCAGAGGAGTCCCGCTCTCATACCCCAAACTCCAACTCCTTCATAGTGCAGGCAGCTTCCATTTCCACTCAGGACCAGTGGTGGGTCACATTCCAGACTTGAGAAAAGCCCCCACCCCATCCAGCCCTGCCCTAGGAGCCTCTCCTTCTTGCCCTGCCAGGCAGTTCTGCAATGGCAGCCATTCACAGACAATCCATCCCGATATCTCTCCCCATAGTCCAGCCCACCCATGCAGCCCTAGGCGTAAAACCTAGATTTTCTGTCTTCCATTAAAATAAGTCATTTGCAGGTCCTGTTGGTTCACTTGGAGAGAGAGGCTCAGTGGCAGATTGGGCGTAAGCTGTCTGTTTGCCGCTGGGCCTGATGCTCTGACCTATTTGCCAAGGCAGGCTGTGGACAGAGGATAAGGGAGCACAGTGAGGATTCTTGGGGCCCCGGGGGGTTTGTACCTTGGCAGAGTGCACCTCACTTCTCAGTGCCTAATTTTAGGCAAGAGAAGAGCATCAAAGGCCTGCCATGCACCGAAGGAGGGCTTGGACTCAGGTACCACAGGAGAGGCTTCCCAGTAGCGTCTTGGCTCCTCTATCCTATTCCCAGCCAGGCCAACCCTGCCCGGCCTCTTGTTCCTACCAGGACCGAGAACTCCGATCCAGCCACGTCCTCTCCCCTGGGCTTGCAGACGCTCCCTCTCGCCCCGGCTAGGCCTCCGCGGGTTCCGAAGTCTCCTGGGCTGGGGCGGACCCCGCTCTTCTGGGAACCAGACATAGCCTGGGTCACCCCTGGCTTCAGGGATTCCTTTCCAACAAGGCTGGGGGTGGGAGAGTTGGAAAACAAGAAAGAACCCCTGCCTCCAGTGCAGGAGCCCGGGCTACCAGAACCGGATTGCGGCAGGAGTGACGACCCAGCCAACTGTGCCTCCTGCGCCTTCCTGCGCCCCGGCTGTGCCGCGACCGGCCCTGACCGTGGAGACTGCGGTGGCGCCGAGGACTTGACCTTTACTGCGCAAGAGGAGGGCGCTCTTTGAGCCGCAGGGAGGGGGACGCTGCTCCCTCCAGGCTCTTCCACCCAATAGCAGCCGGGACAACCCACGCATGCTGCGCCGCTCGCCCCCATTCCCCCCTCCATTTTGTGCACTGTCCGCAGGCCCGCGGCGGGAAACAAAGCCCCCAGCACTGCAATCACCACCTTTTTTGCGAGCTCCTGTCCCCATTCCCCACAGGCCAGAAGGCTCGAGCTAAAGCCAAGCGGCCTAAGGCCCTCCAAAGCCTTCTCTCGCCTGACCCCAGCTGCCCTCAGCCAGCGGCCGGGTACTACTCTGGGTACTTCTCTTGGCACCTGCCGGTGCCAAGTTCCGTGCGCGGGGTCCTGGCCTCGGGCTGCGGGCGGCGCTGGGCCCATGGCCGGCCGGGCGGAGCCGAGCGCCGCACAGGCCCGGGGCGCAGCGAGGGCCAAGGCTGCCTCCCCGCCCGGGCGGAGAACGCGGCTGCCCGGAGAGCCCGGATTCGGCTTCTCGGATCCGCAATAGGGCCCTGTGCGCCCAGCTCGCTCTCCGCTCCCTCGGATCTCGATCTCATCCCAGCCCGCAGCTTCGAGCTCAGAAAGCGGAAGTATTTGGTAGAGAAAAACACGATTTCTTTTCAGCCCGTCTCCAAACCCCTTTTAGAGAAAATGCTCCTGTCAAGTTTTATTTCCCGTTGCAAACCACCTTCCACGCTGCCAAGAATTAAGGCCGGGAGAGATTAAATACCCGATTATTCTCCTGGGGAGGGAGGGGCGGGGCGGAGAAGGGGGCACCCGCACAAAACATTTGTTTGCATGGGCTCCACCTAGTCGAATAGCGCCTGGAGAGCCCCCAAGGCCCGCTCGGCCCGCGGTGACGTCAGCCTGCTGCGGGGAGACTCGCCCGCAAGGTCCCGGCCTGGTCCTCGGGGTTCCGCTGCCTTAACCTCTGCCCACCGTCCCGCCACAAGCCCCGCACCGGCCCGCGGACCGTCGGAGCGGGGCCGGCTCTGCAAGGGGTTGGGCCTCCATTTTGAGTAGGGGGGTTCCTGCAGAAGCGTGGAGGGTTTGGGGCCGCGCCTCTGTCCCCAAGGGCCGCGACATCCGCCGGCTCTCTGAGTCCACAGCCGCGCGTCTCCCACGCATCCGCGCCCCCGCACCGGGAGGAGGCCGCGCGCCGCCGCAGAAGCGCCCGAGAAGGTCTGAGAATCTCTCGAGGCGCCGTCGTGATTATTTCTGCCGGGTAGATCCAGCTCTTCCGCGGCGCCAAAGCCGGGCAGAAAATGAAATCAACTGTGGCGAGGCCTTGGCTGCTTCCACGAAGGAAAATTTCTGCGCCACTGTCTTTTTTTGCTTCCCTTTAAAATAAAATTAAAAAATAACAAGCACCTCCCAGGCATTCATCGGAGGTAGATAGATGCGCAGGATGGGATGAGTATTTTCAGAAAGAAGGAAGCCGGTTGTTATTTACCCGGCGGCCGGGCCGAGCAGATGAAAACTTAATTAGCATTAGCGTGTCTGTCCTAAAATCCAGACATAAATTTCCCCAGGCCTTTTGGATAATACTACATCTTTGCTTATGAAAAATGGGATGCTCGAGCAACTCGCTGCACATTGCTATGATTCTCCAGGTCTTGGTCTGCTGACACCCATTCAATCAAGTTTAAAGGAATGCGCATAAATCAGCAAGCCCCTAGCGTCATCTCGGGAGAGGTCCGCAAATCCAGAAGGGCGCCTCTGAACCCACCCGGTCTGGGGATTAGCAGTCCCAGGCTACCTCGGTCTCCGCCCCAGAAGGGAAACACGGCCGGGCATCTTCACTAAACCTTCTAAATACAAGCAGCCAAGTGCAATCTTCACATTTATATGTTATACACCGAAATCCGTGCCTTTAACTACCCGCACACAAATACCCTCAGCTGAATTCGCTGCCTTGTGGTGAATTTTTAAGAAAAACGTTTCAATTAGGCTGGATTTTTCAAGTGAATATTTTCCCCCTTTTCTTTAAAAATTTTTCCTTTCCTTTGCTATAAAAAACAAAAATAAAAATGAAAGAATTTAAATGGGTGGTGTCAGCTCTGTGTCAGGCATAAATAGTAGAGAAATGTACAGTGACATTTTACAATCATCCACTTAAAATAGCTTAATAAATTTGACAGTACCAACAGCAGATGGGAGAAGTAGGTTTTTTTTTTTTTTTTTTTGAAGTCTCATATTTACAATTTTTTATTCAGCAACTTTCCTTTGTGGAAAAAGAAATAACTTGAACCCAATTTTCAACAACACTATCAATGGATATAATGTCCGATTGAAAATAATCCTATTTTTCAAGAGGTGGCTGGGGGCTTGGATATCTCTTTTCTAAAGGTTTTAGACTGATTGCTATCTGGGCATTAGGGAGCCATCATAATCCATGCCCACCTCAAGTTATCTGGTAGATTCATGGACATTTTAAATTAAAGTTTAGCCAAGACTGACACTATCAACAACTATTTTAGAACTGGAGGGAAAAAAGAAAAAAAACAACAACCCTGAAATATCTTGTCATTATAGTTTCAAAAACTGGAGAGAGAGAAAAAAGAAAGTTACTACTTTACCCAGGGTTCCTGCAGTGGTGATGGCTTTCGAAAGGGGTGGTATTCCCGCAGAGCTGCTGTTGGCCTCCTTCCTAGGCCTGAGGCTCAGAATATTTCTTACATCTAAAGAAAAATATCCCCCGTCAACAGAAGAGTCCCCTTTGGAGCTGTTCTTAAACACACAGTTTGATCCAGCTTTGAGGGGATTTTCCACCACTTTAAACATTTTGGGAGAAAGTTGTTACTTTGGTTTGGTGGCCGCTTATTTAGAAATGGAGTGCCCGTAGAACAAGATGTGGGGAGGTGGGTCTGAAGCAGCGTTTTCATTTGTTTCCACAAGTGGATCGAAAATCCTCAGCAAAATGTGATTGTACTTCACAAGACCATTTGCCATGTGTGTTTCAAGACCAGCCTGTTTCTGAGACAGCTTTAGAGATTCTTTCCATAATTCTCCATCTATAAAGAAGCTCTAAGTCTTCAGGTGAGGTTCCGTCGGCCAGATTTGTAACCAACCAATATTATTTTCCATAAAATGATGGAGCTGGTTCTTCCATTCACTATTACTTTCCTCTAACATAAAGTTCACCTACACCTCAAAATTCTGCATCCCAAGGCTTCTGGTTCTGCCAACATTTTAATACATCTGTGTATAGCATGGTTTTGACAAAAACATTACTATGTGTATATTAAATATATAAACATATGTACTCTTTATGAGTCTGTATACAGCACCTGATATGTTATTAGGGGTCAACAGTAGATATAATATTATTATAGTTTTTATGGTGGCTGTTAATATTAAACATTTATTTCTCCCACAAATGAAACGGCAGATTCACAAGCATCGATATAAGATTGCACACCACCCTGGAGCAGCCCTCAGCTCTGAGCTATCCGGAATGACTCTCCTTCTGCATCCATATTATGGTCATTTTGTAGATAGGAGATATTTAAGTTCTCCTTACTGACCTCTAAAGAGGTGGGTTTCTTTGAATTTCTGAAATGTAACTCTAGAACTCTAGAGTTAGCAAGGTTCTGAAACTTTTTATTTGCTGTAAAGACTCCCCGATAGCTCTGATTAAGGTGGTAGACCACCTTGGAGGGCGAAGGCTAGGAAATAATGGTTATTTAAGAACACCTCTTAGACTGTAGACTGTAACAAAAATGTACAGCTTTAAAGCAGATCTGATGCAGAAGATCTGTAGAAATCTGATGCAGAGTAAGCCACTGTGAACACAGATCAAACTTGGCTACTAAAGGAAAGGAGCAAAGCTTCATCATGTAAAGTACATTTTGTACCTCAACTCTAAAAATCACCTTAAATTACAATATCTTGTGTCATCAGCCATTAATGGTATATCTGTACAGATTCTACAAATATATATACAAGCACACACAAGCACTAACATGCAAATGTATACATGTATACAAATATGATATATATTCACATATATACAGGCACATGTATAATTTACATATATTCAAATTTGCTCTATCTGGAGCCAAAGAAATTAGTATTAAATCTGTAAAATAAGTCAAGGAGGAAAGAGCTCTTGATTCTCTTGAAGTGGAAGAATTACAAGGAGGCTTGTCAACGCGAGGTGGCGCCCTTGATCTACTAATCCAGCCCAGGCCAATTCATGAGCTGTCAAAAGTCAAGGTCACAAATTGTCTTTTTTCGTCAAGGTCAAGGTTTAAGGCCTTTCGTAGTCCTGTCATTTCAACAAATATCAAAACCTGCCCTCTCAGACACATGCAGACCCAACAGCAGATTTTAAAATACGGCAGCCTAGGCATTGCTGATACAAAACAACTGGTTTTCATTTTCCACAGGGAGCCTGGGAATTTATACTATCTCTTCCTCCTTTCTTTTTTCTCCCTTTCAGAATGTCTGACACTTTAATCTCCTTGAAGCCCTTATCATTTAAAGGATTTCAGTTATGAGGGATTTCTCCCTTAATTAAAATTTTTGTACCAAAAAAAAAAAAAAAAAGCTGTAATAGAAAAGAATGGTCCTTGGTTTATATAAGACAAACCTGCTCCTTTTCTTTCTGTGCAGTGCATGTTTAGCATAGGAAAGTAATGAGTATTTCTTTCAGATTTTAATGGCTGTGACTATTTTATTAACAGAATTAATACCAATATCACTATCTACAGGTTTAAATTTTTTTCATTTTTAGTAGAAATATTTTAAAAGTAGGTGCACAAATACATTTTCACAGTGTGCCGAATGTCTTTATTTACAAGATATCATTTTATAGTGAATAGGAACAAAACGAATGTGCTGGTTGAAATAACTGCTTGATTAAAAATGTGCTGAGAAGTGAATCCCTAATCTTTCTAATGCAGTCTGATAACACAATAAACAAGGAAAAATACTAATCCCTTAATAGATCAAAATAAAGAATGTCCGATATCTAAATGTTTCGAGGGAATAGATGTTCATGGAGTTTTATAAAAAATAAAGGAAAATGATATCTCCAATAAAATTGGTTAGCAAATATTGGGGAATGCCAATTTAAATGAAAAAAATAATAATTGTGTTTAAACCAAAGTCCACATTGAGGTGGGACTCCCTGGGTTAGATCTGACATAAAGTGAACCCTGTGGATCATGTGATGATTTAAACATTTGTAAAAAGATACCAAATCCTTTGGAAAATAACTGATATGGGGCATTAAATAGAGTCAAAATGCCACAAAATATGCTTGTTATAAGCAATTAAAAATTATTCTCAGAAGAACATTAACAACCCCAGTTCCCTTGTAGCCTCATAGGTTCAGATGTTTGTTTTTACTACCAAGACAAATGATCCTCGGAAGAGCTTTCTCTCCCTTTCTTCCTTCATAGCAAATAGTCCAAAATCATTATTTCAGTACCTTCTCATTTCCCCTCTAAATCTATACATAAAACATTTTGCAGGACATACAACAATGGTAGGAATTTCACTAAGATTTACCTGAGCAGGCACTTAACATGCAAAGGGAATGGCAACCTAAGGACAAGCAGATGTTTACAACCACCTCTTGCTTTTGTAACCAACTTTTAGGTTATTACCACCTAACACAGTGTCCTAAAATATAACAGTCACATAAATACTTACAAGATTTCAGTAACTGCGTAACTTATCTGAAATTGCGTATTTAGGGGTTGACGTTTGACTAGAGTTTGTCACTTAAGGGCTGGTGGGGTTGGTGGGAGAGTTGGCAGTCTTTACGGTTTCATAGAGTTTTAAAACAGTTGTAGATTCCACTAAAGAGAAAGAGATCTCCCCAAGGAGAGCAAAATGTCAGTATCTCTCTTTATCTTTCCCATTCTTCAATTATTATTAAACATTATTATCATAATCTGAGCAAAGCAACGAGTTCTGAAGCATTTCTTCAAGTTGCCTTCTTGCTCCATTTTTTAATCCATTAACTAGTGGTCTTCAGTTTGTTGATGACTTTTTTCTCTTTAACCCTCCTGTTTTGGAACCAGATTGTGACCTGCCGCTCGGAGAGGTTCGTGGTGGCTGATATCCTCCTCCGTTTGTCCTTGGTAATGAATTTGTTCGTGGCGTATTCCCGTTCCAGTTCTTTTAATTGCACCTTGGTGTAAGGCACACGCTTCTTTCTCCCCCTCCTATAGGAGCTGGCATCCGAGGGATGGGAGACCACGTCTGGAAGATAAGGGAGAAAGCAAGTTACTCAGGGATCAAACCCCAGCCAGTACATAGGCGACTGTCCCTCAGTCTGAGCCACACGCCTTGCAGGGCCCGGCTGCTCTTTGCCACGCACTGTACAATCCGGCCTTCTGCCAAAGCCTGGAGGGTCAGTGGGGTAGGTGGTTAGTTATGCACTGAAATGAAATCGCCCAGGGCTCCAGTGACTACTCTAACCGGGCCATCCAGCACGAACAGCGCGCTGGCTTCATGCAATAGCCTGGCCCAGGGGCCCACACCTTAGCGCCTGGCTGAAGGTACACCACTTCCATATCTGGCTCCTTTACGTGTGTCTCAGCCCCAACCCTCGATGCCTCTACACTGAAGCCATTTTTGAGAGAATGAACAAGGAGGGCCAATTTGGAGAGCCGTTTTCAGATCAATTTCTCATCTTCAAGTCGGTGTCAAGGGCTAGGGAGGGCAGGGCGCAGAGGGAGAAGGAAACTATCCGGGGGTCCCCACAAGCTCCCTCCCAGCCACCCCTCACCCAGGGAGGGCCAGGGGCCAGCTCAACTCAGGCTAGCGGAGATTGGGCTCCCCGCGGTGCAGCGCCGCTAAGGAAGACCAGGAAGAAAGCAGAGGGGCACCCGGGAGATCCCGGGTGCGAGCGGAGGAGAAGCTGGAGCAGAGCCGAAGACCAGGGCTGGGAAGAAGGCGCCATTTACCGGGCAGAGTGGACTTCCAGAGGTGGGGAGGCTGCGCCTGCTCTTTGGGGCAGTACATTTGGCCGTTCCAGCCATTGGGCAGCGCCCAGGGCTGGTAGCTTTCCATGGGAAGACCCAGGGGCTCGTGGCGCGACTCGCCGGGGCCCCCGAGGCCCGGCACCACCGGCATATCCAGGTAGCCAGGCACGGGCTGATGGTGGTGGTAAGGCCCGGTTGCGTAGCCCTGGTAGAAGGCGAACTCCTTAGCGCGGGAGCTGAACTCCTCGGCCGCGGGGCCGGCGGTATCCATGTACTTGTCCGCGAAGGCGGCGGCGGCGGCCGAGGCGGGCTGCGCGCACGACTTGATGGCGTTGGGGTGCGGGCCCATGCGGGCGCACGGGTAGTAGCCGCTGCCAAAATAGCCATAGGGCAGCGCTGCGGGCCCCGACGAGCTCTGCGCCGCTGCCGAGCACGGGCTGCATTGCTTGGCGGCCTCAGCGCCCGCCGGGCCAGCCGGGCCCGGCCCTCCCGAGGACGACGCGGCAGCGGCGGCGGCGGCGGCTGCGCGGCGCGGCACGCGGCGCCCGACGGGGGCGCCTCCGGCCGCGCTGCTGTAGGCGGCCGCCGGCGCCGGGCGCCAGGGCGCCGGGTGCGCCATCAGGTTGCGGCACTGGTTGGCCGGGCCGCCGCCGCCGCAGCGGCGCCGCCGCCACGGAAAAGTTGCCCCCGCCGCGCGGCGCCGGGTGGGGAACGCCCCGGCCCCGGCCGCTGCCGCCGCTGCCGCCGCCGCCGCCGCCGCCGCCGCCCCTTCCATGTTCTTGTTGAGCTCGTCGGCCACCAGGCCGCCGCCGTTGTCGTAGAGAAACATGACGGTGGGCTCGATCCAGCGGGGGTGGAGGAGCACGGAGGCTGTCATAGCCCGAGCCGCATGGAGAAGACCCCAGTGGCGCTGTTTTAAAAAGCCCCCAAGAAGTGAAGAGCGCGCGGCGCGGGGCCGGGGCCCGAGCGAGGGGGGCGGATCGCGCCCCGCGGGGTCGCGCCAGGCGGCCGCCCATTGGCCCGCCCCCCCCGCTCCGCCCACGGCGTATGCAAAGCGGGCGGTTCCAACCGGGGCTCTGCGCTGTGCACCCGCGGTCCCCGCCGCGGCCCGCGCCGTCCCCACCGCTAGCGCCAGCCGCGCGGCCGCGCACTATTCACCCAGGGGAGAGGCGGGGGCCGCGGGAGGGTGGGGGCGGAGGATCGTGCGGGTGGGGCACGGAGGGAAGGCGCCCCCCCCCGCTCAGCCCCCTCTTCCTTTACCTTATCCCAGCGGAGCCCAGATCAGCGCATCGAGGCGGGGAGGGGAGGTGGGTGCGCGGTGGGGTTGCGACCTGAGGCGGCGGGGACAGGTCAGGGAAATCTGCTGGCGGCCAGAGATGGTAGAGTGGCGAGGACGGGACCAGCCTGGCTCAGGATGAGCGTTTTGGGGGGCCGCTGGGGCTGTCTTCTTTCCAGGAACCCACGCGTCTTTCTGCAGCCAGACCCTAGGACGGACATTGGCGCTTTCGGATTCAACAGCATCGCGCTCGATTTGGCTCTCCTTCCAGGGGAACAGTGGCAGGGCGTTTGCTGCTTGTGGGTTTCTGCGGATACGCCTGGCTCATGGGTCCCAGGACATTCCAATGGAAAGCTTGGACTGGATTTACGAGTCTCCTTCCCTTCCCTGCCCAACAGTGTTAGTGGGCAATTTCATATACTTGTGTTTAGGCCCATAGACTCAAAACAACTTATCACATCCCATAATCACACACACACTGAGTGTACACTGGTGCGCTCACTCACAATCACAAACTTATGTATACAAGCCTGTTCCTCGCTCTGACCCCGTAACAACTCTTCCTCCTCCAGAGACTTTGAGATGGAGACAGCGATCTTTGCGCACCATTCACTCATGCTCCCACATCGACAGTCTGGCTGGCTCATCCTGGAAGGAGCTTGCAAGGAACAGGCTCCAGCTGAGCTGCTGGCTAGGACTGGAGCCCCTCTTCTGGGGCCTAGTACCCTCGGCTTCATAGAGCATGGACGGGATCTGACTCAACGCACCTGGGAACCCACTATTTTACTCCGTTTCGGGACAAGAGAAAGGGACTCTTTGGGGCTACTTCCTGACTTCCCCCCAAGTAGGACTTCCAGCTTGCAGAGGTTGGCCAGTCTTTGCCCAAGAACCAGCCAAGAAGCCTCTCCTCTGTGCCTAGGAAATGCGACCCTTTTTGGGAACATGGTGGTGCGTTGGTGCTGGAAGAGCCAAGCAGTGACCCCCTCTTGCAGTGGCCATGTTTTGGTGAGGGATTCTGGGGGTCTTCTTGCTTTGGGGCGACATACTCCCACTTCTGATTTTGCTATTGTGAGCTGGTCCGCTGCCTAGAAGGGGAACAAGCATTCAAAGTGAAAGTGGGTGCATTACGGAAACATCAGAGCTGGGAAGTGCTGGATTCCCTTCCACCCCAGGCGGACTGGTGAGCAGCCAGGCTTCGACCTGCCCTCTGGTCCCAGCTTACAGGCTCAGTAAGCTCAAGGCACTGAGCATATCACCCCTCCCTCCCATATACCCTCTAAGGCCCTTGGGCTTCCGGCAGGGTCCAGACCAATGTGGCTGGGCTCAGGCTTTTATCTGCTGTGATCCCAGGTTTGCCCTGACCAATGTAAGTGTCGCCCAATAAAACCTTCTATGACCTCCCAGCCCCCCAACCCACCCAGTGTGCCCTTGCCTTCTTGACTTTTTAGAGCTTTATTTCAGGTAAATATTGATTTGCCCCCAGTTTACCTTCTCTCTGGCCATTTTGCAGACTAAGGAACTGGGCTCTGTAAGGACTTGATTTTTGTGTTACTTTCCAGCCCTTTTGCCCCTCCTTCCTCCCCCCAAGTGGCATTGTAAAACTCACAGTGACAAAGAGACAGCATAGGGTTCGAGGCCCCAGTTCCTGGGGACTTGAAGGCAGTTTTACATACGGGTCAGACATGGCTGGAGGCCAAGGTCAAGTTGAAAGTTGCAGTCTAGCCAGTGTGAGAACTGCCATGCAAGCCTGGAGACCTAGGTGGCTGCAAAGGCCCACCGCAACCTCCCCGCACTCTTAATTCCCTTTTCCTTTGGAATTCTCATTTCTGGGGCTGTTTGGCTACCCAGCATTTTTTGTTGCCTTTGTGGAGTTTGGGGGACGATGTTTACCGACTCTTCTTCTCTGCCTCGGCCCTGCTTTTGGCTGGGGCTTTGAGCCTCTTCTGTTTTCCAGCCAGACCCGGAAAAAACGAAAACACAGTTTGGGGAGCCCCCACTAGCCGGCGCCTGTGCCAGCTCCTCTCTAGCCATGGCGCAGCTGCGGGTGCACACAGCGGCCAAGGCCAGCGCCACATTCTTCCCTCCCCCTCCCACTTCACCGAAACCCCGAACCCTGCGCGCAGAGGAAGGGCCTCAGCTCCACTGACTGCCAAAGTCGACTGGGTCCCTCCTCGCCAAAAATGGTGAGATGAGATTTCGTCTTGTCCGCTGAGGAGCCACAAGCAGGTTTGTCTGCGAGGGACAATGTGGGGTGTGGGGGTGAGCGAAGATTGCATCTTGAATTAAGATTTGCTCCCAAACATGGTGCCCCCACCAAGGAAGGGCTTGGGGCTTGAATTATTGAGATATATGGTGCACCTTTAGTGATCAAATTATCTGGATATATATATATATTTTTTTTTATTTTTTTAGTTCTCCACGTAATTCTATTGATTTTTTAAAACTTTCAAGTCGTGGTCACTTGGAGGAAGTCACCCTGCTTGTTCCTTTCTTGTCTTGGATCTCAATGTATATGACGTGATTTTTCTATCAGGCATGTCAGTGGTGTCCTCCCATGCCTCCACTGTTTTTAATGTCTGCATGTCCTATTAGATATTGAGTTGTAGCTGCCCATCAGTGGGTATGGTTTATAGAAGCAAAATGAGCTCCATGAATAACATTGGGTCTGAGTTTCTAGAATTTCTGCTCACCTTGAAGCAAAAATAATCCTCCTCCCCATAGTCTGCTGAGGGAGATAAGACATTTACGAATAGTTCCCAATACAGTTTCTTTCCCCACCAAGCAGCCACCGAACTGGCTTGCTGTGGAAAAAGAAAGGTCGGAAGGCAACGAAGACTGGAGTATGCTCTGAAAAGCAAGCACAGATCCTAGCGTTCTTCTCCTTTTCCCAGTAGCAAGGTCAAGATTTGCTTTCCTGGCCAGCTAGTGGGGCCTGACCTACGTAGCTGTCTGTCCCTCTGAGTTTTTGTCCTCCAGGCTCAGAATTCCTATAAGATTACAGGGAGGCACCATCAACTTGACAATTTTATCCTCAGACTCCTTGTGGGTTAGGTTGGGGAAGTCAGGGGATCCACTGGGATCTGCATAGCAGTGGCCCCTTGAACAAGAGAGCCAAGCAGAGAGCTTGGAGGTGGAAGAGGCTGCAGTCACTTTCCTAGCTCTGTCGGGTGTGCCCACATTTCCTCGGAGGACCCCTGAGAGGGCAGCGCCCGGCAGGGCTGCAGGGCGGCGGCTGCAGCCACAGCCTTTGTTCAAGAAGTTGCCAGAGCCTTTTTTGTGTTCCCAAACGCCCAGGCTGACAAAGCTTCTTACCTCCTGGGGTGGACCAGGGCATCCTGCAGAGCTTGGCTGCCCTGAAGCCTTCCACTGAAGAAAGAGTTCTTGGCTGGGTTTTTCTGGGTCAGGGACTCAATGCCAGCCTGGTTCATGGGGCCCTGGGCTCCCAGGGTTGAAAGAAAAAAGGACAAAGGGAAACCAGGTTTTAATCGAGTTTGATTTTCATTAGCAAATGAAATTTACCTGCTCTCACTTTAACTGGAAGGAGGCTGTCAGCACTGTTCCCTGGCACTATTTCTTTGCATCTATCCAGCATTAAGATAAACATTCCTTGGTTGGTTCTAAAGACAACTTTGTATTTCAGGATATTCATGTGTTTCTAATGTATCCAAGCAGCTTTACAAGCCACATTTGCAGAACATCTTAACCCTCTCCCTCCCACCCGAGGCGGGCTGGGGGTGCAGAGATAATGGTATAGGAAGAAAGAGCCAGAGGAAGAAACAGGCTGAAAGGTTGAGGAGGGAGAAAGAGAAAAGAGGAAATAGTCAAACAGGGTAGAACTTCTGATTCTACACTTAAACAGACCTTTTGGGAAAGGAACAAGTGGGGGGCTGGTCTGTTCACCGTGGGCTTTTCGAGTGCCCCCACTGGGGTGGAAGCTATACTCTCTTTCTTCAGGGGAAAGGGTAGGTCCCAAAACCTGGGCCAAAGCTGGCAAGTGGGCAGGGAAATGGTGCATCCCGAGTCACTCAATCTTTCATTCTAGGTATTTTTTTGTGAACGTGAAGCAATAATGAGGCAGTGAAAGGCTCAAGGCTGTGGGAATAGTTTTAAACCCTGGGCAGTCACTTGGCACTGTGGTGACCAAATGCTAACATGGTGAAAGTGGAAGTGCAAGGTCCAAAAAGACGCACACAGACTCTCACCTTTGCCTTTAAGATCCCCTCATGGGGTGGATTTTGAAGACAGCAAGATTTTGGAAAAATAGCTCTTTTGCTGCCTGCCAGGGTTCTTCTGCTACCACAAAGTCACTAGTGCACGATGCCTTAGACAGGACCTCGGAAGCCCAGAGGGTACCCCAGTTCCAGTGCGGCCCTGCCCTGTTTCCCTCAGAGAGTCCGGGAGAAAGGAGATGCCCCCTCCTGTTTTAGAACCAGACCCAGGTCCCCGGCTCCCATGAGGGGCAACCCCCTGCATAGCGCAGCGCGGGCCAGCGGCGCCCCGACTCTCCAGGGTTGGCGTAAACTTGGAGCGAGGGGAGCCCTCCGGCCTCCAAGACTCGGCTCCGAGTAATTCCGAAGGCGGCGGTGGCGGTGGCGGTGGCGGTGGTTGTGACGGTGGCGGTGGTGGGAGAGTTCCTTGCACCTACAAGTGCCACTGCTCAGCTCTTCACCCGACCTGGAAACAGCCTTCGCGGAAAGGACCTGAGCGTGAGTTAGAAGCAGAGAGGACTTGGGGAAGGGCTCGGCCGGAAGGAGGAAACGCCTTCTCGCAGTACGTGGCCGGCGGCGGGGGCACCGTCCCGGGGACTGCGGGGCCCACGCCACCCAGGGAGTGAGCTGCGGGTCACTCGGCCAGGGCGCTGGGGGAGCGCGGGATGACCCCAAGAATTCCGTGCGGCTGCGCCGGGAAAAGGACAAGGTCTCAGTCTCCGACGCTGTCTGTCCTTGCAGCTGTCCGAAAGGACTCCTACCCGCCGGCCCCCACCCCCGCCCTAGCTTGATGCTCACGCCCGCAACAAAACAGGAAACCAGAGCTGGGCTGCGATTTCTTTAAGTCAACAAATACACCGAAGACATTCGAGCGAGCGTTCGAAGGAAGTGGGGGGTTTGCACGTAAGCCTAGCCCCGCGGGGCTCGGTCTTCTCGCGGAAAAACCGGCGCAGGCAGCCTGGCGGCCTGGGCCCGCGGAGTCCGTCTCTCCCCTGCACCCTAAGAACCCCCAACGCCCCAGTTCCGGGCTGCACAGAGCAACTTCTTAAGGCACAAAGCAACCGAGGGAAGGAAACTCACCAGCGCAGCTGCGAGGAAGGGGAACTCGGGACACCTTGAAGTACACACTGAGGTGTGATCAGACTTTTACGGGCACGTTATATGCTATAATCATAACGATGTGTGCGCCTTGATGCACACACAGATTCACACAGGAAGCGTGCGCACACACACACACACACAGTGAATGTGCACATTCAGTGTCATGTGGGCGAAATACAGGTATCATAGCAAATCCTAAGAAAAAAAACTTCACCCTGCAGGACCAGCCTGGTGACATACTTTGCTGCAGCATTTCGCTACTCATTCCGATTTTCCCCAACCACGCATCATTCCCTCTCTTGTGACTTTGCAAATACACCTGTCCTCAGTAGAAGGTGAGGCCCGGATTGGCATTTACCTACTTCAGGACCTCTGGCCTCTCCAGGACCTCTGGCTGGTTCTGGGGACTCTCGCTCAGCCGGTCTGGGGCGCCCAGCGCTGCTCATGGAGCAGCCACCGTTCCTTTGTCCAGCGGCTCCAGCTTCGCTCGGCTCAACGCTCAGAGAAACGAAGCAGCTCAATAAAAAAATTTGATATTAGTTTTTATGGGTATTTACACTCTGGTGAGGGGAGCTGAGTGCGGAAGCTCCATTAATCAGCCCCCAACCTCAGGTTTGCATACTGAGTTTATGGGTTGGGAGAGAACTCTTGCCGGAAAGAAACCATCAGGGATGGCCGGCTGGTTGCAGAGAAATGAAAAGGGAGCAAGGTCGTTTTCTGTTCTTGGAAACCGAAGATTGAAGGGGCAACTACAGGTGCTAACCAATGGATCACTTTTTTTTTTTTTAGCCTTTTCACAGGGATAATTTTTTTCCCACCTTTGCCTAACCAATTTTTTTTAAAAAATATTTTTATCATAAAAATTTCCAAACACACACAAGCATAACAAACCCCTGTATACCCAACTCCTAACTTCAGACCTTATTATAATTTCATCTTTCACGTTTTATTATCCACTTCTCTTCTTTTTAGTATTTTAAAGTAAATGTGACATCGCATCATTCTACCCCTAACATAGGATTTTGAAGATACTTCTAAAGATTAAGCAAAATGACTTGAACTCAAATTATTGCAATTACAATCTAGAAAGAACTTGAAGGTTCGCCCAGGAGGAATCTGGACCAAAAAGGGGTTTGGAGAGTGGTTGTGGTTCCATCTTGCCTAAAATTTTCTGTCTCCTCTTGGTAAAAAATACATATGTATGAGATTTATGTTACCCTTTTCTATGAGTGAGTAACCCTTTAATCTAAGATTTGTGGTGCTGCTCAGAATTTTGGGGGAACATGAAAACTGCGCCTTAGTCCTTAGTATGTACTAAAGTGACACATACGTCACTTGACGTATATTCACTTATTGGTGGGCAAATGACCATTTCAACACAACGATTCCCCTAGTAGTAATGCAGAATAGATTCCTAATGACTAAGCTAGCGAAGTTTGTACTGGATTGATGTTTCATCACAACAACCACTTTTCAAGGGAAAAAAATGCAATTCCGTGTATTTAAAAAAAATCCCTCTAGCAATAGGAGATTTTGAAAAAGAATTAATAAAGGCATTGTGGTTTCTTTTGTTTTAATTCAGTGGTCTAAAATAAGCATGATCCTCCCCAGCGAACTCTGAAAGTGATTTAACTGAAAGCTTTGGCAACATAACAAAGCAAAAAGGCAAAAACAGCAAAAAATTGAATTTGACAAGTCCTACATCACCAAGCTGCCTAATAAATTCTAATCCCACTTGACTGAATAGATCTTGGTCCTCCTTTCTATGGCAGAATGTTGAGTTATTTTGCATTTGGGTTGTTTATGGTTCCTTAATTAATTTTTGGAGAATAATTGTTGAATATCTGGGATGCTTTGACACTAAGCATATAACCGCTTGTGACGTTAGAGAAAAGCTACCTAACCAAAGTAATAAGATATGTGAATTAAATGAGAAGAAATTTATGCATATATATTTTATATCAATCTCTACCAACTGCAACTGCTGCGGAAGTCCGGGAAATGTTGGCCGGGAGTCGCTGCCTGCTGTCTGTGGGGTATAAGCAAAATCGACCCCTACTCAGGCCTCTGGCAGTGGCTGGTTCAGGGGTCCCAAGTCCCCTGATCGTAGAATGAGTTCATCAGAAGGTTGAGGGATCCTTTCAGGGTCAGTGTGAGGACTGCCAAAGCAAGAAGATTCGGAGGAAGTGGGAGAGGGGAAGAGAGAAGCCACAGACAAGCTGGGAGACAAAGAGAAAGGCAGACATGGGAGGGAGAAGAATGAAGTAATGAAACTGTAATTCCCAACAAAAATTTAAGCCACAGTAGCCCAAAGAAAGCCTGTTTTTAAAGCTCAGTAGAAGCCCATTCTCTACGGAAGCCTGTTCTTTGCTGAAGCCTGTCTGCCCAACTCTTCCTCCCAAGCTGGTGAGTCTTGCTGGCAGGTTAGGCTGCAAGCCTCCCTGTGATTTCTGTAACGGTACAAAAATAACCTGGGCTTTGCAGACCACGATTATTGCCCAGAGTTAAATGTAGGCTGGAACTTCTGCCCATAGAGAGCCCAAACACGTGAATTCCTACTGGTATCAGCTTCGGAGGCATGGGTCAGGAGCCCAGCTCGGGACAACTTCTCAAGCCTGCTAGCAATTATGTGCTCTCAGCCACTTTTAAAAAGGCCATATTTCTTTACATTTCTAGGATCTAATGTGAGGTTATGTCAGGTCATGGGACCCTCAGTTGGTGCAAAGTAATTTGATGTCACCAAGAGCAAGCAGACTCGTTTGTCACCCTAAGGAATAGAAGTCCCTGAGGCCTGTGTTGGGAGCAGAACAGAGTGGCATTAGCTAGGGTTTCGGGATCCAGCCAAGGGTACGGTGTGGGCCCAGCCCGCTGGGCTGGGAGGGGGCTTTACTTGTCTGTGTGTGTGTGTGTGTGTGTGTGTGTGTGTGTGTGTTTGGAGGAGTGAGTGCTCAGCTCTGTGCCAAGCACACACACCAGCCCATCTGATCTGGTGTGGGACCTGGACTGCTCCAGGCCCTTGGATCCCAGGTTCATTTGTGACAGGATCCAGGTCTCAGTTTTTCATTCTCTGAAGTTAAGTCTGGTCAACCCAGCTGCAGTCTTTCCCCCACACCTCACTGGCTGCTGCTTCAACAGTCTGTACCTGCTTAAATAAAACTTAAGGGAGTCTTCCTACCTGGGGGGGATAAGGTTTGTGTTGCCATTAAGTGTTATTGGGGGTGGGGCAGAAGGAGCCACAGACCTTGTACCTGTTTGGGGATGCGCTTGGGGGTGTGATAAGGGCTGGCTAATGTCTCAGTGAAGGACTTCAAGACATTTGCCTGGAATGCGCTCATCCACCATTTCCAGAATTTTCAGTGTTTTTATTTGAGGGGGGGCATGGGTGTAACAAAGCCAAAGAACAGGATCCCGTGAGCCTCATTGGAAAATCAGGGAGAGTCCAAGCCCTGGAGGAGAATGGGTAGGCATCTCAATGGGCAAAATGGGGCAGGAGGAAGACACTTTCCACTGCTTGGCCAGTGCTAGTCCTTGTGACTTGAGCACACCAGGGCAGGGAGTCCCCTGCAGAGGGCCTGGCAACTCTGTCCATGAAGCGGCAGGCCCTGCTGCAGGGGCTCCACCATGTCCTGGGATTCATACCTTGAAATGTGGGACAATGTCGCTTGCCAGTTCTGTATCATTTGGAAAAGAGACATCCTGATGCCACTCTTCTGACAGTTCTAGGATGATATAATGCCACAGCAAATAGACTGTGAGCAAGGGGCGAACTTAGACTCAGCCAGAGTGGTCAGTCAGGCCTCCCCTCGCTTGAACCAAGAGAGAAGCTGCCATCAGCATCTCTGGGGCACGCGGAGAGGCGCACACGCGATCCTCCTCGTCTGTCCGCATTGGCGGGGCCGGACAGCTAAGATAAGAGACAGTTGTCCATATGTGGGGCTCGTTTTCGCGGGGTCGTGAGAGAGCCCAGTCCTCCACGGAAATTGAAATTAGAGTCTGGGTGTGAGGAGGCAGCGGGGATGAGGTCGAGTCCGAAGGCTCCACGACGGAGACGGCGCAAAAATACGGCCTGCGCATCCCGGGCGGCTAGGCCGCTGCGCTCTAGGAAAGCGCCTGGCGCTAGCCCGCGGCTCGCGAGATTTGCATTCGGGCCTCTGGCCTCACCTCGCTTCTGCGGCGATCAGTTGGTCCCCAGAGCCACTCGGGACCCTTGGGGAGAACCCACGTTTGCGCCCTCCAGGGCTCCGCCCACTTGGAGATCAGGAGCCCCCAGGGGGGATTGGAGAG